AAAAAAATTTTAGGGGGATCGTCCAATTTTGGGGTTCTTTGACGGGATTTATATGGTGACGGGATTTATATACGACACATACACTGTATATAATGATTTACCGGATTCTACTGATAATCACAGCGATAGTAATATGGTATGGTAAGCCCACCCAAACCATCAACATGTCATCTAACAATTTGAGGACTACAATTGAAGAGATTTTCAAAAGCGACAGACACAGTCTCGAATGGTCCCAGCTTTCGACTTCCTACAGCAGTATTAATGTTGTCGTAAGTCAGTATGTTATCAGCAGAATTCTGCGGCTAAGTACTGCAGCTCAGTGGGTTAGCATTGCGCCTCGTACGGCGATAAAAATTATAAATACTCCCGTATCATTAATTTAATTCAAATAATGAACAACTTATTTGACAAATCCAAACCAACAACATGTACCGAGACATACGAGACAAATCGAAACACTATGAAATATTCGATAATCGATTATATCAAAAATATCTCGACCAACTATTATTAGTCGTGAAAAATACGAAGTAGACGATATTCTAATTATGCGCATGATCATCCATTAGGAACAATGTGGAGTATAACCCAACATTCACCAATAGTGGAATATTTTCTATATTAGCTAGGTTACTATTCACAGAACCGAGCCGTCCGAAAAATATTAGACGATATCATCAAACTCGTCGATATTATGCTCAACAATAATCTCAATGCTTTGTTCCAACATCCACTGGTGGCCTAAAATGTAGAACACTACGTAAGAACCTGCGAATAATGTCAATAATTACAGGCACCAACTAGATCAGAACCATTACAATCAATCATTCTCATCGGCATTATGAAGAAGTGGGGAGTTGATACAGTTGGACCATTACCTCGTACACAGAGTGGAAACGAATATTCAGTCGTTGCAGTCGATTATCTTACCAAATGGCCTGAAGCGAGAGTACTTAAAGATAAACGAGCTGCATCGTTTAAACTACCAAACAAAGATTAACAGGACCGTTCGAGGTTATTCAAAGAAAAAATAACGCTACCTATCATTTAAAAGATTCAAAAGGCAAAGTACTCAAGAAAGCTTATTCGGGCGATAAGCTTAGACGATATCAAATACGACATAGATGGGGAACCACTAGTCGTAATTGATCAGATTGAAGACATCCATAAAGGAGACGAATTTTCTCGGCTAGTAGATACGAGTGAGGAGGATAATTAATTGTACTGTTTATCCATCAGTAAACTAGTTGCCTCGGAACTCGGTCAAAGATTTGACGCTACGCGGATAATACCTGAGATCGTTCAGAATTGGTCAAAGGATTTGTTACTGTGTAACGAATACTGGAGATAATGAAACTTAGAAATTTCGGTTCGATAATTTATAATATTTTATTGTCAGACTTAGAGATTGCCGTTGCGCATTTCTCAAGTAATGGCTTGGAATGTATAACGCACTTAGTATTGCCCTTCTTATTATTATGACGCGATTCGGTAAGATAAACCGTTAGGTGTTGCACCGCGCAAGGTTGGATATGAACAGCTAAAAATGCGTGTTTAGTTAAATAGGGGTTTTTTGTACAGGGAAAGTGTACCCATTCATATCGCAATGTTATGTGAGGATTAATGTTATATCCTCCCTAATTTCTGCGCAACTCCGAAGGCGTCACAGGATCTGGCATCGACGACAGCAGATGACAGTAAACCGAAGATAGGATAATACAACCCAAACCTGACAAGAATTTAGAATACAGTTCAATAATTCAAATTGCTCGGGTAACTCTGAGCTCTTGCGTTTGGTCTTGGAATGGTTACAGAGCCTTTGAGAAAACGAAATCAAAACATCGAGCATTACTGTAATCCCACAGTAGATAGTCGTGTATTTGACTCGAGGACAATTACGTTATCTAGGATTAGCGTACACTTAACGACGCTGAGGTTATCGTAAGTGAAAGCCTTGAAAAGACGAGGTCACTAACTGTAAAGTAGATTTAATTATTGATAGGAAAAGCCACGCTTCATTGACGATAGCTAAACCCCAAGTGTCGAGTTCAATACCGCAAATATTTCTATTTACTGCGCATAGCCTTAGCTCACTTTTCTGGCACAGAGTTAACATTGTCCTAAAATCTGACACTGTACAAGCAATACGCGGAAAATTATCGACCGCGAAAAAGATATAAATGCGGGTCGAATTCCATCATCAAAAATCGTCGAGTTAATTCTGATTAAATAGTTGCAAGCCCTTTTTTTTTTTTTTTTTTTTTTTTTTTTAATATATTGATATAAGCATTTTTGCGGATTAATAATAATTAACATTACGTCATTAAAGAAACCGGAATTAATTCCCAAATTTGTAGTGCATTCACAGATACTGTAGATGAATGTCACCACGATAAAAACTTTTTCTTTTTGATAGAAGTTGATATCCTAATAAATTAAAAAACGTCAATCCGACACAACCTAGGCTCATACCCTTCTTATTGACAACGTATAAGATAAATAATAGTAATAGTGAGTGACAGAAATATTGACTAGTCAAATATCAACTCGAAGATTGCCCTGAATTAAATTAAAAATTAAAAATTTCTTTCGATTCAACAATTATTAAATTATTGTTGTTTGATAATCGTTGGTATTTGGGATAGGGATTGATTAAACGCGTGAATAATTAATTTATTAATTTTATAAGTCACTCGAAGCATAGTTCAAGAAGTCTTAATTGTACAACACCAGAGTAAGGGCAGTAGTACGAGCTAAGCTTGGTAACATCTGCGTAAAGGATAACATCCATATCCTGAATAATCTGTAAATGGCAGATGCAAATGTTTATCTAGTATCGTATCTATTTCATTAACGTCGATGTAAAAGATAATATCACTCTCCCACTACGTGTAAAAATATTTACCAACCGTAACACAATGCGATAACATGATTCTTTTCAATTCATAGATGTCTGCTGCACTTTTGATGATATTTTCATGTATTTATCAATTGTTAGCTCTTCATTTCAAAGTCATCAAGAAAATCACTGAAACCCTTGTTATATAGAATTGTGGGCAGGCCAGTATGACCATACAGTCAGCCATTGAGTATATGTTATGCTTCTGTTGGTACAAATGTCCAGAATTTACCACCACATACTCGACCATTACATTAGCACGTCATCCAAGTACAAATTTCCAAACAAAGTATTTGCCAAAATAATTAAATATACACGTATAATCAACATACAGTACAATTGCATATTTTCACACACTTACATGCAATATAATGAAACCAAGTGTATTCAACAGATTATAAATGGGTTGCCTTCACTGACCGGACTGGTTAATGCGTTAGTCCATGATGTCAATAAAGATTTGAACAATTTTTTATCTGATAATCAATGGTTTTTATTATCGTAATGGTTTCTATTATGTCATAAACGAGTGAATTAACAGACGGGGTTGTCCAATTATGACTACGTGTGACGTCCAGTCTTTTACCTTGTCGTCGAATTGAAGCAAGGGAGAGTAAAACCGATAATGAGAAAGAATTAATCGTTTAAAATATATCAATACATATGCTGTATATTAACCTTGCATATAGCGTAATATGTTAGCGCACTAGGCTAATGTCTTATTGCTTAGTACAAATTGGCATGACATGTAGCTGTTAACTATTAATTAGTCATTCATTTGATTTATTGGGACAAAATGCTGTTGTCGAGCCAACTACCACGGGAGAGCGTTCAGTAATTGGTTTGGGATTTAGCTCTTTCAATCGAGGCTTGGCTAACCTCTATTCCTGCTTAAATTGTTAATACAGTTAATGACCTTATTTATGGTTTTAAATATACTCACAATTCCAAACTAACAAGCTGAAGATAGTGTAACGACCTTTGCTTATATTTTTTTCTATCGTTTCACTAACTAACGATAAATATATGTAATATTATAAGCGGATGATCTCATATTACAATCAGAGAAATACGGCAGCGACTGCGTTTTACGCGACTTATGCTTGGTAAATCCAAATGCGGTTCGTGTTACTGTTATTGGATATTAGCGCAGCGGATTGGCGCTAGGCGCAGGAGGAATACGTCATTATTATGGTGCAGAACACTGTCAAAAGTGCGCGTCTAGAATATACTGGTCTCATCTATCTGAAATTAATGGAAACAATATACGTATTTAACAAATTTATTAGAAAAAGATATAAATATACCTCTCGCTCGTTAAAAAAGTATTCATACCTCAACGTAATCTCTATTCGCCACTCTCGTTGCTCGAAGATGTTTAATATTATGTGTTACAATTGCGGCAAATTTCATGCCCTCCGAAAGTGTACTCCGAAAACGAAAAGAGAACGGAGAAAGCACAAACCCAATTGGAAGAGGGAAGCGACGAAAGAAAGAATGATAAAAGAGGAACGGCTTAGGAAGATGGAGATGATGCAAATTGAAGAAGAGTTTTCGGTGGAAGAATTCGACTATTATAATGATTGCGATGATGATGCCTGCGATAGTTCTGGATTTAATTGTGCAATTTAAGAAAAGGGATTACTTTCGGTATAAATATCGGATTTTGTATAATAATAAATTGTATATTAGAAATAAGTCACATTTATCGATAGATAGAATAAATATAAATTCATGTAACAAGCGTAAATTTACAGTGCTCGATAATAAATATTCGATCGTTGATAAAATCTAAACTGGCTCACCGATTACCTAACCTGCATAGACTATGCGATCCACAAATTGTTATTATATTTATAGCAATATCGAACTCCGCGTCAACAGGATTTAAGACTGGGCCCTACGACAAACTAAAGATTCGGGTATTTTACTCGGGGGTACGTAGTCAGAGAAATATAGTATTTTACAATAGCAATTGTGTTTTACGTGATTGTGTGATTTAATTAACCACGTGCCCTAATTTACGTGCTTGCTAGAGAAACACGAATATACACTGTATACATCGATTGGACATTCAGTCAATTGTGAAAGCTGGGCTAGGGCTGATTCATAACCAGGTTTATTGTGATCAAGATACATGTAATAGTAAGAAACATGGAAGATGATACAAAGATCATCCCAAAATTTCTTCATAATTGCGTGAAGTAAAAGAGTGATCTAACTCTTAATACACCGTCACGTCTTAAAAACATAATTAATTGTAAAAGGAATAGAGTATAACAACCGATGTGTGTAATCGAAGGATTATAGTCTGTACGTTTTATGATAGGTGCTCACTGTTAATGAGACTTATTTTCAATGTCTTATATGACCCCTCCGACAGAGAAAGTTCGTTATTTTATCCGTCAGCGCATGATGTTCAAGTTACAACACGTCGGGATAATAGATTTTCGCGTGCGAACAGTTGATGGCGCGTTCATAATTCCTGTTTTCTTGAAAAGTTTTCTTTTATTATGGCAGCCACAAGTTCGTATTCGAGAATATTCCGCCGCGAGTTTGGTAAGCGTTCTTGCACCCCGTATGTCTTTTACTATACTCTTTTACGTATATGACATTTTTAGGGATATAGGCCCGCCATGGTTCTCGTAGGAATAGCCGATAGGACAAAAATGTCTTCGAACTTCGACGGCTTGTGTTTAAGTCTTAGTAACAAGGAAATGCATAAAGAAAAGTCGACCGTTGTCCGTTATGGAGGCACTTGGCTTTAAGCAAAGACAAGTTGCTCAATTACACGTCTTGTCACACATTTAGTAAATATACTTGTTAGGACGTGGTGGATTTCCATTCGTAGTAATCAACGAGTCGGTAGAATAACCTCACCCATTCTATCACATGTTCCGTAAATAATTTCGTCAGTCTTTTTTATTATTTTCTATGATGAAGAAGACGTTCATGTTCCCTATGGACATCAAGTATTAGCTTTTTTGACTTGTAATTTTTACAATAAAATAAAAGCAGTCTCGTGGAGAAATTGATACGTGACACAAAATCTGTTAGTGTCTAACTATAAAAGGTTGGAATAAAATAATTAAAGCGAGAATAGATAATAACGATTCTAATCTATACCAAGTCAAGATTGGGAAAACCGGCTGCAGATAGTGTTAAAGTTAAATTAGAGAACATAGCCAAGTCAATAACCGAGATTATCTAATATACAATCCCTACTCACACTCGGATATTTTATTATGAAATGCCATCCCGTTTTTCTTTTAATATTCCATAGTAATAGGCTTTGGATCACAAAATTTACCTTAGATTTTTGCAAACCAGTGTTGTAAACTACGGTGCTTGAAAGCCAAAAATCAGGAATTGGTGTAAAAAGTGTTCGGCAAGTAAACTGGAATTTTATTGTGGAGATTGGGTTATCGATGTTGTGCAAGTTTAAGCTGTTCAAAGGGCCGTTTGACTTAAATATGACTTTGATTCCCCAAGTCTCCATTTGTGTTGACAATTAAAATGCTTCACAATTTCCTGTGACTTGAGCTCTTTGTTGAATTTTTCTTGTCGACGGATATTCCATAAATACAGTACAGCGGGAATCTTTTATTGAATGCTGCAATGAATCAGCACTGTACAAAGATTAAATTAGTTATTCGTGTTCATGCAATAATCTTTGGCTATTTTGAAACCCCATTTGTTACTTTGATCCTGCATGTAGTATTCTTTGTCTGTGCTGGGGAAGGTCATAGGCTTGGGAATATCTCTCACTAATTGTTGTTATATGAGATGAAAACTTGTGATTGATTGCATACCTCTTTTGAGTTCACGTCACCGTTTCGCTGTACATATAGCATGCCATGAACGAGATCTGTTCAATGGATTTATATTCTATGGGTTACCTCATGCCAGATTTGGAAATAGAAGTTTGCCAAATTTAGAAATCGAGTGAAGACTTCATTGAACTGGATGCTGTACGAGCATTATATCTCCCCTCCCATAATGCCAGTCTTCTATTAGATCTATAGATGTTATCCTAGAAATCTCAACATATCCGTCGATTTTGCCTGATATCAATCGCACGGACCGTTTGGATATTTGCAGCACAGACCGTTTGGATCTTTGCAGCACGGATCGCAAATGTCTTGGGATCATACCATTGAATTAACTTCGATTGATCATGGTCAATGCTTGTAGCAGAATCAACATTCTCATCATCCCTCTACAGGATATTCTGATACTCCCGGTTGATCTGGCTTAGGAAGATTTGATGCCAGGCAACGCGAAATTCGGCATTGGGTTTGCAAGAACGCACATACGAATATGAATTTAAAGGTTTGGTAAGTTTACATTGTTCAGACTTGAAACCAGAAAAAAATGGGAATTTTTGGTTTGATAGATTATACAAACCTGTTAATGTTCATAACTAGTGTGCAGCCATTATCCCCATTAAATTCCCGCTTGACCGACTAATGTCGATTGTGTATGAACAAATCACACTATGCGCTTAAAAGTTATCCACAAGTCCAGTTCATTAAGGATGGAACAGACAGATAAACCTGCTCGCTCGCAACCCCACATCATGTAGTTGGAAACTATATTCAGAAGATACGGAAACGCGTTAATTGAAGCACGTGTGGAACAAACAGAGGCTTCGCAAAGCCTGGTCAGAAAATGATTCGATCATTGGCGTGCGATAATTATGGAGGTCCAGGAATGCCAGAGAATACATACATGCATCTGATGTGAAAGCAGAACGAAGGAGCAGAAATACACAAGTAAGGTCGTCGTAACGCACAGACAGAGTCGCAGGAATAGAGCTGATATTTCTTCATCGGCCGCACAGAAGACTGCATCGTAACGTGAAGCATTATCAGAATACACGGGTCAGCGCTGGCGCTGATGAAATTCAAAGTTTGCAGATACATCTTATAACTAGGGAGTGTGGACGTATTTCTGTAGCAAAATACAATTGTTTAATTCATTCTTTTTAGTATCAATTCAATTAGTGTCTCTATCCATGCTATATCGAGATACCTTAAAGAATTTGTACTAGATCCTTCTGTTTCGACCCGTACTTATTAAATACAGTACATACATCTGTTAAGCCAAAGTAGTTGGACATTTCCATATGATACAATTAATGAATACATATTACTGCTTGCAACGTTATGCTGAAACCAAGCAAGAAGATTGGAATTTACATGTTTATAAAACTAATCTCAACTATTGCCAGAGATAAGTAAATAACTATCAAAGTCATTATCTTTGATACAATTCCCAACCATTGCTCATTATTATCATTTCGACTCTTACTACAATCCCTTCACGAAGACTAAGAAGACATCAATTAAAAGCATGAGTAGAGTTACTCACATTCATAACACGATAGAAAATTGGCTCGTACTGCACTTCAACTGTTGCAAGTCTTCGTCAACTTTTTTCTTCTCACTCACGACTATGTCTAAATCCTTGACTGTCTGAGAAATAGTGTGTCGAAATAGTGAATACTTTGATCGATTCGTTCGAGTACACTCAGAATCAGACTGTTACTATGTTTTGGTTATTTCGGCTGCTCCACGGTATATATGCTCGGTCTATAACACTCCCTAAAAAGAGCCATCGTGACAGAGTTCTTTCGGAGCTCCGAAACTGATGCTGACTTGCTGAATTCCCAACGGGCACGCAGATTTCAAGCGTTTCCGTATCACGGCCGTACGTAGACTGTAACCTGAGTACTAGCTCATTTATCTCATGCCGTCATCGCTTTCTCCCAATCCCTTCCGTGTGTTAGCCCACTGTCTAACTAGTCTCCGTATCTCTTTGTGTAAGGATGAGACGACGCCTTCGTCATTATTGAATCGGAACGTTATCAGAGTACATTCCGTAAGGCAGATAGGATAAAGATGTTTCCGATTGACCAAAGAAGCTAGACGATGGAAGAGCTTGTTGCGGAGGAGGCTATCGTGTGCAGTGTATAAAGTTTGCGCCATGTGCAATTAGAGTTGATAAGTCATCTAGGAAAGATTAAACTAATATCTGTACAACTCACAAGAGAGCCATGCGTGATTGACAGATGGACACTTAGGACTTCGAGGTAATGATGAGTTAACTCGTTATAGTCTGTGACGAGGTCTTATTTGGAATATTAATATGGAAACGTATCTTCCGTCTCTGTAGCTTTTAGGTTTCCAAAAATCTGGACGTAAGTGTTCACCATAATTCGTTCTCTGTTAAAAGCCCGTCTGCATGCCATTCCTTTGCCTTTATTGTTTCAACAATTTCACGTTACTGTTTACTCTCTTTTCAAAGTTCGTTTCATCTTTCCCTCACGGTACTTGTTCGCTATCGGTTTCTCGCCCAGAGGACAGAGTTCATCAGCTGCGATAAATAGGTATTCGATTTTTAAAAGCTTGCCCGTAGTTTTCAGAGATGGATTCTCATATCCCACTATTTGGGCCAAGTCGTATCCTATATAATCGATTAGTAAAGAATGTTAAGGCAAAGATGGATATCGTCTAGAATACGTATTCGTATAGTTGTTAACGGTTTAAATATTTTACCGGACTATGCATCTGTATTGTTCATAACAGCATGGTATAGTTTTTATAATCGAAATGCAACAGTAACCACTATTAGAATTGCTTTCAACATCCACCAGTGGATTCCCAACAACAATATGATACGGTTACGAAAGTATCATCCAGGAAGTGGTTGACTCCCGCTGATGCGGAAGAAAAATTAGATCCGAGCTGTGCCCTTCAACACACGTAACACAAGATGGCTCTAGAAAATGTTTCACAAACCGAGAGAATTATTAACATTAAAAAGGGCGAATATTTTCTTGTATATTAATATTAAGTATTGCACAATTAGCGTATTTATTCGTAATATATTCAATTGCCTTGTAATTATAATGTCGTCCATACTAATTTACGAAATATATTAACTGTAAATGAGCAACAAGACCTCTATTCGTTCGCTCACTCTTTAATTATCGTATTATCGTCTACACTATTTTCATTGACTTTCTTGGTCATTAGATTTTTGGCGCGTTTCATCTTCTACATCATCTTCATGGCATCCTAATACATCAGGAGCACACTGTATAATAGAATCTTCTTTGTCATTATTGTCTTTGTCATTATTGTCTTGGTCGTTATTGTCTTGGTCGTTATTGTCTTGGTCGTTATTGTCTTGGTCGTTAGCGTTACTGTCTTGGTCGTTAGTGTTATTGTCTTGGTCGTTAGTGTTATTGTCTTGGCCGTTATTGTCTTGGTCGTTAGTGTTACTGTCTTGGTCCGTTTCGCCCGCCTTTTGGGCATCACTTTCCACACGACATGAATCAACACTATTTTGTGTAATAGGAGCTACTGGTCTTTTCGCTTTTGCGATTGTCTTTCGAACACAACTTTCTATGACATGTTCATAGCACATACCAACAGCCCAGTGTACATATGCATTTTGTTGTTCATCAGCTTTTTGGTATAATACAACTGCTTTTTGAACATCGTTTTCTAATCCATTTCTATTATAACAGAAAGCTCGAAGAGCACATTGCGCAAGAACGTATCCTTGTTTAGCAGCTTTTTGATATAGTTTGAATGATTCGAAATCATTTTTTTTCACTCCAATTCCATTACCATAACATACAGCAAGATTATATTGTGCACTAGCAAGTCCTAGCTTGGCAGCCTTTTTATACAATTTCGCTGCTTTTTTATAGTCTTTTTCTACGCCAATTCCATCACTATAGCACAGACCCAGAGTAAATTGTGCAAGGGCATTCTCTTGACCGGCAGCTTGTCGGAGCAGATCGACTGCCTTTTGAGTATCCATTATCACGCCCGTTCCATTCAGATAGCACATACCAAGATTATATTGTGCTTTGACATGCTCTTGCTCGGCGGCTTTCTCGTAGAATTCAACTGCTTTGCGAACGTCTATTTCTACTCCGATTCCGTTTTCGTAGCATACGGCGAGATTGTATTGTGCTTTGGCGTGTCCTTGTTCGGCTGCCTGTTGGAGTAGTGCGACCGCCGTTTGGCCATGGTTCTCGTTTCCGGCTTGGTTCAAATAATGTAGCGCAAGAGTATATTGTGCACTGGCAAGTCCTTGACTTGCTGCTTTCTGGTGTAATTCCACGGCTTTCTGCCGATCGCGTTCTATTCCGATTCCGCCACCATAGCACAAACCAAGAGTAAATTGAGCAATGGTATGTTCTTGATCGGCAGCTTTTTGAAGTAATCCGACCGCTTTTGAAAAGTCCTTTTCTGTGCCGGTTCCATCCAGGTAGCACATACCAAGGTTATACTGTGCTTTGGTATGTCCCTGTTCAGCAGCTTTTTGATAAAATCCAATAGCTTTTTGGATGTCTACTTCTATTCCGATTCCATACTGATGACACTTGCCGAGCTTATATAGTGCGGAGGCATGGCCTTGGTTGGATATTCGTTGATATATTTCAATTGCTTTTTGTTCGTCTTTCTCAACTAGGTTCCCAGTTCTGTAACATTTACCAAGATAATATAGGGCCTTGAAAAGTCCTTGATCGGCTGCTTTTTGGTAAAGTTCGATCGCCGCTTTATCATCCTTTACTGCGCCAATTTCACATTCGTAACATCTCCCGAGAGCAAATTGGGCTTCAGCGCATCCTTTCTCGGCTGCTTTCTGGTACAGCTCAAAGGCCTTTCTCCCGTCCTTTTCTACTCCTGCGCCATAATAGTAGCATACGCCTAGGTTGTATTGTGCAACCATATCACCCTGTTCAGCAGCTTCTTGGTATAATTCGGCGGTATGTTGATTTTCCCTTCCGGTGGTAATTTCATCGACATAACATTGTGCAACAGAATCGACTTGCTCGTTTTTCTCAAACTCTGGTTTGTCTTGGTGTTCTACGAAAGTCGCCATTTGTAGTATATAACGTATGGACAAAGTGTATGAGGTCAGGGAGGTGGGGGCAAGATCAGTATATTAAGTAGTGTGAGTATGATCAGATAGGAGTTTTTGTCGGCGGGTATTGCGTATTTAAGTGTTTTGGTGCAAGTCCAAATGGAGTAGGCAAGCTGCGGGTTTGGGGTATGACAGATTTATGCTGTCTTTCCTAAAACGTTCTATAATCGTTCAGTCTGAAAATGAATAATCTCGATGATTTGATCGATAATCCAAAGAAGCGGATAGTTATAGTTTGTCAACCTAAAATTTATGGTCTATCTGACACTATTTCCTGTCTGTAAATTTCCCAAACTCGCCGGAGTCATCTATGTCAAAAGGTGTCCGTAGCATTAGCTTGCGGACAATAGGATGTAACAGCTTGGCTTACCCTCTAAACTTTAATACTGAAGTGCGTTGCGTTGTAATGTTATGTGTATTAGTGACAGTCGTGTGTGGGAATGTATTGTTTGTTTGCTAATAATGGTATTTCTGAAAAGGAGTTTACAAATCAATCCGCCCATGTTAAACAGAGTCTACAATACACTCTACGCGTTTGTTTGTTTGCTACTAGACATTAATGGGTAGAAAATCGAGTATGGTCACACAGCCGAGCCATTGACTAACAATGTGTGTGAGTTCAATTCTTGAATGTTCAAATTCGACCAAGCAAATCAAATTAGGCAGGCAAGGCATGACTGTGGGATGAATGCAACAAACATTCGTTAGGGTATTGGTAGAATTTGCATCGGTACCTTCAGCCGAGAAAACCGTTTGAGAATAGTTTGAGTAGTATTTTGCTAAGAACATCCTTAGCAGAAACTGCGTTCTTGGAAGGAGGCGTAATTATGGCGGATCTCTATTGCGAAAGGATATTCATGAACAACTGAGAACATTCGTAATCTTGTGTCTTTAGAATAAAAGAATAGAGTTAACATTGTATCACCAATAATTAATAATCGACTATTATAGACATTCAATAGATGTTCTCCTAATCACCTTTCATTAAAGGAGTACAGAAACGTGGGATGGTACTAATACAATTTGAATCAGGACTAACGAGCGTGAATGTGATTAATTACCACAATTGCTTATTATATAAGGCAACTGTAGTTACATATAAAATAAATAGGGCGGTTTTTAACAATAGGAAGAAATCACCCTCATAACGAAATAATACTTATATATTATCGAGTTATATACAGAACTTTGCCTGTTTTAGGTTTCTCCATTGTGCGACAACACATTGTCCTTCAACACTATTCTCAAAATATCCATGTCGAATCCTACAATAGCTAGATCCTCCGTTCCGTATGCATAACCTCTTTCCCTCCAGTTTCTTTTCTTATTTCTCTTCTTTTGCTTCGTCACATGCTTTCCAGTAGTAATAGCGCAAGAATTTGTAGTCTTTGCAATGGCCGTTTCGATGATACGTACGCGTTGAGCGATGTGGAGATAGCAAAAGTCATATGGAAAGTGGAGATCAAGTACCCAAGGATCTAGAAGTGAAGAGATTATCGAATGGAAGAAAGCATATGAATATGCACCGTACAAGACACGTATAATTGAACCATCATTCGAATAATCCCTTCCGATTAACGCTACCGCTTCATTCTACACTTACTATTAGCTGCACTTCTCCCGGCTGTCAAGAAGCGGGAACCGATTTATGGCCTTTTATAGTGTTCTATCATCCTCTCACCAATATCCAATTCTTTTCCATCATCATAAAGTTCATTCATTCCTTTCATCAATCATTACATTACTTCTAGGGCGATCTTAGTCGAACAGTTAAAACAATCAATGTCTTGAAGCGGTGTGGCAAGTGTCTAAAAGGGAAGATATGCAAATCAATATCAAAAAAGCTGGTTTAACAGTCATCATCCCCGACGAACTGTCCACGTCCTGGCACCAACTTTCTCCACCCTCCACCCTTTCCTCTCTGTATGATGAGCTCTTACCGTATCTTTTTTAAACCACATTTTACTTGGTACACACTCATATCCACTTTTCTGTCGTGTTTCCTCAGATAACATAGGTACCAGGAGAGCAGAGTTTTGATTTCCCGTCAGGAAGTAGTTATGTGGAGAACTGTTTAGTGTATCCTAGTGGGAAATGCGAACGAATTCGGAGGAAATTGAGACGATGGGTAACGATAACTAGTATTAAATACGGTATGTTCTTATTTCCCATCCCCATTTTCATTTCCCATCCCCACCCATTCTCATTTCTCATCCCCATTCACAAATGTCAACACACCTTGTAGGGTAGATTGCTTATTAATATCCGTATATACTGTAAATTGGGCGTTAACAGAAATAAAATCTACGCAAATATCCAAGACCGATTCCTCGCTACAGAGAGCAAGCGCAAAATATATCGAATGGAACTATCCGGATGGCGTGATAGTCTTTGCATGTATATATAAATATAAAGCTTATTTCGATAGCTACTATCTCATTTGACCTAAAACAAGGTAAAATCAATAAGATACAACGTTTGCTGCGTCTTGCCAACCGACACTTCCAGTCACAAACGCATACTGCAATTCGTTATCCATTCTTTCCTTGCGGTTTTGATCATAAAATGCTTCTATCTAAGCCTGTAAGTTGGTCCATTATGTCAAGATTTTTTTTGATTGAACATCTAACCAATCCGAAGGCAGCAACACAAAATATTTGGGATCTTCATCTACAAAACACAACAGGACGTACCAGGGCATTTAGCGCCTGATTAAGTAATTAAGAATATTAAAGCGATTAATTAAGCATTTTCATTCATTATGTCAGTAGTTCCTGCAAACTATGGAAGGTAATTTCCAACGTTACTGTTGAGAGTAAAAAGACTGTCAAATTATGTTCTATTATCGCATAACATTTTCTAAAGACACCCAAATACAAAAGCAATTACCAGAAAGGCCCAAGGTCGAATAAATTCACCCCGTGATGGTATTATTATTGACCGCTGGACATAAGACTTAGTTGACAATAATGAAAGGCGCGACCAAATTCGCATACATTATATCGGCTCACATAAAAGTAGGGGCTAACAAATGTCTTTATTTAGTAAAATTTACACCTCTCACTATATGAACGCTCTTATTAGTAAAATTTACACCTCTCCCCTATACATTTATCTATGAACGCTCTTATTAGTAAAATTTACTCCTCTCACTATACTTTTATCTATGAACGCTCTTATTAGTAAAATTTACACCTCTCACTATACATTTTATTTATATACATGTGTAAATTTAGTGTCCCTTTCCCGTCGTATGTCTTTATTTTCCCACTACGTTAACGCTTAACTCGGCCACCCAGCATGGCCGAATCGGCAGCAATCTTGAGCCCCGATTGGCCGAATTGGAAGCAATTCGAGCTTCCTTTGAATTTGAATAATTCAGATGCAGTCAGTGTGCATCCGATTTTGCTTCGCGAGCCGCAGTCTCCGTTATTGGTGTTAAGGCGTTGACCATTCTCAAGCCTTGGTAAGAACCAGGAGTAAACCCGAGTGTCAGCATACACAGCTGATATTGTTTTCTCAGTGGGCAGGACTGCTCGAGTAAATTTGTCCGAGCTTTCGCGGAAAAGGCGCGGAGGAGGCCCAAGGAGGAAAGAGAGTTGAGTTTTATGACGTTTGGCGTCTTGTAATTTGTTTTAAAATAGGAGACGAAAGGCTTGTAGTTTTTTATTTGGTATGACGGGTTTATCGAAAGTTTAATAGCGTAGGGTAGTAGTAGCATTTTGCGAATCCGTGGTGATATGGATACTTAACAGCACGAAATGGACTGTTATTTTATAGGGTTCGTTCTCCATTCACACACCCTATTCTAAATTTATACAACAGTGGACAAAGGGGCGACGCCCCCACTGTATTGGCTGTTTTTGGGAATTCTTTGTAAGAGGATACCCTGCTCAAATTATGCAGTTGTGTCGTGCTAGCTGCATGGTCGGTCCAATTTCGGGTTTATTCAACGAAATGTAGATGAGATGGCAGAGATAAAGAACCATATTCCCACATACCTTATTGTCCATTCATTTCTGGAAGGTTAAGCAAGTTTCATGTGGATGATTGGAAAAACGTCGTTTCACAAAAACTCGAGCTTCTCCTCCCTAATACTAACAGCTGGGTGAGTATATTGTCGGGTTGAATCACATGATTTACATTAACGTTTGTATCTAATAATAGCCTTAGACGGCTTAGCCTGTGCAATGATACTATACTGCTTGAACCTGCATCTGGGACATTGTTTTGAATTCTGAATGCTCATAACAACGTTGAATGGTCAAACATGCTAAAGGCGCCCATCCTGGTATATCATTGAGACATCGATATAATTAAAATTCGCGAAAGCGACCAAAGTGAGTATGAAAATTAGGATCTACATACAGGTTAACTTAAAAAAGTAATGGAAAAAATCTCTTTAGGTGTTATGCGGCGACAACTGGAACAAACGACGTTTGTCGGTTCGATGACATCGATATTTGTACCTGGGAATGACACGAAATGGCAGAGAGATTCGTTGAAATAAAGACATTAATAATTGAACATTCCATATCAATTAATATCAAGCGTGCACATTCTCTTCGGGGCTATTGTCATGTGATCTCGAGGGTAGTCAGTATCAACAACAGGCGTAATTCCCATGAAAGTCAAGAATGAATATTGCATTAACATGAGACTTTTAATTCCTAACTGAAGAATAACACTCACGAATACAACACTGGCATTAACAAGTTTGCTAACGACAGAATTCGAACTTACTCGACGTTGAAAGTCCCGAACTTTCCGGTCAATACATAAACAGTCAAGCTGCGTCGGAGTAACAGATTTCCATTGACGGTAAATTGAGAGTTGCAATAAGATGCAACAAAACCAGACAAAAGTGAACATTTATCACGTGAATTGAAAATGGCTGGTGTGGCTGAAAAATTTCAACGAGGCTTTGCTTGATTTTGCACAAATACATACTACTTTTTAGACCCATTGCTATGTTATAAGCGAATGTAACCAGCACTTGCTGCAACATATTTGACTGTACAAATAGTACTGCACATGGTTTCTTCTAATTGCAAGCGAGATACAGTGTGTTGCAAAAAAAATGGGGTTGTAAATAAATTTGGCTAATTAATAAATTTGACGCGTTCATTGGACGTATTCGTAAAACTAAATTAGGTTTTCTTTATTTTCAACATTTTTATAAGCAAAATTTTAAAAGTTTGTCTTTGTATAGTTCAATAACATGGTTAAATCGAAATTTGAAACTAATCGACAAACTATTTTGTACTTGGTATCATTCAACAAAGAAATACATAAATGACTATTGTATCTCTACCCGCGAGTAAAATACCCCTCAGCAGTTTTGAAAATACCCGGTTACTATTCTCAAGTAAAATATCCGGGGTGGTTTAAACAAATGATTTCATGCAAAGTATAATTTCATTATATGAGTGAAGTCTACCATACATTCTCATATATGATATCCTCCTCGTAAACATAATCACATCATAATCAGGCACATTATTCAGATATAATCCCCTCCATCAAAATACTCCTTACTACTACCGACTGAAAATAAGTTTGTTAATAGTTTTGTTGAAAGTGTCTTGTCGCGGTTCTGGTTGTTTATATTTTGTCATTTTAGTTTTAAAGTGTTGTGGTTGATTATGTTTTGTCATCTGATTTTAAAGCTCTCTCGTTTCTCCAAGGAAAGCAAAAGACTTCTTCTTTATTCACTCGTTTTCTTTCTTCATTGAGCGATGAGAGATTCGTAACCACTTTCCGGAATACTATATTTGTCTGAACTAAGATGAGTGGGTTATTTTGGCCATCTCCTTTGCAAACTTGCAATATAATCAACTGCATCTGTTTGAGTCTTGTTTGGGTTCATAAGTGGTATGTATCAATTACTCCGATGCATAATTTGATAATTGATCAACTCATAATGGTGTAAGATTTTTTCTCAATTCAGCATTTTCTGGTAAGCTTTCCAATATGTGTCAGATGGTGATGTGTATATTCGTGAAGGTGTTTTTCCCTTTCGTGAGATACCCCCCATGCCATTACTTTTTGGTGTAATTTTGGTAATCGGCGAATTGGGTTTTCGCCACTCTTATGCCACCGACTGACTTTATTCCGAAAAAGATCAGATGCTGTCTCGTCAGTGAATATAGTTCAAGCCGTAAGTGTGCCCGTGCCCAAGCTTTTCGTAGCTCAATATGCCGACTAGTGACATTGGCGTTGACGAGGTATAGAACTCTCATACTCCTTTTTTTTTTTTTTTTTTCATATGTCGCCAAATGGTAGCGTATGGAATGCACTATTTCGGCACACTTGCTGTCCAACGTTGCGAGAGATGTTTTTTTAGATTGTCAAGAACAGTGCGATATAGATAAGGAATATTGGTCTGTTTAATATTAACCATGGTTGCGATATTTATTACTTATTAACATGGAAATTAAGACGCGTTTGTTATTCAATAGCACGCTTCCTTATTTATTTACAAAACAAGTTCCCGGTTTTTTTCGTTACACACAGTATATAAAAGTGTTCCCTGATCACGTGTTTTCTTGCGCGTTTTTAAAAGGAAACCTTACTCCTGCTGAGCAACGATAGAAGATGCCTCCACTCATGATCCGCTTGTAACTGCCAACGATGTAGCAACATCGTTCATATAGTTTGCATAAATTAACGGTGAATATCACAATAGCCCTCGAAAGGAAATGCCAAACCAATTACATCGCAAAGATCTCTATCGTTGAGGTTATACATGAAGTTGGAGAGCGTGTGATGTTATTGATTCCGCTTCAAATGCTGACGGTCTGTCTCCACCTATTTATATACAGATTGATATTACTGAATTTTATGTATAGAAGTGCGTAGGCGTCTTGGTACTATTTCGGAATGTCTACATTCTTAAACTTAACGAGCGCCCCATTTGACATTAAATTCCGGTCTTTTTCTTGAATTCGTCTATCATGAGACTCTTGTGTATTTGTCTTTGACGCATTCAATAAACAGAAATGTTCGATAAGTCGTATTTTAACGCGGGTGATGATTCGAAATAGCCTCAAATCGACGATACAATTGAAGTTGCTCCTAGTGAGTCTTCCATCGAGAAATATCCGAGACATGTCCATCCAACGAGACAAGTTTTGAAGAAGACAGCACTTGTCTAAATCTATCGCGAAAACTGTGCTTTGGTAGATCTAGAGATCACAGACTTCAGGACCTATATTTTTAATAGAATTTTTTGAGCAAATCGAAATTCATAAGCACTAATTAAATTGAAAAGACCAGAGCATTTGTCAAGTAATTTAATACTATTAAATGACATGTACATTTTTGAATACGCAAAAACTTCTGTCTCCTTGTACATTCTTTTGTTGATGCTCATAAAAGTTCTCAAGCAATCGACACACAAGCTTCAGAGTCTCCCCCGGTCGTGTGACCTATGTTTTTAACAGAATGTAATAAGCGAGAGACACTAAAATTTACAAAGTGATTATTCTATCGCGTGCACAAAACTTACTTTTTTTGCCCTTCGCACAGTGGTGTGCCTAACCAGCTTTAGAGCCTCCCCAATAAAGAATACACATTGTCAACGCCGGTATATAGAATATCAGCATTGTTAATATCTGACATTCTGACATCCTCCATCTGTAACTATTCCTATCCCTCATTGTTTCGTTCGTCACTCTGTTAATAATTGAGATAATGAGATCGGTAACATTCCATCGTGTCTTGATCCTGTGGCAATATTGTCAGCGCAATTAGTAAACGGGTATATTGACAGGCAACGAGTGACTTCCCGCTTTCATTAACGATTGTCCCATTTTAAGACTCACAATAAATGGCATCAAGAACACTGGTAGACTATTATCACATGGTCTGTGTCCATGTTTGTATGGTCTTAACGATCGTAGTGATAGAACAGCCATCCCATCTACGATCTCCTAGTACTTGTAGAATCGATGAATATCTTCTAACTTCTATAAGTGAAATTTAATATTAAAGAGATAAGAATATAGTTGCTTATCAGTAAAACGTTCATGAATATGCTGGCACGTGATTAACTTCGTACCGTTAAATCCTATACAGCCGAAAAATGCAATACGAATAGTATCAGTACCTCCATGATTACGGCAATCATGGAATATCCTTTCCATCGAACAGGTTCTTGGAAGCGCTAATAATAGTCGTAAATCGCCCTTTTCGTTGATTGGTGATAGAACGTTCATCTGTGAATAAAAATAACTTTAATAATAGACGATGAAAGACAGTTGGAGATAGTGCGGGCCCCCATATTTCATCTAGTAATCATTGCCATTCTTTCAAGCGTCCCACGCGTATGATCCTAATAATACTTGTACGTTATCCTCAATCCCACGCCGCGTCCCAGAAATGTAACATCACGATTAATTTGCTAACAAGTATTAGCAACAACAGTAACAGTAACAAGACTTTAACGTCACAGGCATCATCCTATTGCATCATTCCTAACATAATTATACGCATTGTCCTTCCATCCATCCGCGGCAAAGTTGTGTTATATTTAGATTACCTCCACTTGAAAGTTGGTAATTATGTTAGACCGTGAGGATGTAAAAACTCTCTCACTCACTGTTCAAAATTCCCATGCTGAGTGACACCAACAGTAAGACCCACGTGCTGTTACAACAGTATCGATCTTCCTGCTTTGAATAGCATGTGTCACGTCTATATTCGTTTCGTCGTCTTAATTTAATAAATATCAGCATTGCGTATTTACTAGTCACCAAGATCGAATTACGCCTCCTAGCTTGCTGACGATGGGAAACCTTCACCCCACTTACGCACGCCTCAATTTAATTAAGCAGTGCACAACACAACACACGATTACTGTTATTGGAGATCGATCATGTGTCGCTGGTTTGCTATGTTATGGAGTATTATACCCATCATGCATTCGTTGTTTATGATTCCAATATACACGCCGACTCTTCAAAGATATTACTATGATTTCTCCATTTGAATGGGGCAGCAGCGCTATCAACCGATCATAAACTCCTAATCCATCAGATAAGATTCCATTTGAATTACGATCAGATCCAGGTAGTCAACATATGACGTTCCACCCTATTGTTGACCCCGTCATCCTTCTGACACTAACTAAAGTCTTTTTCTTCTCGCGATTAAATTTCATGATTTCAATGTTCTCTTCATCTCTTCGTCTCAGAATGCAAGGCCTTGAACCATCCTCGACTAGCCAACCTCTGTAAAGTGTTCTAATAAGGATTTGTCATTCAATGCTACGGGTCTACGGCTTTTTCACATAATCGCGTTTCCGATTTTTTGCTGAACAATCAAATGTAGAATCTCGGCGCTCCAATCACGGATTTCGTCACGCACAAAAGAATCATATCGTATGATCTGATAAAGACACAACCTCGAATTCATGGAATGTGAAGAAACGTAGATTGATTGCAAATAGATAAAGTGCAAGTTGGATTGATCGCTGTGACCCGTGTTTGCCGAATACTGTGCTTTGCGGTGAGTACTGATTAGTGAAGCGTATGTGTAATAGAAGGTTATTGTATGTTAAGATCACGATAATTAAAAAAGTCAGGGTTAGCATGTGATCCTATAATTACATTATTACTTCCATTATTCCACTGCCCTATTGTTCCCGTTAATTCATCCAAACTATACTCCATCACTCAACATTTCCAACTCCAAAGTTCTTTTCCTTGATTATTTGCCGTTGGCTAATTTGTTGATATCTGCTCCTCTCACAAGACTCAACTGGTCGTTGTTCTCCGGTTCTGATCTACGTCTAGATATCGTTGATGTTCCTACGATTATGGCTGCTAGATTGAGCACTTTGGACTAGATGGAGCATCTGTTATCGTTTGTCTCCATGACAGTTGTCGAAACACGCGTTGTTACTTGATATATATTCTTTACTGTCATATCTTCGATTCTGCCGATGAGAACGATTTATAACGGTCAAATTCTTAGAAGTCCTCCATTCACTGTTACCATCCCACCCATTTATCCTTGTCGAGTCTGCTGCGAGTAGACGGTAGAAGAACCTATTTCGATTATCCTCCTTTGCCATTTCTCTGGCCAAGTGGCATATCCTGCCAGTAATCGGGCGTCAATCTGATTCCAACTGGCCGCCGGTACACTTATTATCTAATCCTCAAATCTGTACATTGCGGGCCCATACTTCTTTCGTCATAATAGCAAGTCAGCCATCTGCTAATTGTAAACGCTACTTGAATGATAACTCTAAGCTGTCGTACAAGGAAAGCTTAATATGACACTATAATAATAAGCCATTATGTAAAAGACGCTCTATTTTATCATGTGAAAACTACGTAAATTAAGGGTTAATTAATGTTTTTGCATCATGTCTAATTTGGCCAATCACGGCGTGATTTTACGGGTGCAACAAACAAAAAAATAAACTATTGTTCATTTGTATTGTAACGTTCACCAATGCTGGCAGTGTTACTGGGATCAATGGCGGCTAGCGACAAGAAGACAGAGTAGCAATACAATGCCTTTATTGGTAACTGGTCTAAAAAGCTACTTGCTTTGTTCTATGACCATGATCACGAGAACGATCGATTCAAGAAACCAAAGTCCTGTCATGAAAGAATCCTGCCATGAAAGAAATCTTCCAACAGCCTCTGTAACAACTATTGTAATTATTGAGCAGATTTCCTTTCGTAACACATAGTTCTACTCTGCAGTTCCCACGCAGACAGAAGAACGTTTTTTGGGGTTCTTGATCTCAAATTTTACGAATCTGATTATGACGTATTGGCAGTTCAAATTAATATTGTCGAATGTCAATAGCACTTGCTCTGATAGTTCCATTCATGCATGAGTAGAAACGACGATGTGTATGGAAACTTGAGATTATTCATGTTCTTAATTATTGGATTTACATGGAAAGTTTTCTATCAATTTACCCCCCCAACAGGAAAACCAAGCACCTGCTGCGGAACTTCTTTAATTTTGTATATTGTACAATGGAAAGATGTTACAGCCAATGATTTCACTGCCATCGGACCATCATGGAACGTTTAGGAAAGACAAACATTATACAACCGCAGTTACACATCCATTTACATTGAAAGTATTTAAACACGCTACTTTTTTCCACCAAACAAAAAACCAGTCTTTTTATACCGTTCTGATCTCACCTCTTGATATTAATATCGCACCCCCCTTTAAATCCGCACACTTACAAAATACATAATAATAACCCAACACTCACACGCTTAACTATCATCAAAATGGAAGTCGTTCATAAATCAGCCTTCGAAGTATATCAAACCGCTGCCAAACAAAATGATCCTGTCGCACAATATTGTGTTGGTGTATGTTACAGCCAAGGAACTGGAATAGAGACCGATTTTAAAAAGGAAATTAAGGAAATTGAATTATTGGAGCAAAAAGCCAAACTCGGGTCCCCCTATGCACAACATAAACTCGCTATATGTTATGGTGATGGATTAGGTATTGACCAAGACGATAAAAAGGCCGTTGAACTATATAAACAAGCCGCCGACCAAGGATATGCTCCTGCACAATACGCTCTTGGCTCCTGCTATAATAATGGAACCGGAATAGAGAAGGACACTAACAAGGCGCTTGGATTGTATAACAGAGCTGCTGAGCAGGGTTATGCTCCTGCGCAGTACAAAATTGGTAAATATGTATCCCACGTTCACGCCGATTATCAATGGTCAATCAAATTGTTTAAAGGAGCTGCGGACCAAGGTTATGATAAAGCGCAATATAGTCTTGGTATGTGTTATCTGAATAATATTGGCGTAGCGAAAGATGATCAAAAGGCTTTGACATTAATTCGAAAAGCCGCTGAACAGCGGTACCCTGCGGCACAGTATACCCTTGGTTTGTGCTATAGCAATGGGGTCGGAGTAGAAAAAGATTACAAAAAATCAGTCGAGCTATATCAATTGGCGGCTAACCAAATGTATGCGCCCGCTCAGTATAATCTTGCTACACACTACTTGAACGGCATTGGAACAGAAAAGAACATTCAAAAAGCCATTGAACTATATGAAAATGCAGCCAAACAAGGACATTCCAAGGCGAAACACAATCTCGCTGTATGTTACGATAAGGGCGTTGGGGTGGAAAAAGATGCTCGCAAAGCCGTCAGATTATATAAAGCCGCTGCTGAACAAGGGATTGCCAGCTCGCAGTATAACCTTGCCATAAGCTATTATTACGGATTTGGAGTCGAGAAAGATGCTCAAAAGGCCGTTGAGTTGTACCGAAAAGCTGCCGAACAAGGGCATGCTGGTGCTCAATATAATCTTAGCATGTGCCATTTGAGTGGGAAGGGAGCAGATATAGATGAACGAAAGGCAGTAGGATTACTTCAAAGAGCCATTGAACAAGAAAATCAAGAAAATGCGAATGAACTATATCAAAAAACAATTGAACTATACCAAGAAACTGATAGGTACGAACTTGCAAAGGCGCAACATAATCTCGCCGTTTGCTACTGTAATGGGAAAGGGACAGAGAAAAACGACGCGAGAGCCTTTGAATTATTCAAAAATGCAGCAGAACAAGGGTATCCTCCTTCACAATATACTCTTAGTGTGTGTTATAGCAACGGTGTTGGCGTAGAAGAGGACACTCAAAAGGCAGTCGAATTATACCAAAGGGTTGTTGAACAAGAAGGTGCTTGTACACAATATGTTGTTAGTCTATCCAATGCAAATAGAGCTGAAGAGGATGACTAAAAGAAGATCGAATGCGGGCGAGCGCGGTATAATATCGATAGTAGCTATAAATAGTCAAAAGGCGAGTCACTGTGGAGGGGACGGGCGCAATATATATAGTACATAAACATTAAATCATTACAATCGAAATATTTATATAACATTGAATACGTATCAAACCTTTCTATAAGAACGTTGCAAGTCTTCGTTTTTCTTGGCAACTTAAATAGCTACGTCATGTCGATATTCACTTTCATAAAACACAATAAATAAGATCGAGAGCGTTTTGAAGATTAATTATCCAAGATTCACTGCATGGAATGAAAGTAGCGAATCGGATTAATTGTATTCAAGTTGCCGATTTGTTGACAGTACAATCGACATACCGGCCAATCATTACGCCACGGGAACTTTCCGGAATTTGTCAGATAAACATTTCGCTCGCACAAGATTATTAAACCGTAAAAAACCGCAAAAAACCGCAAAAAACCGTACAAAAACCGTACAAACCGTACAAAAACCGTACAAACCGTACAAAAACCGTAAAAAACCGTAAAAACCTGTAAAAACCATAAGAAACCGTAGGAAACCGTAAAAAACGTACAAAAACCGTAGGAAACCGTAAAAAATCGTAAGGAAAAACCGTAAATAAACCGTAAATAAACCGTAGGAAACCGTAAATAACCGTAAGAAAACCGTAAGGAAAAACCGTAAATAAACCGTAGAAAACCGTAAATAACCGTAGGAAAACCGTAAATAAACCGTAATAAACCCGTAATAAACCGCAATAAACCGTAATAAACCGTAAGAAATCCGTATGACTTGATACTCTTAGCGTACATAACATTGCTATTACTCTCTCAACTTGGCTGATATCGCAATGGCTATGCTGTTATCTTATATAGCTTGTAGCGAGTGTTGGACACATTCATCCCATGAAATAGGAATGAGATATGTCATTGAACGATTCTTTCTTTATTGCTACTAATCTATGTACATTTTTCGTTAGATGGGGACATGACAGTTCTGTGCATACCATGAGCGAATGCATGAGCGAATGCATGTATAATGTAAGCAATGTGCAATGTAACATACCAATACAAAGTAGAAAATGTAGTGTTAATGATATTAACTCTTTATATTAAATGTTCGATCAAACTGACTCCCCCCTTCCCACCTCGAAACATCCAGTGATATATTTCTCAAAGTGAATTTGTGTTATTTGGATTGCGCTGGCCCCTGCCTTAACCTGTGGGATTAATAAATGTAAGTTAGAGGATGAAAGAAGGCGAGGATGGCAGTAGAATGGAAAAAGAGAATTTGAGAGTAAACGAGAAAGAACAGACATTACCTTAGCATACCACGGATGTACATTCAAAACGCTTTTACTATTGATCCCACAACAGCATGTCACCACTGAAACTTAAATATATATATTATATGCTTACTTATGTACAACCGTAGAGGCAACGTAACTGAATCTGGGCATTACCATCATCATTGATAACACGCTTTTACTATTGATCCCACAACAGCACGTCACCACTGAAAATGAATATATATATTAGTATGCTTACTTATGTACAACCGTAGAGGCAACGTAACTGAATGTGGACATACCATCATCATTGATAACACGCTTTTACTATTGATCCCACAACAGCACGTCACCACTGAAAATGAATATATATATTAGTATGCTTACTTATGTACAACCGTAGAGGCAACGTAACTGAATGTGGACATACCATCATCATTGATAAACACGATGTTACCTTCGCGACAAGTTTGGATGTTAAACCATATTGATTGCGACCCAACAGTTTTTCATTTCTGATAGATGAGTGGCAGATGTGTGGGCGCGCCAATCTATGAATATTTCGCACGACTCTCACCACCTGGTCTTTGATGTTAGATCCATAATCAGTCAGTTTAATCTTACCCGAATTCTTCAACACATAATAAGAAATGCTTAAAATTATGATGCTTGCAATAACAGTCGCCTACCCATTTCCTTCTATATAGTAATAGACTTGTATAGTCATGCTAAAACATGCATTGTTATCGATTAGCAAGCCCGAATACTTCCACGTCCATCACAGTCAAAAGACCAAGACGGAATAAGTCGCCCAGAGTATCCACGAAATGTACTTGATCGAATGGCCGTTATTTGACAGCCATGTCTATGTCGTAAAGATTGGTTTGACAAGGGACAGTGCTTGTTAACTGAAGCCTGACACTGAAACGATTACTTCCTCTGATGAGACTCTTGATTTTTTGCCGTAAAGAGAATTGCATGCGTGGGGATCGGTCAATTTGATTGATATACATGGTACATAGAAAGACTCTCAAGCAATTCAAAAGCTAATCTCCGCCTCCTATTGTATGATATATATAATACGTCAGACTATGATTATTACAAGACGCTTAACATCTATCAACCTTGCCCACTCTCCGCTGATGTCAAGGTGAAACTCAAAACGAACCGTGGCAAAACGAGTTGGTATACTTCCAAAGGACATGTCGTGATGGAATGGCGGAGCGTATAAAGAAAGATAACATCTACAGGAGATGTCATAGCCACTACGATCTACTGTAGTTTCGGTGTTTGGGAATGATTAAATTATTCTATTACTATCCGTGTAATTCGGAATAAAATTTAACTGCTTTCACGTGCAAAGATTCGATGTCGATTGAGTAATACAAAAATGCAATCACTACATACTTTCGCGTTTTACGAGAGACAAGGTTCTAAGCAATACACAGAATGCTTCCCAACATAACTAACCAACTTTTATTTTTATGTCGAGTAGTAATTTAATACAGCTTTGATACGAATATAAACCATATCATCGATTCATTCCCAAAAAACCATATTTTCCGTTTTGACAATGTTCTTTTGTCAAGTTGCGCGATATCACATTACCCCTTAAATGTTTATATTTGAAATAATATAGTGTTCATCTCGTCAGAATTCTTACAGTCCAAATATACATGTTACCAAATGCCCAGGACGTAGTCTTGTTCGGCTGCAGTTCTATACAATTCAATCGCTTGTCGAACATTTTTCTCTACTCCGGCACCTTTATAATAACAAACAGCAAGACGATACATTGCGGCGGAATATCCCTGGTCAACGGCCTTTTGATATGCCGTAGCCGCTTTGGTATATTCTTCCTCGACCTCTTCATAACATGTTCCAAGTGTAAATAGTGCGACCACGTATCCCTGCGCGGCAGATTTTTCAAGCATTTCGATCGCCTTGCGATAATTGGCTTCCTCGTCCAGACTTTTTTCTAAATAACTTAAACCAAGACAATACTGGGCCTTGGGATGGCCTTGTTGCGCTGCTTTATTATATAGGTGCATCGCCACACCGTTGTTCATGTCTACTCCGACTCCGTATTGATAACATTTGGCTAGTCTATATTGAGCTTTACTATAACCTTGTGCGACGCATCTGATATATAGATTGACGGCCTCTCGATCATCTTGAGCAACCCCCATTCCCGCCTTGTAGCATCTTGCCATTTTATATTGAGCCGGCGGATACTCTTGTTCGGCCGCTTTTTTATACTGCTCGATGGCCTTGCCAATGTCCCTCTCCACCCCTATCCCACTCTCGTAACAGACGCCCAGATCTAATTGCGCTGGAGCGTATCCCTGATCGGCCGCACTTTGGAATAATTTGACTGCCTTTCGACGATTCCTAATTACGTATCGACCAGTCTCGTAGAATATGGCGAGATCGTGTTGAGCTCTAACGTCACCTTTTTTGGCTGCACTTCGACAAAGTTCGATCGCTTTCAATACGTTTGGTTTTACACCAATCCCATTGTTGTAGCATACGGCTAGATTAAATTGAGCACTGGCAAGCCCTTGCGCGGCCGCTTTCTCGTACAACTCGACTGCCAATTTAGCATTCTTTTCTACACCGATTCCTTTGTGGTAGCTGATCCCCAGATTATACAAGCCGAGAGCATAGCCTTGATCAGCAGCTTTCTGATAGAGTTCAAATGCCTTTTCGTAACTTTGTTCTACCCAATCACTATATTTATAAAATTCAGCCATGCAAACCTGTGCATATGGGTCTCCTCCGAGGGCGGCTTTTTGGTAATATTCGAACATTCCTTCCGTAATCTCCATTATAAAAAAAGAAACGTTGTGCGTGTAGTATATGTTGTGTATGTTGTGTAAATGGTAGATGAGATATAGTTGCTTATAATGGGATGGGATGGTAGAGAATATATTCTTTCTCGTTGGCGGACGTTGCGTGTATTTAAATGTTTTCGATAAAAGGGATGGATCGAGAATCTTGCAGCTGCGGTTAAGACGATTGACCATGTAAAATATTGATGCTCATATAAATTTTATTATTATCAGTTATGGGCGCAATAAACGACGTGACAATGAACATTAGAAAAGTGCATGCTCGTATATCATGCGACATTGTACCTCAGCCAATACAATGCGAGTATCGGAGTTATCAGTATTCCAAGTTGTCAAATTTGGCCTAGAGTGACACCAGATAATGGGCCAAGCGCAGTTGTGGGAAAACCTCGATTGTCAAAAGGGGCGTAGGCTATTGTTTGTCAACGTACAATAGGCGGCACATCATTACTACTTTCTTCTGACTCTTGCAACCCGGCGTTTGTTAATACTGATGATATATCGACGTATTTATCAGTTATACGCCATACTCGTGCCTAACGATACACAATATGCATGTGGTGGTTTATTCAGTACGTGATTGAAAGAAGTTCAAGTATAGGGGGGGGGAATTGTAGGGGCAAGCAAAAATTGTAGGGGCAAGCGAAAATGTAGGGGCAAGCAAAAATTGTAGGGTGCAAGCAAAAATTGTTCGAATAGGAGAACAATTGAGTTGAAAAAAAAAAAAAGACATCTCTCCCACGCATCCAGACAAGGGTTAAAGTTTGATTAATTTGCTATTCATTTATCTATTCGATTGAACTTGATGCGTGATTACGAATACAGCGTTCCTTTTTTGACAAATCTTGTCATGAATGTCCCAACAAACAATATGTGTGACTCTTACCATATTGTTTGTCGTTTAGCCATCATTCGGAACTTGGAATTTGGTTTTCTATTTTAAGCCTAGTATACAAATTTAAGGCTGCAATGTTCGGTCATACTGTGCAACGATCTAAGCCTCCTTGTCGTACGTTCTTTGATATGCTATTGGGTGGATGTTGAACAAACCTTAATATTTTTGCATATACATATTTATTTGCATATTTGCTTCGGAGCATGATCTTCTGGATCCTCGCAACATTTGGGGTTTGTTTTTGTGTGCGATGTTCGTACCGCTAAATAATCTGATCGTAACCAGGAATGGTATTATTAATATGAAGAGTCCATTGGTAATTTGGGACAGACGAGATTACCGCCGCAAAAATAGACCATCGTTGCTGTCGTTATACCAAGAAGCATGCTTTGTTACAGTCCACGCTGTCTAATGTTTGAATAATGGAATTATATTTAATCTTCAATGTATACAGTAAACTTTAATTCTTCGGGTAATTATTGGTTTATCTTTTGATCACGAGTGACGTAATAATTGTGCTAATATTTATATTAATTAGATGATAGAATCACTTATTCCGACATTTGTTCCAATTTTAGATTGATTGTTTGATAATTCTGTCTTGCGTTTGATTAGTTTGCTCCTTAAAATCTATGAGGAGATGGTTGTAATGTGTGAAACGTGGATTCTGGTCTTACTTGAATAGTCGCGTTCCTTATGGACTTGTAGGCGGAACAAATTTCATTCAGCCCTCTCTCTTAAAATAGAACGTACAGCTATGCACGATGTGTCTGATGTATATTCCTGCTCAGTATAACAATAGTATACAGAATACTATTTATGATCGTGTACAATAATAATAAGGGATAATTCCCTATTTAATACTACTTGCAAGGAATAAAATACGCAACTTGTCTTACGTAAAGTTCAGAAATACCGATATAAAAATGGTCGCAAGCTTTACATCAAGAACAAATTATCCATCGACTGGACACAAGTCCCACACATACTCATTTCTGCCATCACATCGACATATTCCTCACTTGATAACAAGACGAACGACGAACGACGAACCACCAAACAGCCCAACTATCGCTTTGTCGGACGGGAAAAAAAAAAGTCTTACTCTGGGCCGACAACTTCTTGTCTATGTCGAAAGAGTGGAAGGTCGAAAAGTCGAACCAGCTGCGCTTGGTTGAAATGGACTTAAATACCCAGAGCCTTTGTGTCCTTTTCTCTCCCCATACATATAAATATGTAAATTTTTATAAAATTCATCACAATCACCTCCCTCACCCGGGTAAATCATCCCAGTCATCTCCATCACCCGGGTGGGGAAAAAAACAAAATCGTTATCTCTTCTTTCCTCTCTGCCGCCCGGATCTGATGAGGCCATTTGCGTCGACCGCGCCAAAGTTGAATGAAACGGCGCTTTTAAATGTGAGTAATAAAGTGGTATATTCTTCCTAAAATTCTAGACTATTACATAGACAATACTTATATATTTGGTTTATCTATTACAGTATTAATATTAATACGTAACCCCAGTAAAATTAACCTGGCGGTTCTGACGTTCCTTGGGCTTGGACAACGGTCCTCCAGCCATTCAATGCCAAATGACTTGTGTCTACTGCGCGCGATGGCTGGAGGTTTTGTTGTCGCATAACGACGCCGTTTTTTAATTAAAAATGTATAGGTTTTACTATTTGTTAATTAACTAAATTTTTGAAAGTTTTTAAAATTTAAAAATATAAATTTCTCAATGTATGAAACTTGGACAGCTAGTCAAAAATTTTTTATAAAACTATATTATAACATTTAAAAATTCTTCGATCATTAATTAGATCATTTAAAGCGAATGAAAATTTTTTCATCTTTGGCTAACAAATATTAATATCTTGTACTTGCAATCAAACAATATGTTACTGTAGTTCACAACGTTAATATGACAAATAAATGCAAAATTTAATATATAACATGAGTTAAATATTGGCAGAATAACATCTCGACAAAGGTCGCGTTATAAGTTGTAATAAAAATTTAATTATAATAGTAATAGTCATATAATAGGATAGCGTTTTCCCGCCTCTCTCACAAGATCTCGAACTAGTGTTTTAATTTAGTCAATATGTAGTTATAAACAAGCCTGTGACAGAATCACTTAATAAAACATATCGTTGTTTGTTTTTTTTTTTTACAATAACCACAGTTCAATGATTGAATATTACCTTATTAAATAAAGACATCAAGTCATTGGTGCTTATCTTGTTGAGCATGAGCACAAAGAATAACTGAGAATTCTGCTGAGAAAAAAAACAATCCCAGATGAGTAAAGACGGTGACTGTAGCACTGTTATCAGTATGCTATTGGTGTCCGAATGAAATCGATGTTCCACTGCATTTATTTATAGCAATTATCGATTAAAGTTTTAATTCAGGAACTCGCATCTATTTTCTATTTTAAGCTATATGTTGTCAGCGGTAATACCATGGAAATATACTCAGCGCAAAAGAGAGAGCAGTCATGGAAATTGAGTTTCCCTGTAACCATACAATACAACATTAATGTCTGTTCTGACAATTTTTAATCTCGATTATGTATCCGTATGGACTTGATTAATTTTGTGACAAATCTCTCTTTATTTCCTCGTTCTCATGTTATCGGCAGGCAAAAAGAAACTAGACTGTACCTGATGATGATTCGGCACGACATATTATGTCTACCCAATCTCAAGAAAAAAGCTTTTGCATCATTTATTTTTGTGTTAGTTCACAGATATCTTTTTTTTTTACTTGGTGTTCTTCTCGTCATTAACCCACGTCTAAACAAAATTGCGGCAACAGATTTCTTAGAGAGACAACGTATATTATGTATGCTACTGGGCGAATATGCTTCGCGTAACGCTGCATTCTTAATTCATTACTCTGTCTCCACATTGTCTTAGAGTATGTTTTTTGACGGCAGAATCCAAGGAACACCATGCTCCCAGTATTATGATTACTTCACGACAGCAACAATCTGTCTAACATTTCCAATCATGCGTATAAAAATGAGTGGCTCAACTTACGTCAATCATGCTTGATGTCCTCTGTAAGATGCGGCACGGCACATTCTTTACTTTTATTCAGAAATTTCTGCAGCGTTTAGTTAGGATCTTTGACGCTAGCCACCATACTTCTCAGTATTAATAAAGTTACAATATGAATTAAGAGTCGAATAAACTTGTTTCTAATACTTAATGTGTAGTAGACTCCCATAGAGAACTTTAATTCGGGAATGTTTCTACTTTAAATTTTAGTTTGTAAATATTCTCTGTCATATTTCTGTCGAGAACAATATTAGTTGTGTTATGTAAATGGTTGTAACTTCTTCATATGACAGTAATTAATATATGACACATTGAAAAAATAATCACCTCAATAACAATCACCCATTTACATCTTAACGGTTATACAATTTACTACCAGTAATACTCGTGGATACGTATTACCGAAGTTTAAGCTATAACAGCAAATTATAGCTAATTTGATATTAGCATTGAATATTAATACCACAAACAAAACGCGAACGACGATCTAAGTAAACGTTCGATTAGATTGGTGATCAAATAAAAGTTGGAATCTATTGGTAAATCGAGATCATCCAATACACGTTCTGTAAGTAATGAGAATCCTATATACTCTCTGTATTGTAAACAATTTATGCTAGTAATATACGCGCATATTAACCGTTTTACTTGTTAAAACACGAATGTTTAAAATAATAATTTCAACAAACAAAATTCTTTTTCCAATAGAAGACAATAACTAATAACGTTAAATTTTAAATTGCCTTTTTCTTATTTGGACCTTATTTTCTAATAGCAAAGTATACATTGATCTCTGAGGGGTTAATTCAAATTCTCAGCAAATAACAGCGTAGATTAAATTAATGCTACCTAAGCTAACAAATTCAATAATGAATTAGTAAATTTATACAATACGAGATTTTATTAAATCATCAGATACAGTCTTCTGTATCAGCTTGAAGTTAATTGGTTATATTTTTAATTTAAACAGTAATATAGTGAAGTTGGTTACAATTTAAACATATTAATATGTAATTGCGTATGTGTATCTAATATGCCACATTATAAAAACAACTTTATAGCAAAAATAATTTGCTCTATTATTATCTAAACTGATAAACTTAATTAATTGACAAGCTTCGAATAATGCAAGATATTAAATAAAAGAATAACTCTCATGCAACGACAAGGCTAAATTTCTTTTAATTTCGACATGTTCCAATGTTTATATGGAATGATCTAATTATTACTGCAAAGAAACACTAGCAAAGTCAGGAATTCTTTTAACGGTTTATAATCAACTCGCCTAAAATGTTGAACACTTAACTAAAAATATGTGGTCGATCGATAAATTGAAAAGCTTATTGGGGACGTAATCAAGACCACATTTAGGATTATTGTTGACAAGATTGTATTAACAGTGCTTACCCATCATATAGTTTGGCAGTTAACAAAAAGTTGACACTTTATTTCGCTATCCTTTATCTCGCCTTCCGCTTATTGTATTAAACCGTTTTGAAATACACATTCTTATATCATATATAGTATAATTTATCGAGTTTGCTTCTTGCATCCAATATTTTACATTGCAAATTTAGAAATAGTAAAATTGTCGGTTATTTTAATGTATGTAAATTTATTTTTAAATTTTTTATTTATTTTATGCAAAATTGAAAACATTTGTTGAAACTAAAGATAATTACAAATAGGCAAATACAAATTTTTGTTACGTATAGTCAGTATTTAATCAATTTATTTTAACTTTATTTTATTTTATTAATTTACTACTTATTTGCCAGTTGGCTTAGAAGGGGGCGTTTGCGTGCGTCAGTGTTTTTTTAGGCATTGGGGATGTGAAGTGTATTTATAGTATCGCCCAGCCCTCTGACTTGCTTGCATTCCGTCAAATGTTCATACACTTGACAAGAAGCCGGCCATTCGTGGCTGCTTCTTATCAAATAAATGAGATCATTTTATTGAATCTCATTAAACCCAGGTTTGATAATGGGTTGTTGGGTTATGGTCCGAGGACTGTCTTGCAAGTGACAAAGACAACTGTCAAGTGCCCCGGACCGAGAGTAGTAACCCAGACCAAGTGCATTGAAATTAAATTTCAAGTTTGGTACAAAGTCGATGTTTCTGTAAGAATATATGACAACAAGAAAAGGTCAATAACAAGAACTGCATACTGTCGTCTATTAATGAAAACGTTTCTACATACTTATTTGTGGGTATCTTTATACTTTTTATTTCAGTCTCTCTTTGTTGAGGATTGCAAATTACAGGATACATTCTTACGAGTTACTGACTCGATGAAGACAGTACTGCTTTTATTTGACCGTGATGCGGTTGTACAACGTCCCCCGATTATCAGTGCATATATGTAGATAACACCAATATCGATCAGTCTTTTATAAGTTTGTATATGCTCTGATGTTGCATATAGTGCATGTGGGTATGTGGGTATGTGGGTGTACATATGTATGCTTGTATGTATTTAAGTATAATAGCCAAGGTGTTATAAAAAGCGTCCTTAGAGTTCCAAGCTCATGAAATTCATCTGTTTTGAGCCAGAAGCCACAGTTGCAAAACTCAGAGATAATCTATCGTCTGCATCTGTCGCCATATTATTTTCCAAAAATCGACTACACAGTGAAAAAACTATTTGCGGTTACTCTACATTGGTCAATGACCAATCCAGTGTGAGCATGCTGCAAACACTATCACACAGCTTTTATCGAGATATCATCAACCTTCTGTTTCAAGATAAACAATAACGGCAGACATGGCCAATGGTTGTTGGTCAAAACTGTGTACCCTCTTCAAATTTACGATGCGCTAGATTCTGTACTGCTCTTCTGTTACATCTAACGTGTGTCAACGAATTTAAGCTTTCTGTACTCCCGTCTTGTTAATTGCGTATACTATTGAAAACAGTTACATGCCAATATATATCATTATCATCTTCATCATCACCTCATTACTATGTTATACAATATTTATTGCTGCAAGGAACGGCTAATAGTGGTAATCTATTTATCCATGAACTTCATATAGAATGATTATCCGAGGCCTCCATTTTAATCTTGAACTGTTACATCAATTTAAATTTTGCCTTTATACTGTATTAGTATGCACACTTCCTATATTATCAGAGAGAATCTTATCCGTAAACAAAAAAAAAAAAAAAGAGATCTCACAAGCAAATGCTTTAATAACTGATCACATGGTAAACTCGATTTCATAGGTGTTGAAATGTGAATTCATTAATTTAATATATTAGAACTCGGTATTAATAATAGTACTGTTCAAATTGAAAATGCATGTCTACGATAGTCTAGCAACGACTTTACCTACATCGGAAGCTGGCGCGTATTCCGTTCCATTCATTCTGAAAAAGGGAGGATTGTTATCATGTTACAATCTGTATAGTACATACAGTAAATGCCAAGCACAAAGCAATTTACAAAATAGCATACAGAAAAACGATAGGCCAATATATTGTAATCTTTGTTTATATCGATCGTACCAAAAGAAGTAGATTATAATAGTGAATTACGATAGAATAACCGTTAGACCGTATGTCGTTGGAGAAGATACTAAAAGAGTTGAATTAGCAGCTATAAGCATGTAAACGACTACATACCTGAATTATACAATTTAGAGAAAACCCGATTGGTTGTGTATGATATTAGTTGTAGACGTTCGATTAACATCTGATGATCGTTGTATGGTAGGTTTTACAAATAATAAGAATGTCCCAATTAAAAAATACGCGTGTGTTTAGCAGAAGGAAAATTTTTTCATTTAGCTCATGGTAATAGTAAAGCAATCAATTTGCCCTTGTTCGATTTGTATGGAATTCATTTCTATTGCTTTACAAAGTTTAATTAAATGAGACGGGTTGTACCATATTACGCTTGGTGTTTGGGCATTCTACTCTTACCAATGTATGATTATTGTTTTGACTAAACAACACTAACGTTGCACAGTGAATGCCGAATATATTAATATGGATAAATAATCACAAATACGAGTGTATTTCATAGTACATAGAACATACAGAGTCTATTTATGGATAATGTAATAACAACAGTAGTGTTACTATTGATAAGAATTGGGTTCTCAGTGTGCGGCACAACGAGCTAGGACAAGCTCCTCTGAGAGAGCTTGAATGTCAGATAAGACATCTGCCAAGATTACGACGCGGTCGGCAATTTGAAATTACGTGTGTAGGACTCTGATGTTAAGGAATATACTGTATGTACAGGCATCGACATTGTTTAAAACACATACGTTACGCTGTTTGATTTGAGCTCGTCAATTCTCTTTCCAACAGATTCTCAAGTTTTACTACCAAGTCTCTTGTCCTTTTTGACCTCTCCCATACTTGTACATCATCGATTGACATACGCATCATTTGAACAAGGCATGTGAAGAGAACGGATTATGTCTGACTAGTCTGATGAGCACTCGTATTACAAACGGTATCCAGTCCAGTCCAGTTCAGTAAAGGTCTGCTACACCCTGCTATTTACCCTACCCGGATCACGGGATATGCTGATGTATTCGCTTTTTGCCATAAGTCAACGAGATTCGCATATCCGCTGCTCCAGTTCTTGAACACTTATTTAGTAGGATCGTGCTTCCTCGGCTGATTAGAAATACCAACTACTACGGTCATATCTTAATAATATTCTCAATAGAATCTTTGATAAACATCTATAAGCACGGCGATGGTAGTCACGTCAATGAGGAAGAATGCTGAAGAATGAATATAGAATTATTTACAATACAGACAATTAGCCAAGTAGGGCATGGAAAGATGTTGCATATTGTATTCTGGATGATTATGGCAAACAACTATCTAGAATAAAACCGTTCATCAGAGTGAGTGTGGACGATAAGCGATCAAGGCACTGATCGAATGTAATGATAAGGATTATACTATGTATTGAGCGATTATACAGATAGATCGAGTGACCAAACTTACAATAAGATGCGTCACTTTGATATTAACTTGAAGCCTATTTCCACCCAAGTAACCTTCATCTACACCATATCGATATTATACCTTCTCTTTCAAGTCCCACATGCCGTATACCGTCGTAAAGGGTAAACACATCTTCAACTTTTATTGCATCGCTCAAACACCTTTGCATTATCCTGGAAAGTAGAGTCTACATTTTACCACTAGCACTATCCACAGTCACTAAAAACATTATGATGGGTAATTGGAAGAGTTTTGCGAATCCAGTTTGTGCAGATGCTGAGCTATAGTAGTTGTTCGACATCTATCCACTCCAGCCAATAGAGAACTTGACAATAACATCTGGATGGAGAAAGCTAAATTTTCTGTTCGTTTGGATAATAATTTTTGCCTTATTAATAGTAAGATTACCGCATTCCCTTTCACGATGTTCTGAATACCGTTCAATTAACGTTCGTCGAGTAGGAACTAGATACTTATTATGAGTGCGGACCTGTCGTTCGAATCTCTCTCACTCCGCCAGAATTAAAAGTAGAAAGAAGTTAAGAATACCTATCAATCTGCTCCTTCTGAACAAATCTTCAATCATAATTAACAACGTGATATCAATTATGAATCTTCAAGGTATGACTGGCGCGGGTTTTCGTTTTCTTCGCAACTCACGTACTTGCTTAGGCTGATTTATCAGACTTTTGGCAGTACTTCTTGTACCATGGTTGCATTCTAAATAATGTACATCTATTAGCTTCTCCCGAACGCACTAAGCACGACATACCTCATTACTTAATCGCATTATGCGAACCGTATTGCTGATTCTTATAATAACGTGTATTACTTGTATGAGATGGCACGAGAACTGCAGCAGCTAAGCCGAGAAACTGCCGTCATCGCCATCCAATGCATTCTGTAAGAGTGATAAGTTAACAAAGTAAATATCACACATCAAGCACCTTTTGCTTATCTAATTAAGCATTGAGTTATCGACACACTCACAACTTTGGTCGAGCAATCGCGATCCTCATCGTGAAATGCATTCTGTAGAATCAATATGTTATCATGCTTATTAGATGCACGGACCCAGTTACACGTTTTAAAAACGCTCGCAATAGCTTTTCATCTCTGCTTCCTAGTCACGACTCGCAAGAGAAATCGTCCACATCATCGCGGATACATTCTGTAAGAGCAAGGCAATTAAAATTTACTAAAACGTATTACGATATCCGCATGCAATAAGTACCTATTTTTGGCATCGCGCTCGATTCGACGGCTGTGTCTACGATCATTGAGATTCTTGGCTGGATTTCAACGCAACGGCATACACTTTTCAGAAGCAAGGCAGGTTCACAGCTGGCCTGATACGTTGTGATTCATCATCATGTGCATTCTGTAAGATTAATCTTGTGTAAAAGACAAATTACCAGTCGCGAAAGCATCATTGCTTTTTCGCTGTTCAAACCGCAAATTATCAAACATCACCTTTCTCTGCCTTTCATGAAGCGATGCACGCATAACGTTGTTGCGATTGCCATGTCCAGCACTGTTAATTGGCGTTTCTTCAATGAGGTACCACATTGTCTAATGTATCTTCCTTTGAGCTCTCTCATTTATTGCCATTGCCTGAGCAACTGACACGCAAGAATGCTAGTAACGTCACTGATTGCGAAAAACCTATTATGGATAAAACCTAAAAACCGGCGATCTGTATCGTAAAAACATGAGAATTAATATCGATATTGCCTAACGATAGACAAACCACAAAATAGCTAGCCAATATTTGGACGAGATCACCTTGAGGCTGAGAGCGTCATTCACGTCATCAAGGCATCTAAAGAATAATGGAAATCAATATTGCTATCACCATTCATTCCCGGCTTTTATCAAGCAACGACGCAAGTTGACAAGATGTCGTACACGTCACCTTCACTCTATAAGCTGAGATCAATGCAAGTGCTTGGTGAATTTACTAAAGCACTCATGAAGTAATGCAATCTCATAGTTTGAGCCAACTAATCGCAATTGATATTGTTAACAAGCGAGTTATTATGGATGCGCACCATAGCTATGTGTGAGACTCTTTAACTTTCGCTCGCACTCTATCTTGGTAGCAATGCACACTTGCATCCGCGCTGGAAATCAGGATTATCAAGCGCATCCTGTTAAGATCATCATTTTTGCTAGCAAATGGAACGTGAATCAATTACGACCTATGCACGCAATTACCGTAAAGTGTGTGTCGTCATAGCCACTTATCAACGCGTCTACTAAAATGACACTCAAATCACCGACATATCGGAACATTGCACGTAATAAAAAAATCATACCCTCTTGCTATCAATTGAATAACTGCAATATTACTTTTCTTCAAAATAAACCAATCTGGTAATGCCACATTCCAAAATCAAGTGTAGCCACAGTAGTTGTACAATGACCATCTAATAACAGGGGTTGTTGTTGGGAGGGTTTTTTTGGGGAGGGGGGTTTTTTTTTTTGCTAATTATATTCCGACTTCCGAATGTATTGTACGTCGATATCCATTAAATGGCATACGATGCATCTTTATGCAACGATACAAGTATAGTAATAATTAAAAGGACAATGACTCATGTGACAAGTGATATTCAAATGTCTGTGACAAAAACTTGCATTTAAAACTCATCACCTATTAAATATACTTTGCATATCACATTACGTACGCTATTGTGAAAGGCATAATAATAGCCCACAACTCTTTACAAGGCCCATCAAGTTACAAGCTCATCGAATGCGCGTGGTGAATCAACAACATACAGCTTTCTTGTGTTCAAGTTTAGCAAAAATGAAACCACTTGCCAGATCTGTTACATTTACAAGTGAATGCTTATATAGCAATGGCAGAATGACTAACGTTGGGCAAGTTATAGTATATGAAAAGTATATAGTACATAAAGTATATGGTATAGTGTAATAATAGATATATCAATAAGTGCAATCACATTCTATATGTTGCAGATCTCAACATTTTCACTAGTATTGACAATTAGTGTATTATCTGCGATTGTTTGTTAAACGCATTCTCAGCCTTCGGATACTACATGCATTGATTACTGAAATAGTAATTTAGTCTTAATGGGTCCCGTTAAATTTAATACATACATATAAGACCGACGAAGCTTGCTCTCTCATTAGCTTTGCACTTGTCGAGATCAAATATTTCTGTTCATAAAAGACTCAACTAGAACGCAACATCTACCAAATTATAATCATGTCAAAGGTAATGCATCACAATGCTTATAATACATGTTCTTTGACAAGATTTATTCACATTATCCCCATATACCAAAGAAGAAAAACAAGAAGAAAAATAACAAGAACAATGTGTAAGTACTTTACATGATTGTATACCCACATATTGTCTGTCAATAATATTCTAATACGTTATACGATTCTCAAAGTTTATTATATAGAGAAACTCCGTCTTTTCAAACAACAGTTGATTGGTTTAAGTACCTCAATAAAAGAAACAAGCCAAGGTCTAAAACAGCAATATTTCTCATTTTCTGCTAATTACCATTGATCACTCATTATTATTATTATTATGTTAATTTATACTACAGATTTGACTTTGTTGCTATTGACTGTGAGATGGTAATAACCGACACCGGCACCGAATTGGCACGTGTAAGCATAGTTGATTACCAAGGAAAAGTTGCTCTCGATACGTTTGTAAAGCCACAAGATCCCGTTACCGATTACAGAACTGATATTAGCGGAATCGTTCCAGAAAATTTGCAAAATGGTACAAATTATACGTAACGAAATAATTTTTATTTTTTTTTTTTTTTTTTTTGAATACTTGCTTTCTAACCAAAATTTACGTCTCCCTCATTTATATATACTTGTACAGCACCAGCCTTTCAAGCCGTGCGAAAAAAAGTGCGGCAGCTAATCAAATTCAAGTTTGTCGTCGGGCATGCCTTGAACTGTGATTTCAAGGTAGACATGAACGCATTATCAATCGACCAATAGAACGTTTAATATGATGAATAAATTGCCTCTCACTAGTGCTACATATATTCCTTAGGCATTGCAATTAGGCTGTCAAGCAAAATTTAGACGAGACACGGCGGAATTTTTCCCTATTAAAGAAACGTGGAATGGAATCACGCCATCATTGAAAAATCTAGCGTCGGTATTTGGCTTGTCAATCCAAGATGGTATACACGATTCGGTAAGTACAAAGATTCTAACCCCCCCCCCCACTTCTCTCTGAACACCCTCTTTCATGAGATGTAACTTTAGTTGTTATATTTACATATAACCAGGTCGAAGATGCAAGAGCTGCTATGATTGTATACAGGAATTACGAAACTTTTTGGGAAGATTTTATATTTTATAAAACCGATCCAGAAAATCTGGTTACTTGCTTTTTTTGTCAAAAGCATGGGCACATAAAGTATTTTTGTGAACCTTGGAGAAAGCAGCAGCGACAAAGTAAACAAAAAGACGAACCCAGCATGGTTCAGGCTTCCTCTACTATAGTACCCAATGGTACAGCAGAAAACTCTGAGAAATGCGGTTATATTAGTTAACTGACGTAATAGCAATAATTTTTGTTAACCGTTTGCAATAAACGTATGTGGTAAAATTTTGATTACTTACTTGACTATTGTGCCTTTGGACATGGATATATCGATAAATATGAAAATAGTAGCAGTAGTAGGACGAGACCCGTATTTATTGGCATGTTGGTTAGTGTCAACATACAACAGCAACACAACAGCAACATGTTAGAGCATTAACCGTTCCATGGCTTATAGCCTTTTTTATTATATTATGGACAGCTAATTTCAAACATTCAATGAAAATTTAGAATAATCGATTTGCATGATCTTTTTCGTTTTGTTTGTTAGATTTGTGTCTCTACGTTCCTTGGAATATGTGTCTAATTGGAAGGAAATCGGTACTATACTTGGCAATAAACGCGTATGATATCATTCAATATATCATATTGTACAATCATTTGCGACACTCTCATTTATGGCATAATCTGAACAACCTTCCAAACTTTCCCGATTAACTGTATACAGCCAAAGATCCATCTCGGGCGGGGATAAATTGTTGCCAGAGTATATCATTGATTCTTGGCTATCAGAAACAAAATATTCGGAAGATTGAGTATCATTAAATATATTAATAGGTTGCGCCTCTGCAAAAAAGATTAAATTAATACGAATATAATACTGCATGTTAACAAAATCTCAAGTCCCACGCTTACCGTTCGCTTTCATCGAAGCAAGCATGCCTGCGTATTTGTCCTTTATTTCGGCCAGCGACGTAAAAAAGTCTCGGACAGTTGCATTTTCAGTCATCCACTTTTTTGCTGCATCTCTTAAGTTTGCTTGATAAGGCGCCTTCCCACAATGCTGTACGCCAGCCGAGTAATTTTGATAATAAAGCAGAGATGCCTTGGTCTGGTGTTTATGGTGTGTATGGTGTTTATGTTGACGAGTTTTAATCGGGTTTCCAATCAATTTTTCAAGAGGTATCGATAGAACAAGAGGCGGGTTGGCAATAAGCGTTCTTTCCGATTCGGTCAATTGGGTCTCGAGAAATTCTCGGAGAGTAGGGTTCGGGGATTGTGAATACAGTCGGAATCGTGATTGCATTTTTCTTTCAGTTGCAAAGATGTTGCCATGCGTGTGTTAATAAAAGCAAGGGGTTTATATGTGTTTTTTCGGGTGATTATTGGTATGGTTGATATATTCTAACTTTATTATTAAGCCAGGCATAATTATAGACATTAATAATTTATCATAACATTAATGCCATTCATCACCGTAAATGCGAAAAACTCGACTACACTTTGGTAGTCAATTGTATTCGTCAATGCTGTATTCTGCTTTGTTTTTTTCGGATTAACATCACGGAACGATTCCGTCGAGGTTTGTTTGATCATCTAATATTATACAGTTGTACAATAATTAATAATGTTGAAGTTAAAATCATTCCTTTGTTTGAAATTATAGCGTATAGAATGCTTCTCTGGCGATAATTTTCCGCATTCCGTTATATAGCGCACAACATCCTATTAAATGGTATGAATGTCTTACTCCACTATATTCTTATTTATCCACTGTATTCTTATTTAGAATGAATCGAGATATGTATCTATTTATCATATGTACTGTATGTATAGGATGCTCCAAGTGACTATATTCTATATAATGTAAATTAGGCCGATTATATATGCTGCCATTTAATTAATGTTTGGGAAAATCACCCTAAATAGAAACGTTACTTATGACTGAAAGTGGTATGAGCACATTACCTTATTACCCCCCGAAATAATTGGTTACGTAAGCGTCTCTACGAAAAAACAACCAAATAGATAAGCCACTAAAACTTGCAAGTTCTGTGATTTTCGAATGATGCAACCATAAACAAGAAACTTACGATAAATATACTGACGATTGACATATTAATGTATACCAAGCCTATATGACAGATTTATACACCCCCCTGTGTACCCTACTAATAATGTGCCAATAAAAACAGTCGCCTCTGGCTTTTCGTATTCTTCGGAATTCCACGAGGCCATATACTAAGTCAAGACATGAAAAGTTACGATGTGTAATGTAAGCTAACGATAATGCGGGAATTTATCTGCAGCCAATAGAAATTTAAAGAAATAATACGGTAATTTTGCGTTAGCATTAATATTAATCCGTAGTAGAATGGTTACGTCAATGTGTCTAATTTTGCAACAATCCATCGAAATTATTTTGGTCATCGCTTCTGGATACTTTGTATACGGTACTATTCGTTATCAATTTGTTTTAATTGCATCGCCAGGTCTAGATCTATCAGAAATTAGGCTTGGCTTGCTGCGTAATTGTAGAAGATTCTAGATGAAGATCTTGAAATTTTTTCAGAGTACAAATTCATATTAAGACAACACTATACTACTATCCTTTAATATCCCGATCTGCGATGAAAAAGACATTCAACGATTAATTTCGTAAGGTTACCAATCCACGTAATCAATTCACAGTGTATAAATAAGTACATTTATATTTATTATCATTATGATTATCATTACATTTTACATAGTTTCCGGAGTCACAGGACTGCAAATTGTTGGTGGCACTAATTCACCTCTACGAATTGCGGCTTATCAAAGCTTTCTCATCATACGTAATACGACAACTTTGAAGCCGTAGTAAGGTACAAGTATACATATTTATCGCTAGAACAATAGGTGACAGTAAACTCTGTTGCACGAAGCGACATTCTCTACATCTTTCAGTTCTGATAAAAAATACACCAATAGAACATCAACTGATTAATGCTCCCCTGAACAGCTACCGAGAAAGTAGCATACAGTCAGATCGTTGCATAATTTATATACTTAAATACGCACTTTCCCCACAACAAAATTACCCATTCGACTCATTGGGATAATACACGTACTATATACACAGCTATCTACACACATAAGAGCATCTATACACGCATACAAATCAACCCCACCTCTATACACAATGGAATTTAGAGAGGAGTTTGATTTGTGTGTCAGAGCCGTTGAGGAGGAAAACATGGAAGCGATATATACCTTAGCCAACTGTTTTAAAACAGGAAAATATGTAGAAAAAGACGATCGAAAAGCTGCCGAATTATACGAAAAAGCCTCTGCCAAGGGACACACTCTGGCACAATATAACTTGGCGGTGTGTTATTACGAAGGAGTCGGAGTAGTAAAGAACCATAAAAAAGCGTTCGAGCTTTACCAGAAAACAGCAGAAAACGGTCTTGTCGTCGCAGAATATAATCTATCAGTTTGTTATTATTACGGATTGGGAGTAGAGACGGATGTTTCAAAGGCAATCGAATTATGTCAACAAGCTGCTGAAAAGGAAGAAATGAGAGCGCAACATAACCTCGGTGTGTTTTACAGAAACGGTGATGTTGTTGAACAAGACATTATGCAGGCATTTGTTCAGTTTAAGAAATCGGCCGAACAGGGATACGCGCCTGCACTAGTCGATCTCGGCAGGTGTTTCGAGTTGGGGACGGGGACGGGAAAGAATGACGTAAGAGCGGTTGAATTATACCAAAAAGCAGTCAATCAGAAATATGCCCCGGGGCAATACAGGCTTGCTCGGTGTTATAGGAGTGGCACTGGAGTTGGAAGAAATAGTTTAAAAGTATTAGAGTTGTATCAAATGGCGGCACAGCAATCGTATCCAAAGGCGTTGTATAGACTGGCCTTGTGCTACCTCCGTGTTGGGGGTAATCGGACTGCCGTTCAGTTGCTTCAGAGAGCAGCCGACGGGGGACTTGCCGAGGCACAGTACAGTTTGGGAATTTGTTATCTAGGCGAAATTGGAGTGCAGCGTTGTTATCAAGAAGCAGAAAAATACTTGTTGCAGGCGGCGGGAAAAGGAAACAAGAATGCACAATTTACTCTTGGCTTGTGCCATGATGATATTTGCGGTCATTATAAACGAGTAACTAAACTATATGAATATGCAGCCGATAAAGAAGATGCGACCGCACAACAACTTCAAGTGAATGGTAGTTGCAGCAGTCTTGATATCTAACGGAACAGAAATCCAAATACAGAGAGTTATTATAACGAACATATAAGCATTAATTTTAGCATTGGATATAATTTGTCTATTATCGACCAGGTATATTGACAAATTTACGTTTGTTGAACGGTTTTTGCGTAGAAAAAGTCGTTGGCTTTTAAAAAAAATTTTTTGTTACAAATAAGCGTTTAAGATTGATAAATAAGGAAAGGTTCTAAACATACTATTCAAACATGTCACTCTTATTTTGGTTCTATGGTAATATTATTACAAACGATGAACTTTATTACTCTTTCGAATTCGGGGGTAACGCTAACGTCCCAATGTTAATAATAATAAACCATTTCACATATTATAGTTTGTGCAATGCAAGATAATGAGAGGAAGTAATTTAAGGTTTGATTTTCCCTAATGTTTAACGTTCTTTGTAGATACTAAATTGTGAAATTGGCAATTTATTTACAATAGAACGCCAGAACAATGGCTATTATGGTACAAAACCACATGTTGTGTCGGTTATAGAGCCTATGTTATCTGCGTTATGGTCAATAAAAGTACTGCGCTTTAGTATTATAACTGTTAATAGTAACACTAACAGGCACTACTTGTTCTTTGTTAAAAATAATGCATTATTCAAAAACTCGCCCCGTCTATTGGCTCATTATATGCCCTTTATTAACAACTCAGGTGGAGATAATAATAGCATAACAATAAAATTCTTAAAAATGCTTTACAGAAAAATAATCAAGTTTTAACATATCTCGCATAAAGATAACAAATACCTCAGTAAATAAACGCTTCAAGGCCCAAATAGTGGTACGATCGGATCGAACGCGACGCCCATCCTATAATATTCATCAAAGCTATTGAGTGCGTCGTTCCAACGATTCGCGTTACTGAGAGTTTCTGCAACTTTGGTGGAAGAAAATAGCAAGAGTATTGCGACTCTCACACTAGATAACTCCTTCATTAAGTATCGAGCCACTATCGAGTCAACACCAAGTTTTACAAGCAGGTAACGATACACTGCCGGAGTGTACTTGGTAAACGTCCAATCCATCGGAAGTTGGTGAGGATTGTCTAAATATATTCTAATTGGGTTGACTATTCTATAATTTTCGAATAACTCGACGATTTTTTCATGAGGGGGTTTGATTCGACTAATTATAAGATCTAGTAAAATAACGGTTCTTAATTCCCTCGAAGGACTCAATAATATTTCTAGAAAATTATTAATAACGTCTTCCTCGGCGTAACCACAAAAGGTGGTGTACGCACTAAGAAGTGTTACACCTATCGGGCTTATAATGTATTGTTCGATATAAAGAATAATGTCGACAAAAAGTACGGCAGACAGCCGGAATCCAAGCTGCCTTAGATGGACTAGCGTTTGCACGACCTGGTCTAGAGTAGGTTCGACCCAGCTGTCTGGAGGCGGACATGGATACAGCATTAACATTGCACCTTGGATTACATATTCGTTCGTATCATCTGTAATATGCTCGTATCCTATTCTTTGCCAGCATCCGATTAGCGCTGGACATAGGAAAATTGCACGGGAGACAGCTTGCATCTGCCGTCCAGAGTCGTATCGGGTTTCGTAAAAGAATTCGTACGGTAGTTTTGGTTTTATAGGGAAAGGAACGAGATGGTATATTTCGATCAACATTTTAATTTCGTCTAGATGATCCAATATGGTCTGTCGAGCTTGGCTGATTGGTTGTGGTCCTCCCGTGAGGTAATAGAACGCCTCCATATCATCGCAAGGATCCGGGATATTTTCTCTACCGAATTTTTCGTTCCCCTCTTGAAGGAACCGTGTATAAACTTCTTGAGGCAGATCAACTACCCGTGGACTTTCAAACCTGTGTTTGTTAGAGATTATTAAGTTTATGTGCAACTTTCAATCCAATAGGTTTATCATCATCATACCTTTCAAATCCAGTCATCAATCTCTGGATAAAGTATCGGCTAAGATGAGCATGTTGAGCGAGTAAGCAATTGACTACTTGAAGATTAATAAATGGGTTGCCAATTCGTATGCCATGAAATAATGCGTGGGTTGTACCGTATCTTTGGATCAACCACTTGGACTTTGTAACTGGTGCGTTCACAATATTATACCAATTATGAGAACATTTGGCCAGCTTTGAGGGATTTTCCAGGTAAAGTATAATTTCTGTTTTAAGTTCGTTCGGTAAGTCATCGAAATGGCAGGCCGGTAAGTTGGCAATGTGAGAATCCATTTTTACAATTTACGGTTCAATGTTTGCAACCCGAGTTCTTTATATATATGTGATTGAGAATGCGCAGCCACTTCAATTAGCAAAAATGTGTGATAGTGATTTTCTTGGTTGAAATTGAGGCAACTTGTGTATTCTTGTCCGTTTTTGTTAATAGAAAGAAAACATCTAACTGGATTTAGGGGGTCAATCAAACATTACGTGTAAATATTCCCAAAACTTTAAGGGAGTAAACTTAAGTACATAAAGACAAGTATTACGACTAATGTAAGTCCAAATATTACGACTAAATGTAAGTCCTCTCGATTACTTTCCCCCCGAATATTTTACATTATACTAGACAGCAGTAAGTTTTTTATTAAGTCGCCCGCAAAGTCTCTGAGGAATCCATCCATAGTTTTAGGAGTTCCCAGCCCAGCATAAGGCTAAAATAACAGACACTGAATCGCAATTAATGATTACTTTAATAGAGTGTATATTTGATAGTAATTCAACTTTACACATGATGGTGATCGATGATGTAAATAAATATAACTGATAATGACACTTTTGTACTCTAACACACAATATGACCAAAATAGATTATTATTGTTCGTATAAATATTAAGTAGCACGGTCGTTTTGAAGCATGGTCTTTGCTATTAATGTAAGGTTGAGGTTAGAATGTTGATAAGAGCTTACAACATACGACCCATTCCAACATCATTTTGATTTCTCACTTCTAGTATTTACTATAATATATACTGTCAACTCGATCGATTGATGCAATGTTGTATTACTTTTAACAGACAATCGCAATAGTGATTTTTTCCCCCTGCATTTTTCTCAAAAACTGTTAGACTGCTTTCAACTATCAGATGATCAGTTGATCAAAAGAAACAATAGGAAGTAAAAACAGATATCACATGGCTGAAGATCTCTTTGATATCACACATATATATATTTCTATTGTATTTTTGTAATAAAATCGAGCTGTCTTTGTGATGTCTCTTTCAACTATCGTATGGTGATATGAATCAGTAATAGTCACAAATTTAAATCCTCTTATCCGACAGACACTTAGAAATACTAAATTAGGAAGAACTATTACTATTGCTTAAAGAAAGCCTGAAGAATTAGAAACGAGTCCGGTTACGAAATTTATCCCAAGCCAAATTAGTCTAGTTACAAAAGCCAAGCTTAACATCCAATGTTATTTCATTTCAGTCCCACACAAGTTTCTAGTACAAATCAGTCTTTATAAAGTCGATAACAATGGTTAATTCTTGGTGGGTTTAATTGGTGTCCGTACCGATTTTTATTAGAATAAAACCAGAACGATTGGCTAACCAGAAACACCAAGTTGAGGTTATCGCTTTCGGTAAATTTGTTGCTAATATAGTAAACAAATTTTGATCAATAAAATTTTCTTTTTTACAATGAAAGAAATGTTTACCAGAGACCATCGCATATTACAGAACTTGGTCGGACTTCATTTCATCGACAATCATTTCACGGACAGTACATCATCGTCTTAACTCAAAGCTCCCATTTGGTACTATAACCATACTTCCTATACACTGATTGATGGCAGCCAGCGTTCTTAATTTTATTGGCGGCGAAACATTCTAATGATTAATGCCGGCCGAGTCAATCGTAATATCGGATTCTATATATTCGACGAAAAAGAAAACACGTTTGTTTCCAGGACGAGCTCGGCGAATTGAATTATCCGTGAAATTGCGGATTTCCCCCGAATTGATTCACATGAGGCAACTAATATGCGACCCGTTCTGCATCTAGGTTCTTTGATCCAGGGGACGTCACTGAGCGTGGCTTTCTTATCCATATCACCCTGTAGACCGCCTCCTTCTTCTTAAATTTTCATTGAGCAATCATTTGTATAGAGTTTAATCTTCTTCCTCACTGACAGTGACCAGATTATATATATATTCGCCAGAGCTCTTACATGCTTTCAATCGTCATCTCGCTCTTTCCAATTCCTCCTCTTAATCATAATCCAACAAAGTTCTCATCCGATATGTAATCATCCTTCCTACACATTCCATTTCGTTATAGTCCGCACTATCAATTTCTATATGATCGACTACGCCCCTTCATTCATATATCCTTTCTTGATGTTCCTCTCAGTCTTCACTCAAGTGATCTTCTAATACTGAACCATCTTTTCTACCCTTCAATTGTTCCTTCAAATCACATACATCCGATGAATTTAATCCACCTCTCGCTCTAATCTTCACCCCGCTCGATAAAAATTCTCATTCAGGTACACAGTGCATAATAACGCGTTGTAAAGATATGGATTCGGTCGGTACAAAGTCGGCTCCGGTCTTCAATGGGCGAGGAGTAAGGATCGACTGGAATGGGTTTTCTGCCGAGGTCCAAATCAACCTATGCTATTATGCAATTCCAATAGTAAGGAGTGATGTAAGCAACTTGATTACGCGTATTGGATAATCCGGATGTTCAATTACCTTATTTGTGGTGGACCTTAACCACACCGATCAAGCGTTCGTCTATTACAGTGTTTCCCTAATTACGTGAACTTGCGTTGTGATAGTTGCTGCAATCGTTGCCATTTAAGAGTTTGCCAAGAGCTAAACGTAGCATGACACATCAACAAAATACGACGTATCATAATAGTACACCGCATTACAATACTCTAGTCCGCGAAGTACGAGAATGACAATGAAAGTGACTCCGCTGTAATTTCCACATGGAATCTTATTCGTATCTAGACGATGAAATAATAATTAAATAAATAGCTGATTGAATCTAGAACCCATTAATGTGTGCGTAAGCGCTTATAGGGACTCGTATAATAGTAAAATAAAAATAATCAGACCTTACTATATCATTGATATGAATCGGTGGCAACCAGATTCAGAATGAGACATTGGAGTATGCCGGTATCCCTTGTTCGCCAAAAATGATCAGAATCCGCGTAGTTTTCCTTTATTCTAATGTCAGTCTTAACGTTAAGAAGCTTGGTTATTTCCTGAGGAAGGTGGGAGCCGACAAAGGAAGGGACTTAGACAGAATCAAAGTATTAAATAGGTAGTAAGCAGCTACGTACGAACAACTAACCTTTCCCTCCACAGGCTTTTCGAGATTTCATTCCTGTCTTAAAAAAAAGGCTCTCATTACACTATAACCATCCTATAATTCCCAATGTCTAATGTCGACCGAGATATCATTTGGAGAATAGCTCGTGGTATCGAAATTGTGCGTTGATAGTTTTTCTGAAAAGCGAATAAGATAAAATGAGAACTTTGGTTCCCATGAGGTAAAAGATAATTTGCCGGGTTCTTTGCAATAAGATAAGGCGCCTTTCTATTGCTCAACCATATTTGTCCAATAATCCCCAGTACCTAAAGACATCTAATTCATTTTTCATATCCTTTAGTCTATTGATAGTTTTCTCACACGTGTTGCGCCTTTCTGCCATAATGGGATCTTCTTCAACGAGTTCCCTCAGTTCTATGCGTCTACTCGTGTGTTCAATATCGTCAACAAGAATGTCACTAGTCATCGAGTTTTGCCAATTTTCCGAAAAGTCGAAAATAAACTTGTTGATTATCGCCATGCATACGTAATCCGTATATCTTCTTGGAGATAGTTCATGATAGCTTTTACATCGGCCACTACGGTTGCAGCTTTCGTACCATGAGTCCATCAAGTTATATATATTATTAATTCAGCCCCGTTGACGTGATGATTTTTTGTCTCTTAAGTGTATATGTAGTATGAAGAGTTGAGGGTAAAAGATCGGCGTGTGTGTGTGTGTGTGTGTGCGAGACGGAAGAAGCAAAAGCTGAAGCTGAATTGCGGTTGGAATGGGTAGTCGGAGCCGAAGAGGTTATGGTAATAGCAGGAGCGGCACTAATAGTGATAGGCTAATTGTGATTGTAATGCATTGCAATAAGAATAATAATGCTGTGCTCTCACAAGTATCCACTTGTCTCGCTTGAGCATTCTCGTTGTCGGCTATATCTTGTAATCCGCACGGCTCCTGGAAACGTATTTGAAACAGCGATTGGCAATACAATATTAATATGATTGTTACAATAACATTATTATTATTACGATCGCTTAAAACGATGGAATAAACACTTGCAACATAATATATTGATTCTCATAACTTACATAATATGGTGAAATTAGCTACACCTGGGCCGCATATTCTACTGATTACGTTCGACATTCGCCATCTAGTACAGTATTGATGATAACAATGACTTGATGAACACTTGATATTTATAAGAATTAGCACATAAGTCATCTCGGATACCCATTCTAATACTCATATACATCATCGTTTCCTTACATCAACATCTTTACTACTTATCCGCCCTTTCCATCACTTTTATATAGGCATCTTCCATCCTCTACCCTTTCCATTCTTCTCTAATGAATATCCTACCGCGTGTCCGTGTTACGTTCGATCTCTTCTTAGATATAACCATACCATGCCATTTGCGTGCTTTTCTTCTACAACTGACCTATACGCTCCAATACGCTCACAGGATTACGTATATACTTTGCTTCGACTCCTAGTCAATTAGTGTTGAGAGGCGCCGCCCGTTTCCAATAATTGAATGCGTAGAATCCGGTGAATGAATTTTCCAGCTCCCTTATATTTTGTAGATCTGATGATCAGTAACAGAAATAGTCAAATTGCGGTAAAACGAGAAACGTGTCTGTAGTGATACAGAAAAATGTGATTATAATATATACTATATATTTCTATGACAGAACATTAATTACACCACGAAATGTTGAATCATCTTCAATAACCGATAATAACTTAATATTAGCAAATTTTAACTTGCTTCTTGATACCAAGTTGTATCAATGCTAGTTAGAGGGATATCCTTGATCCCTGCCATAATACGACGATCATATTGAGGCAGTTTGAGATAAAAAAGGTATCTATCGCCCCGTGTTATTATATACAATTTGTCTTAAAAGTAAACAGTCCTCCCATTGCATTCACACATTACAAACTCACAAACCAAATTACACATCCTCTCCCATCTCACTATGCATCAGCAAAAGCTAGGATTTTATATTCTGTGGACAGAAAAAGCCAATACTAACTAATACGGTCCGGAAATTGACGATTCACGACTAGTTACTAATTCACGACCATCTGACGTCACGACCGCTAATAAACCATCAACACCAACACACCAAGGAGGTCAATGTCGTCAGAAAACATGGGCGCGTGTGTTGACCTCTTTAACGGCTGCGTCTTTCATCTTAATTCATTACGCAAATCTATGTGCATGAAGTGAAAGTTCACGACAACTAGCCAGGCATTAAACTGCTAATTGGCCTTCAAGTGGCTGTCTACTTCACTCCGCGTCTCTAAATTGTAGACTTATGTTAAGGAGGTGCTGACGTTAATAAGGACATTAAAGTGGTGGACGATAGTAGGGGATGTGTTATAGTAATGGGATTTGTAATGTGGGTGAGGATGAGGCCGTAACTTGTTGACGGATGGGCGGCAGTGATCAGTACTGATATACTTGTGCTTATGTCCTCAAATCCTTTCTACGAGTGGGCAGTCCATCCGGGAACACTTTAATTCACGCGCTTTTTTTTAGTTTATGCGGAACGATTCTATTATACATGTATCTATTTATTTGTTCAAATAAAGAATGCAGATATCTAACATTAGCATATGAAGTGTGCGTAAATAATAAAGATAGTTGGGTAACGCCTATTACTTTCAGAAAAGGTAATCCAAGAAGGCATCAGGTAAACCTTTTTTGGGTTTCCTATTCCATGATATAGTAATCGCTGAGACGCAAATAAACCGTCTTCGCCTTACTCGACTGATATTTATAGTGGCTATATTTTATACTAAATCGACTCACCGTTATTGTTATCGCTTACCAAAGTAGGTATAGCTTCGACTCGGTGCCCGCAACGCGTGTTCAATTTTATAAGCGCGAACGGCTTAGATTTAACGGGAGCCTATTACTATGTATCTAAAGTACAGACCTGCCTTGCCATGCTCATATAATCTACCTTGTAAATCTGCTCAGTTATTTTTCTACTCGGATTTATTGTGGTTGTTTTCCAAATGTGTTCCCGCTAATTAATTTTTCTATTGGCTGTTCTAATTTGGGTATCACCACGTTAAGAAACTTGATTTACGTGTGCATTTGGGATGTGGAAATCTTCAATCACGACATGCATTCTTCGTCCATATATCAGATATGTATGTAGCTTGGAATGTGGTCTTATAATCTGTCAATGACTTTTGTAACTGATTATTCATCTAATTTATCCGCACGCCTCCCCACCCCATAGTAGCTACATTTTTACGAGCATCTGATTTGCAGGTATGATGAATCATACATTCCAACGATCACTCGTAAATGCTGTTCACCGATCTAAGCAGTTACGATACTGCGATGCTCTAGAGCAGGTTCGTAATTGGTTAATCTCTTTCCACAGAGTATTAATACAGTATTACCAAATTTGATGTTATGTCCTTTTGATCCGAATGAAGTAGCTCTCATTTCTATCGCGTTCCGGACAGGATAACGTGCCAATGATTTATGCGCCAGTACTCTACTTATGAAAGTAAGGTACAAGATAATTAATGGTAGAGTTAATTTTATTAAGACGCGTTACTTATATGGGTTTTGTTGTAGAGAGAATCCATCATTCGTCATTATCAGTAGAGATGGTTGGTTGAGCTATAGGCTATTTCTTAAAGTAGTCTTGCTCCTATTTGAAAAGATTTATATCCTATCTCGTGATATTGATCGCACATTTTTGATGAATTGTCGTATTGCAATCTTTGCCCACCAGTATCTCTCCTTGACTTACCAATTGTTGTCTTTATTCACAGATCTCCTATTATGTCTTGGAACGCTGCTCCATAATCAGTCAGTACCGTTTGTAGCTGATTATTCCATCTACTTTATCTTTCCCTGCAGTATGTCATAATATTTTTACAAGATGTTTTACTCGTTTTGTAGCTGATTATTTCATCTACTTTTATCTTCCCTGTAGTATGTCTACAAGCTTTGATACTTGGCTGTCGGATCGAGGATTCGCCGTCGCAGTTGGGGTAATATTAATCCTCCAATTCATACGTTTCCAATGATCACTCGTAAATACCATTCTCTGATCTAATATTATTTGTTCTGATACCTCATTGGATGATTTTAGAGCTTCATCATTAGAACTATAGGCATGCGGTCAAATAATCCTATTCCTGAATGTGCGAAGACGCGTTTAACAATCGATCACTCAGATTGATGGGCATTTATTTTACGTCTTCTTTTCTTTCTTGAAGACTTTTCTGGTACGCGTGAATGTATCGCGGAAGATATGAGGTAGGTTTCGATTTTTGATGATCATATATACGCCCGTTATTACTTGAGCGTTTGGTATAGTGGGTTATTATTTATTACTTGCTTTGCTTATAATAATGATAATTCATAATAGGTTGAATATTTTTACAGCGACTGTAAAGAACGGGTACAAATTTGTTTGATTCCTTAACGTTTCGCAGATTACGCACGAAAAACCTCTATAAGGATTCGATAGCATACTGAAGTGTGGGCTAAAACCATGGGTGCATGGTGCAAAGTTGAGTTTGAACAAGGAAGTAAAGACAGTTATGCCATGGGCAACACACTCTTTGCATACTTTTTATGTATAGGCAAGAGAGACAACTCGAAGGCAGCATGTAGAGTCCTATTCAATGACAGGTAATTTAAGATCATTTATCTTCATGCATGTTAACGAGTCTTGGTTAATACTTACATTTTACCAAATCGCAATTGACATTGATCGCACGTTTTTGATGATCTATCGTCCTTGTCTTGCAATGCTCGACCAACGCATCTCTCCTTAATCTTACTGACTGTTGCGTTTATCCCTAGATATCCTGCAGTTCTTCGTTGACGACGCCGTTAATTTATATAATGCTTGACGCGTTCTTTTCAGATTGTTGTCATGTTCAGTGGTGGCATCTCTATCTCAGAGTTGTTTACCTTGGCTCTATGCAAAACCACGAGTTATCGAAATTATTCGATCATTCAGACTCATGAAGAACAACTAGTCGTTTTGTAAAGTTTACTTTTATTATTTATTGGAACAACTAATTTATACATGTGTTAATTAACATTTACTAAAATCTATATTGAAATTATGTTTCAGGTCTTCAAGTCTTCAAGTCTTCAAACCCTTCCGAATCTTCAAACCCTTCCGAATCTTCAAACCCTTCCCGAATCTTCAAACCCTTCCGAATCTTCAAACCCTTCCGAATCTTCAAACCCTAACCTAACCCTAACCCTTCCGAATCTTCAAACCCCTCCGAATCCTTCAGGTCGTCGGGCGCGTCAGGTTGTTGTTGTCGTTATTAATATTGCCAGCTAAAATGTTCTTATTCGTTAAATTTAATCAGAAAGTTCGGCATTGAGCCCAACTTCCCCAGCGTCTATGACAGCAACGGCCGCGACAGCCGTTGTCATTCATTTCTATTGCCAGCTGGATCTGGCGGACCTCGTAAAAACTATTGCCCATAATGCCTTTTCAAAATTGATTCAAAGCCGCCAGAACGAGCGTGACAGAAGAGGCATATTTGAGAAACTCGTGTCTTCTGTTATTATAAAGAACACGAGCCTTCCGACAGCCACAGACAGAGGTCGAGTTATCGTGTCTGACTGGGTTTGTGATATGTAAGTGTCGGAAGTAAAAAGACCAAACCTATGATGATGGTACATCTTTGGTATTGCTCAACACCTACTACTAATACATGTAGGTAATAGTAACACGCTCTTCTTTTTCTTTAAATCGAAGCCCGTCGTTTTAACCATTATTCCTGTAAAATTGCGTCACACGAATATCGGATTTATATAAATTGCATTATTATTGTTGTTGTTATTAGTGTTAGTATTAGTTGTATTTATATTAATCTATAATCCTGTATTCGTGAAGACACAATTCGAATTCTGTTCAACTCTTCTTTTTCATAACTTCAATAGATTTCCAATTGGATTGAGATCTGGGACTTTTAGAGAGCCAGTCTAGCGCTTTTGAACATTTAGATTAAAGTTAGAAAGCAAAATTTTGATGTAAAATTATTCTACAAAACCATCTTTTAGTTGGAGTAAAATTTGTTTGACAAATAGAATTTTATTGTATGCACAAGAAAAATTCTCATTACTTTTGTACTGCACTGTATAATATTAAAATTAGCAGGGTATTACACGGAGAAAGAATCGCGTGAGCGCGCAGAAGTAACAGATACCCTTTATGGAGTGAGTATTAGTATGTGGAACGTCTATATGTTGATAAAATGTGATGAAAGATCTTTGGAGCAACTTTGTTCAGGAAATCTGCAAAGAGAGGGGAAGAAGAATAAAAAAAGTCGCCTCAAAATGTAAAACTCAGTCGTTTAGACAGAACTAGCAAACGATAGATCTTATGAAAAGAGTAATGGACTTGATTGGCTATCTACTTTCTTCCTTAATAAAAGGCTTTTAGGATGATAAGCATTGCATTGATACATTCATATTCAGCGACAACCCATGCAATTAATATTCCTCATATGACTCATGATTCATGTAGTGGCAACATTCTGCCATATGGTCATGGTTACCAGTCACTGTCGAAGTAAATGCTTGAAATACTTTGTGCGGTTATAATGAGTTGAAAATGAATCTGCCAAGGAAGATAGTTGATTTAACAATGGATAGTAAACGTGCTAGTCTCATATTCCCAACATACGATATTAATCAATGTCTAGATAAATATTCCCATTCTTCAGAGAGAGGTACAACCGGATCAAATGGTAAATAATTATATTCTGCGTAGCATCGTATATAGTTAACAGTACTTCACCATAAACTAGAATACTCATAGTTATCAGCAGTAACGACTCGCAGAAGATTTCAATAGCAGTTGCCAATGCGATCGATGTAGAGTAAAAAGTGGGCAAAATGGTGTTAATTTATGCTCGATTTTCTACGACGCGATTAGAATTATGACATTAAAATACAATACATCACCATGAATTTAAACAGTTGCTTATCAAACAGATAATTTAATGTGTACAAACTGAAAAACTAAACTTCAAGCGTTTTGAATTATTATTATTACGCTGAATAATGTGTGATCTGATGTAATAAAATTCCACACAAACTATGATCTTATTGTTGCGAAAGTGGAAATAACCTACGCATACTAAATGAATTATTACAATTAAACAATTGGCCAATTATAAATTAGCAGAACTTCTATTTACAATAATCGAACATACGCCAACCCAGATATTTATTAGAAATGGAGTCTATATGCAGCTTGACATTTCTTAAGCGTGTAAGCGACTCTAAAAAACCACGTTATTATTAATTAGCGTAATTAGAAACGGATTAAACTCGAACATATTACAAGTATCGTAAACAGAAACAAACTGGATTATTATGATTATTGTTTATTATCTTATTTCCGTCTCCCAGCAAGTCGATATAATGCTTCAGTTTTTTATTATTTAATTGGTGTTCGAATAGTTTGTTCCTATTAATTTATTTCAAAAATTGATCCTTAGATGCACTACAAATCATATAAAAGGTGAGGCCTTAGTTAATGATCTTTTATCAGTCGTAGTTTCCGCCTCGAACATTATCTTTGATATTTATAACACTTGTTTATTAGAATATAAAAATTATTTTAAAAGGACAATAAAATAATAATTCATTGATCTTGCCACTGAATTTGTAGGATTTAAGCATCAGATTATTATTTAATTGTTTATAAACGCGTTTACTTTTCCGACTGATAGACTTTCGAAATTAATTCCATCGGAAGATAATCGACGTAGAACTTGAGGTTGATTAATAATCCAGAGCAAGCGTATACAAGATCGAATCTTGGAATTTGTGAGTATTACCGCCGGAAGATTACACGAACGCTCTCCCACGTGTATCGATCCGACAATTTTAAATAGAAATGTCCTGATATAATCTTAGGCTTACATTAATTCTTCTTTGAAGAACCGGTGTCTGTGAGTAAGCTTATAGATAAAGAAACGGGCTTGGACTTTGAACAATTAAAACAACACGACTGTTTTCATTGTTTTTGGCCACGAAAATTTTTAAAGCCCTCTTACCTTGCTAAATCGTAGTCGTCCAAGGCAGAAGTGCCAAGTGGTAAAATACCAGTGCCAAAAACCTTGCGGGATATGATTCGGGACGGGGAATCTTCTAACACTTTTTTATGCATCAGGGACTTCTAATTAACAGTAATATAACAAACTTGGACACATTTACGACGGAAGCGTAAATATAATGAAATCGCTGAGGTGGGTTGTTTTATTTCTTTTGGATATTAATATGGTTTTCTCTTTTTTGAAAATAATTAAAATGTTTATCTGGTTGATTAAGTGATTAATTTTTGAAATGTGGCATTAAACAATACAATTTGCAAGATCCCAGAGAGAAACACGAACACCTCCATTAGAAGTGATAGCTCTACCAATGAAGAAGAAGAAATACTATGCGATTAGATGTGTAGAAGAACAATCTCAGTCTTCGAATGAACTCGAGTTAAGACGGGGCGCGAAAGATATGAATGAAGAAAGCTACTTGTCGTGTCGTATACATTGTATTCGATTTGAGCCCTATGTATTATGGCTCGTTTCTTTGTTCGTTGGAGGGCCTCTTTCACCTCAATCTCACTCCAATAGTCTTCACAAGCTTTGGAATTCGTTATCTTCCAACTAGCCGTTTTTCTGGATCAGCATATTGTTTATCAACATTTTGACAAAGGTGTAAAAGAGCACCTAAAAGATGGGATTCAGCATTCTCTCTCATGTCACATTTGACTCGAAATTTTTTATAAAATTTGACCGGTTTAAAAGGATGATTAATCATATCTTTCAGAAAGGTCACTTCTTTCTCATAGCTTGGTACCTTGCGCAAATAGTAATAGAGAGTAACGTGGTCAGTATGATCGTTTTGGCTACGAAATATACTCTAGTTTGCTGGAGACCAAGGATCCTTCACCGCATTGTTTAAATCGGATGCAATGAATATTGCATCACCTTTCCGAAAGCCCAAGACCTGGACAGCCAACCGGCGAGGGCGCGACAAAAACGACCGACGACCTCATAACGCCGAATAAAAAAATTTAAAAATTAAAAAATAAAAGTTACAAAAGAGCGGACATCCCGGCCGGACAGGCATTACATGGCGAGGAAAGCTAACACTTTCATTGGAGTCAGAATTTAAGCAACACGTGTAATAGTAAAGGACTGGCCAACAGTGGCCCATTCTGAAGGCCCAAAACCTGGACAGCCAACCGGGGAGCGAACATCCCGGCCGGACAGGCATTACATGGCGAAGAAAGCCTTGGTCTCGTGTTCACGAAGAAGTTAATAGAGGTATACTTTACCTTTTCCATTGTCGTAGTTAATGCGAAGGAATGTGGACGCGTTGGTGTTCAAAAATCTGCAGTCCCGTGATCAATTGATTATTGGTTTAGCAAAATTCACTCTGCAGCAAAACGTGGGCAAGCATATTAATGATTTCTCCAGTGACGAGACCCTATGTCACATACCCTTGGTGCGAGATCTGAACAATGAATTCTCATGTCCTTTGTATCGGGAGTGGCTGACAGACTCGCCCGGACTCGTGTCAAACTGGGTGCTGATAATTGAGCTCTAAGAAACCATGAGCCGTATCATATGAATAGAAAATGAATGAAAAATGCTTTGCTAAATCAATGTATCCTCAAACAAGGATATAAAAATGGAGAACAGTGAAATGGTAATACAATCGATCTTTTCAAGACTTTGATGCTATTTGCAACTGCTAGCTTACTTTGCTCTCTGTAATAATCCTACTATTCGAAAGTTGGGAAGACAAATCCGGTTGATATTGAAGACGTTTTCTATTATTATCAATGTCGTTCCATCTGTTGGCAAAATCTCTATATCGGCTACTGACAACGTGATATTCTCAGAGAAGAAATAGATATCAGAATATATATATTTGTTAACCATTGTGTTAATCCAAGTTTTGGATAGCACGTTTAATCGACCCGACGAAAATCATTACATCATTGTTGACAATTCGGTGAAGCGCTTGTTCGAACCAAAAACTTTTGGTATTTCAATACAGGTTAGTTGGTGTTGAATAATGGAGACAGCAGTGATTATTAAAGTTAAATATTAATAATAGGTGGTTCGCGTGAGCTACGAGGAGTACCAATTTCAAATGACAGATAATTCTACAAAGGCTTTTATATATACTTTATTAGACACTGCAAACGAATTATGTGTTTGACCGCTCATAGAACGTCTTGTTCTGAGGATTTCCTTCAAGAGAAAAGGCAGGGTTTTGGGATCTATAAAAATCAACTTAGATCGCCAGAAATGCTTCGTTCTCATCAGAAATTATCTCGCTCGCTACCCTAATCTCTTTATTACCACTATGAGCTAAACATAACAACTGATGCCGTACTCGTGCGGTATTGGATGGAGTCTAACATGGCACGTTGGATATCAGAACATGTGTCTTTCCTCTTTCACTGGGTTTATATGGTAAATCCTATCGTCTTGCGACAAAGTAAAAAATTATGTCTTGATTAAATGTACAAAACGGGATCAATGGAAGTTTGTAGACACCAATGGCTCATAGCTATGGAACGTTCCGAGAGCATTCGATTTTAGCTATAATGTCAACGGCACCAACAATAATAATTCGGTTTTCATTGAATATCCTATTGTAATTCTTACCACGCATCATTGGAGTTTCAAAACATTCTTGTGTAAAGACTGGACGAATAGAAAAACATACCCATTCACCACGCGACATGCGTATCACGGGAGAAGAATTTGAACTGTTTCAGCTGAGGACACGCTAACGCCATATGTTTCTTGGGTGTGATAGCTACAAAGTTGGATAAGTTGTAAGAAGAAATGATCAGCAAGCAGTCAGGCTCTATCGAAGATCTGCCAGCGGGGATTTCAATACATAATCTTGCCATATGTTACTATCATGGAGAAGGCATGGAGAAGAACGACCGAGCAGCATTTTTGCTAGTGCGCAATTCCACCTCGTTATAACAAGATCGAGGACGTACAAAAAAAAGATTGAACTATGTCAACAGGAGAGTGCCGAAAGGCGCTTTACGAAAAATGTTATAGTACAATACACGTTATCTGTCAGGAATCGGGTTAGTAAAAGAGCACCAATGCAATTGGTGCTCGACAAGGACTTGCTGAAGTACAGCATCTGCACAACGAATTGATGCAACCAGAAAGAGATTACGCGTGATGTCATTAAACCTCAATGACTTTATTAATATAATATAAGCAATTAAACAACGAATAAGAATTCTGAGGTTGCAGTGTGACTTATAAGCACGTACAGAAACAGTAAAGTTTTATATCACTTTATTTCGATGTATAAATCATGTGGTATTTATAATAAAGACTTAGATTCGTTTGTCATTGAAACTCGATTCAACTAAATTGACATTCATTCTTCTGATCGATAATAAACTCGGGATACAATCTTTTCTCCATCCATACAACTATTTCAGTAGAATGGATATAGTAATAGACATTTCCACATTTATTATTTTAATTTATCACAATTGTTAAGAAATAATGCTCGGACGCATTCCATTCGCACACAAGTTTTAGTTTGCCAAACGTCATAACCGACTCCATGGCGAAGATACCAAGTCATTCAAGCTGCTCACCGGGCATTAGGAAATGAATATTTGCAAGGTATTTGGCTGCGTCCATGTTTCGCGCCTGTAGCTGTATTAGGACTGAACATCGACACAACTAACTATTCGGATTGCGTAATATCATCTACTCCGTTACTGTTACCATGGTTGATTTATCTTAATTTTTATATGTATTTATTTATTTATTTATTTATTGGGTTATATGATCGCACATTTGGATTATGGATGAGAGTGAAAATGAAAGCCATCCATGCCAAATCTTAGAGATCCTAGCTGAGATTGGGGAATCTATTTATTGATTTCCAACCAAGAGTTTGAAGAGCTTGGAGTAGACATTTTGAGTTCGTAGTGAAATAAAAAATACTCAACAACAAAGAGAGAGAGAGAGAGAGATTTATTGGATAATTTGATTTTATCCTTACACCCATCCAATTCTCGCATTTTAAATTCCAATCATTTGTGCTTTGGGCCAGGCTATCTCACATATGATTCGCGCAATTTATGATGTTAGATATCTGTACTAACAAGCATTGCACTAGGAAGAGAGACTCTTTCCCTCTTCAGGAGAAGCTATTAGTTCTTTGGGATGAATTTTCGAATTCTGAATTATACTACCGCATCAGCTGTGCCACAATTCCAGAACTTATGGTTATTATGGATATCATTGATTTCGTTGACTGCATTTCATTCCCTTCAGCATCTTCCGCCCCACCCGATTGTTGACTCTTGCAACATTTGCGGATGTAGGATAGTCATCAGTTAACCGGTTCATTCACGGAAGATTTTTATTAGTACTGTTATGTGCGGTCACCTGAGAGAGTGTTGTGTTCGATTATGACTCAACCCGATCACGAAAGCATCGGTTGTATTCGCCGCCGCCGCCGCCACCATGTAATTGCTCGTCTGATTTATCGGTTTGATGTTGGACACAAAGGAATCATCGGTTTGGTGTTGGACACAAGGGGATCATCTATTCAGTAGAATCCTGGCTACCTTCGTACTGGGTCGGCGTCTCCCATCGTTTTCGCTAATACTGATTGTTCGTTTCATAATAGTCAAATGCTGGAGCGTCTGATTTATCGGTTTGATGTTGGACACAAGGGGTCATCTATTTAGTAGAATCCTGGCTACCTTCGTGCTGGGTCGGCGTCTCCCATCGTTTTCGCTAATACTGATTGTTCGCATGCGGTTGAGGAAGGATGCGCTTGTGGTATTTATGTTAGGTGTCAAAATATATTATGTAAAAACATGCGATTGGTATATGATATAGCTTGTGCTTGGCAAGAATGTCAAGTCAGGATTCTCCGTCAAACTCATTCTTGTCATTAATCTCTTGCATGCCCTGTGAATAGAATTTAAAAATTCACAAACAACAGTAAATTATACGTCGTGTATCGAACTAGAGAGTCACTGAAGGTCTAATACAGTTGTCACCCGATTTTGGACGAAGGTCATATCACAATAGCAGAATGATATAGTTATAACAGTACTTACAATATATTTAACCACTCGTGCATGAAAATGACAGCTACTTTGTAGAGATCGACAGTAGATCAGTACCAAATCCAGTGCCTAATAATCGATTTACGCGTTCTGTATCATCAATCAATGTTGGTATATTATCAATAGCTAGTATGATATTTATATTAATCTACTCGTAATCAATAGTTATCGACCATCTACCATAATATGTTTTCGCAATCTATTTGTTAGTATGATATGATATCTACATATCGATCTTGTATTGTTTGCAGTTATCATAATTTACTGAATTTGTCTTTCAAATACATGCCTCGGTCTATAGCTTGATTAAATAACGATATATTGATAAAATTAAGGTAAAGCATTCATTTCGATCAACCTCTTAAAAATAATAGTGTTTCAAACCCGCTTGTCTTTAAACCATCAAATCTCTCATTCGATCCTTCCAATGTCAATGCCTGGTGCTGTACTAGAGTGGCAAGCTATCGACGACGAAAATCACTATCCATTTCGATAGTAAATCCATCCTTCTTCTTCTTCTTCTTCTTCATATTCGACAACCGTTTCTTTCCACGTGCCCCTTCCAAGCTTCATGCTATCAAATTTCTCATTCGACGAAAGCCTCTGCTACATCATACCCAGATATCCTCTTGATTTTCCACCCCAACTGTAATCTACAAAGTTCTCATTTCAATACACTAACTATATCTTAACGGCTGGCGCGGCATTAGGCGGGATCAATATTTCTCTCGTTTTTCATTAACTATCCTTCTATGCTCCTACATCATCACACCACCACCATCACCACCATCACCACCATCACCTTCATTATCATCTTCTTTTATCTGCTGGCAGAACCCATTAATCCTATATATTAGCCAAGTCTTCTTCCACATCCTTTCCTAAAGTATTTTTTTCTCTTCCAACTCACCCATTTAATTCAACTTTCTAAATCTTCAATTGATACGTGGTGCGCGCCAGCAAATTGTACGTGTTCGACAAAATTCTTGTCATTCTAATACGCCCGCACGTGTTCTACTAGTTTCTGTTCGCACATTTCCTAACGCATCATCCATATCATATCTGGTGCATTACATACAAAACAGTACGCGCCAGAAAATTGTCTATGTTCGATTTCCCTTATTCCTACATTCTTCAGTCTTCCCCTTACTTTCCAACCCACCACCTAAGCGGGGCAGTTCTCGTAACCACACTTCCTATATTTTCTATCGGCAGCAACGGCATTATATGTCCGACCGATTCTTTTGGTTTTCACGTGTCCCCACAAGCATCCTTCTTGTTAGTTAACTTTGTGCATAAGCATTTCCTTCAGCTCAACTGCTCTTCATCCATCTTTTTCTACTCCATTACCATTACCGAGATTACACACATTGCTCATATCCCAACGTTTGTTCTTCCTTCATCACATTGTTCTTGTGCAAACTAAAATAAGAAACAACAGCAAAAGATAGATGAGGAGTTTCTGGAGTTGCGTCGCGTTAGAGTCGTTTCGCTGGATAATAGTTTAGTGTAACCTCCCCGAAAAAACGCTAGCTATATTAATGCTAACTTATTTATATTTGAATAGATTCTACATCAACAACTTGAGACGTTCCACTCAAAATACGCAAACAAAGAATTTAACTTGATAAATTAAACACGTTTTTTTAAAATTTGATCAGCTACTAGGCAATAGGGTCTACCCGTGACCAGCCGGCGATCTCTAGCATATATTGTAAATTAGTTGTGTATGAAAGCTAGTACTAAAAATAAAGATTGCATTTCATATTATGCCAAGTTTTTTTACGAGTCAACTCATTGCACTAGGAAAAGAATTTGTGTGCTTTTTCCATACGGACCCGGTTTCAACCCGCTCTTGGTTATTTCATTCTCCAGTGGGGCTCTCTCTTAAAAAAGCAACTGAGGAATAAATATAGATGCGACAAAACGTCTCTCAAACTTCCAGAGTATAGATAGACACTAAAACCCGACACACACACCTGAGGCAGATGTATATTATGATTACTATTCGGTTTTATTAATAACAGCGGTCTTGGTTTGAAAGCAGGATTAGCAGTCATTTTTCGAAGGTAACGAAAAACCACTCCACCTTACGATACTAGTCAAGCCTTATTACACTTGTCAGGCCGGAATATCGAGAATCGTTAAAGACTTGGACATAAAGGTATAGCAAACGAATCACGATAATTAGTAATCCGGAGAAGACATGGAAATTCATAGAAGCAGAACTTAATGGTCTACGTGATAAATATTACTGCAAGTTAGATTGTGAGAATCATAAAAATAGACGCGTACTCGAACCGCCTTCGAAGCTTAAGAAATAAACGTCTTCATGGACTGGGATATATAATAGGCTCGGAGTATCTATCCCGAGAGGATAAGTTCCAAAATGAATAGTAAAGCAATGTTGGAATGGATCAGAGACCACCCAGAAACCAAACCGTCAATACCAAGGGAAAGTAATGCACCCCAACAAGATGGAAAACCGATAACTGAAATAGCCAGTATCATAGAACTCATCGCTAGAATATGACAAATAATATCGAAAGGGTAAAGAAATAATTGCAACCGGTAAAAATCATTAAATTTCTTTCAGAACCATATAATGATGCAAGAACCGTCCCAGAAGACGTGGAGTTAAAAGGGAAATGACGAATGGGAAGTGATAGATAACTCCATACCCAGTTAACCCAAGAAGCTTAGTATATCAGTTTCCATACCATTTGGAAAGAACCTAATTAGTAGATTGTATGAATACCTAATTTTACTAACCCAATGAATTAAAAAACAATACCATTATACCCAACCGTCCAACAATACTAACAGTGCAGCAGAAACTGGGGAATCTACGGGAGCGGCCTAGAATACGACAAAGAACCCATTGAGTTGCTATGTTCAAAATATCGATCAAAAGAGGGAATGTTTCAAAATATCAACCAAAAATAATAAAATGAATCACTGATAAACGTAGAACAATTACCGCCGAAAGAGAGGTAAAGATAATAGCTTCGTCAGAAAAGTCAATACATATACGAAAACATCAACCGATCTTCCCAGCAGTAATGCTACAGAACCGAGCGAACTCGGAATAACAAGCATACGCAAGGCCACAAGCAGAAATACGACCATTACGATAGACTGAAATCTTCTGATAAGAAGAACCATAGCTTGGCCAAGTTATATTGCAGTGTATAAAAAACGAATGTCTTGTCAAGGGCCTAATTGTACACATAATAGTAACAGTAATGAGTTATATCAACGCAAGAGTTCGACGATTGGTAAAGTACCTAACCAATCCAACAAAAAACGCGTAGAATAACCAAAGAGCATGTTAAAATGGATTCGAGCTTACCGCGAGCCTTCGTAGTCGTTGATGTTAATATTTAATACTTAGTAGGAAGACAACTTGTCAAGACAACAGCAACAAATCGACGTCTACTTCCAAAATGGAGGCTATCATATCTGACATTCCCAGTAAAGGAAAGAAACCTTGAGATGAGTAAACAGACTTTATGATCACATGATATCTGAATTCTCGTAAGAATTCTCGGCTAATACCAATGACTTTCGTACCTTCTTTCTTCTTTTTCTGCCCAACACACACACAGCACACTAGAACATTTGCGTTGTCAATAAACTTTAACCCGCAATAAAAGGTTGGGAAGAGTGCATTTTGCAACTAGATGGGTTGGTACTCTGTGTATGCATACAAGCATGATATGCTTCTGTTATTTCCAAATTAAATTGATTGATGCCATCTGAAAAGCCGCTTCTGCCAGGCTGGGAAGATGCCGTAAAAATACATACACACACACACACACACATCAGAAAGTGAACAAGTCGGAAAAAAACGATGGGCCCTGCCTCCGCGATGTATCAATCTTGTCACACACAGCCATAGTCATTCTTTTTGCTATATTCATATCTCAAATACGTAAACGCTTATCATTTGCACTGAGGATGTATTGGATTAACGTTAATGAGTTAGTCATTCTTTGTTTTAGGGTTAGTTTGATGCATCACGCAAACCTTATGATACATTTGTGTAAGACAACCCCTCGTGTATGCAAGTTGTTTTGTTATTCGTCACATGTGTGTTCGATGAACACCCCAATTTCGTAATAGGGCTCCTGCCCCATCCACGTTATGCGTATCAAGTCCACCAATACAAGACTGCTGGAATCGACTATTACGTGCCCTATGCTTTAAAGGCAAGTCGTCACTTGCACCGTACAACGACTGGCTCCATATGCAATGACAGATAGTTGAGTGTTCTCATGCTATGAAATTCTACAAGGATGTAGGCTATTATGGAAACGGTTATGCTCTCCATACTTAAAGAGTATTGTAAAAAGAACGACAATCCAAGGAAGCTTATCAAACATGTAACATCCTCGAATCCTCGTACACCAACAATACACAATAATGTAATTTGAGAACCTCGTATAGACTTTTGTGTAAAATGATTATTTCTTGACTACCATTATCACTTTGTTATACACTTTTCCCTCAAGATTTTCAAGACATGATGGTATACTAAAAGGATCTAGGTTATATTTGACGTACAGTAATTGTTTTTATATCGGGTCTTTGTATCTCGATGTTACGTATCATAATAAAGCTGATTATAAATCAGTTGTTGTAATTGAATGTTTAAACGAACGGCATGTACTGTATGTGTGTTCTATATAATGTATACTCGGTGTTCTCTAACATATAGCAAGGCGATTAGCCCGTCGCAAAGTATAAAGAACGCATATTCGTTATAAGACACTTAAGTCGTCAAAGTAACGCGTCAATTACGAACAGAGATAATCTGAGAGACTTACAAATCGTATAATTGCTTGGAAACTATGATTAAACTGAAAACTAAATTTGCAGACGATGGTAATAAAATATTATCGTTGCGTAATTGTAAATAAAAAGAGCATGCACCATTACCATAATAATATTAAATTGCCATTATACTAATATTGTCCGTAATATCTGCCAGTCCAAGTTTATAATTAAGTGATTGAGAGAATCTAGACATTATTCCAGTCAAATTATGGGAAACTGTCAAGACATTAATGAGAGGTAAAATGCTTGATCAAGCCGTAAAAATACTAGAACGTAAGCATATAATGATAAAAAATTTATGGCATTGATTATGTTGGTTATAAACAAATAATATAAGGATAACAAGAATATGATATGGCCACTTCACTGCTAAGCAAAACGATTTAATAATTACTTCTGAATGAATGTATTGGGTATGGAAAAGGTATCAGATTGCTGTATAAAACGTTTTATCATGTACTTGCCGACTTGCCTACATATTATTGTATGACACATGCAGACCCTGCCTCTGAGCATTGGGGTCTGTCATGGAACCTCATTTCTGGACCACTTCCTATGGACCCCATAACAGCAACGACAAAGAAAACGTCTATTTAGGTTTATTGCTTTCCGAGGTTTGGCATATCGATGTATATAATCTCATTGGACAAATGACTCGGGTAGTGAAACACAATCTCCAATCGCGTCGTAGATGACACACACAAACAATACTAGCGAAATACAAAGAACAACCCCGAGAATATTTGGTAATTGTTTCGGAGACCCCGAACCTACTGCATGAGCTGCTGACTTTGTTGTATTGCGCCACAATAACAAGGGTGACAAGATTCTTATCCGGTTCGAGGCTTGGTCATTTGGCGTTCTACCCATTCATTTGTTTATACTGTTTCGGAGTGAAGTTACTCCGAAAAAAACATTGAAAATTAAGTTTTAATATAACGAGTTTTTTAAAAAAATATTGTGAAAGAACGTCCATCCAATTGAAAATCAATAACAATATTGTGAAACGTGCACTAGAAGGAAGAACGGAACAACTTGCTATTTGCTATTCCGATCAAACTTTATTATATGTCTACATGCTTCAAAGCGCACCTGAATGTCTGGAATTTGGCAAGTATGATTAGAAAATAATCTGCTATATAACATGTCTATTGGGGTAAGTGAATACGCACTTGATAAATTAGGAGCTCAAGAACTCCCAAATAATCAGGGATATTATTAGGCTTAACACAACAATAAATATCCAAATGCAATATGACGAATCTAAACCTGTTCTTTGTAGGTTTAGGTAATTCGGTCACTCGATAAATAGACGGAAGATTCGCATGCATAAAAAGGTCCGGCTGTATGAGAAAGACGTTAAAACTATTCGGTTTATAAGACTGCTTGGGAGAAATTGAAAGAGAAATGGCTCTTGTATACCCCCTTTTGAATTGATGTTGTTTTTTCTGACTATTGTTAATGCCATTCACGATAGGATATCGCTACTGTAAGCATTTTGTATTATGGAAACTTCGGAGTTAGTATATATTCCCTCCATATGTGCACAAGAATACAGTGTACAACGAACTTCTGATTGCACGAATCAGACGAGTCAATTCAATCTTTTTATATATTTAGACTACTTTGGATTTCGCGGCGGGCTCGTACTTTTTGGATTGAAAAAACAACAAAACAAAATAAAAGACTTTAACTCTTTTAGACGTTTGTTTAAGTCAACCCAATATTTTGTGTCGTTTTTGACCAAGTAGAAGAACAAACGGCAGTACCGACGAATACCCAGGTCGAGTAAAAAAAAAGAAATAAAATAAAGGAAGACACGGCTCCGAGTTATACTGGTGAGTATGTATGGACAAGGGTAGTAATATAGTCAAGAGTATTATAAAATCTACGGGGAAAAAACATGATATTTTGTTATAAAACAGTATGTCGGTAAGGGGTTGGACTTGCGTTCTTATCACAACTTTGACCGACTTATGCAACGTGAAAGTTTGGTAACTATGTTTAATTAACGTATTATCTCAATAGTAATAGGGAGCCTTAATTAAGTTTACGTTTAGTAGCAATCAATAATAGCTGATTAAGCTTTGGTTAAAACCCCGCGCGCGGTGTAAACGATCATATATTTCAGCTACGAAAGCGGGAGTTGAAGAGTCGATAACGGTAACTTTTGTTTAGTCTCTATCTTGTGGGGGGAAGATCAGTCGTATGAAAAGACTATAGGTAAAGCAACAGAGTGTATCGGGTTGTTATTTTAATGGGCAATATTGGCCAAGTGTAATGGGTTTACAATTTCATCTCTCATATCTATCGCTTTGTTCTACCTTTTTGACAGTACTACATGTCCATACAATGGATCAAGAAAACAGCTTGCTTTCGAATCCGGTCTGAGAACGCCAGACAGGGGCTATCGAATCAACGATATGGAGCAGTAAACGTCCAATTTCATGGAGATGTCTTTCCTATACGGCTACCAATATTTGAGCTAATGATTTAATAGCGTTAACGTTAACATCATAGAATCCTTTAATTTATTGCTTACTTTTCTTCTCTCTAGGATTTTTTTACGTAATACGGGGGGGTCTTTACAGATGACGCAATTTATAATCACCTATTGCAGGGCTCACATGTGCAAGTGTACCAACTATGTAAGCTATATATTTTTAGATAATACGTACTACACAGCCAATTCACTACTCTAATCCCCAATCTTTAACATCCGCATACTATTTAATTGTGATAAATTATCAGAACTGGACTGGCTGAAGCATTTTATCAGTACCATGCCTGACTCTCCCTACATCAAGAACCGATCAAAGACGGCCAATCAGCAGGTTGTCTTTGTGGACGGCTGACGTACAAAAAACCATCATATTGAACCAAAGATGCACAGCTGCTCGATGAATTTCAGGTGATGGTCATTTTAATGTTCTAAACCGATCTGGGATCTGATATATTCTCATTGGTCAATCTTCCTTAATTAGGTCACCTGATATTAATGAGAATATATCAGATCCCAGATCGGTTCAACGACCAGATCGGTCTAGTACAAATATAACGATATTGTCAAGCAGTTGATTGGCAGGTAACTAATTGTTGCTATCGTAGTACATCAGAAGTGAATTACTATCATCATCAAATTAGACCGATGCCGAAACCTAAAAAAAAAAACGAAACCTCAAATTAGATCGATGCACACTCACGTCGATGATATTCAATCTTCAGGTAATAATTTTTTTACAAGTTCTTATGCATCAGTACGATGTTGTTAAAATTGAGGACATTGATCGTAACGTCAATAATGTTTACTTGAAATAATCAGTGATATATTACTATCAAATTAAAAAGGCTAAAGAGACATATATCCGCCAATATCTACCAGGTGAATGGTAACACGCACCAAGTAAATATTTGAAATGTAATTGGTGAATAATAAGGTTGTGCATGATACAACGATGGAATTAACAAAATTTGATAACATTGAGAGAAAAAAAAAGTAAAAAATTTCGCTGGTAATCGTTGAATTTATACAATAAAGTAATATTTGGCCTTATTTCCATTTATTTACCATGAATAGTTATGGAACTACACCGTTATCGGTAACATAAGTATGACGCAGATTTGCTAAATACGGTAAATATTTGACATAAATGTGAAATTAATATAGATAATTCGTGGAGTTTTTTAATTTCGTTGAAATTTTAGTCAGATTTTGAGTTTTTCATTCTATGTCATTTTTCATGTTGCTCGTCGTTGTTCGAAATATGTTAGTTACAATAAACCTTCTTTATTAAAGGGGAGAATGATTTATAAATTTAAAATGCAAAAGGCAAATGTAAAAACAAGCATCATATGTAAGGTGCGTGATCGTTTCATTCACATATCATATATTATCATTTTATTTCTTAATTAGTGACTTTACATTTATATACATTTACAAATAAAACCGCCCTCCAAAGAGAAGACTACCAAACTTAAAACCTCTCTACAAAACTGACAATTTACCGAGTCTGTTCCGGAGATATTCGTTGAGACGGAGCGCATACGAGGGGGTGAACCTCGGCTTTCTCAAATATTCAATCCACCTCCGGATATCGGCATTCTCGACGCATTAAATGATTGACATTATGTTGTCCGTGCCGTATGTTGTCCTTATATTATTCTTATATTGTCCTTATCTGTCCTTATATTGTCCTTATATTTCTTATACTGTCCTTATATTGTCCTTATTGTCCTTATTATTCTTATTGTCCTTATTGTCTTCTTTTTTTTTTCGCTTCAATGTGAGCGGTCAAACAGCCCCGAGCTGTTTTATATGGCCGCCATAAATGCCGCTTCGGCTTCAAACTGGGCTCGTTCCTCCGCGGACAAGGTCTGCATGCCCTGGCAGCGACTCCTAGCGGCGAACGGGGGTCACAGGCATCATATATTGTATTATGGGTAAATTATTTATAAAATGAGGCCTGGTTCGGGCTTGGTTTGAGGTTGCTGTTTTTTTTAAACCATTTTTTTTTAAGATGGGGGAACATGTAAATTTTGGTATTTATAAAGATTTGAGCAAAATATTTTGTGTACTAGGACAATAGTTACAATGTGTTTACATTTTATTAATTTTTAATAGCGCGGCACATATTTTCGTTATGTTGTTTATAGATTATCTATCATATTGGCATGAATTTATCAATAACGCTTACGCGCAAATATGTGTTAACGGGACTATAATGATAAAATTTATTAAATTACAATAGTAAATTTTCTAATACATTTACAAAGGAAAAATTATATAAATTATCTATACATATACAATTGTTATAATACCTAGTGCGTTTGTCTCATAAACTATTGTAATATACCTGGTACCAATAAAATAATACGTTAAATAGACGCGCTAGACATTTTTGAAACCTGTATCTGGTCAATAGGAAACAGGGTCACTGTCACAATGGATAAGCAAACGGATAACAGATGAGCCATACGCAATGGACCTTGATTATTACATATTAATAAAAATGGCGTAATCAACACACAACAAGCTGAAACGTAAAGAGGAGGCGTTGCATCACGCTGTGAAAAGCAAAGCATAAGAGTGAAAAAAAAATGGTTGTTTCTATGTAACACGCAACATGTATGTGTGTTATGTAACAAGCTCGAATAGTTCGCGTTTTCGCGAGCCTGCAATTGTATTTTTCTTTAAACCTTGCATGTTAAGCAGCTATTTTCTAGTTGCTATACGTTAATAGTGTCGTGTTAGTTATTTTAAATTTGTGTATTGACGGTTCTGACATTATCTTGTGTAGCTGTATTAAGAAGATTAGATGTATCTTCTTAGATAAAAAGAATTTACGTAGTACAAGTAAATGCCGTGGGAAGGCGAGAAAATTTTTTGTTTCTATGAATATGCTTATAACGGATAGCTTCCTTATCATTATCCCATATCGGATAGATATGTAAAATAAACTAGCGAATTAAGGTAAACATTATTACATGCTGTGCTGCATACGACTAGTACAAAGGATAAATAAAATAATCAAGATTGATATCGTTAACGGGGAAGCCTCATTATTGAATTGTCTCGCCCCCAACTTTTGAGATTGAGAAAGGCCCATAGTTTTGTTCTATTGTAGGTAGGTCACCAAAGTCCAACATAGTTGGTAAATTTTATACATATTAAAACGTCTATTGCTAATGCCTTGATAGAATGGTTATAATATTAATATTTATTATACGTATACATAAATAATAGCGACTGTGATAACAATAAAATAATGTACATCAACAATATAAATGTGACAATAATCGCATACATTTTGATCTCGTAATAATCGCATTTTGTTGTCACTCTCACATTTGCAGATATCACAGTGATATAGTATAATTGACTTTGATATTACCTATTACTATCGCGTTACATTCAATGGATTTGACCTAAACAATTGCCAATACAAAATAAAATTGTTTATGTATCAATTCAAACTGCATATTAATATACAATCATATTTTCTCTCACTCTCTACAAATTTGTTTCATGGGCCTTATCAATTACCCGAATATATTTTCTTTTGATGACCGACTTTTATACAAATTCGGTAATCGACCCAATTCGGGCCTAATACTAATGTTTTGGATTACTTGAAGATCTGTTACGCGCTACACGGATGGGGTTTGCTCAAATTGCTTCGACGGTTCTATACAAATAATTTCGGATCAAATGGCCAATAAAAGACAAAGTAAGATTTTTAATGAACAGTTTATATCGCGTCGTTCTAAAATTAAACCATCCATTTGATATTTTCGTAGAGATATATAATGATGAGCAACAGGCGGAATTGGGTTTGAACACTCATAATATATCTAACAATGGCACAAATAGCTCTTATGACGCACCTGAACTTAAAATGGCAAGACGCCCAACCCAAAAGGAGGAACAAGCCCTAGCACAACTCCAGGAAATTTCTACGCGGCCGATAAGCAAAGAAAGAACGAAAGATAAAGAGAAGACAAAGAAGAGGGTAATGGAAAGGGAGAGGTTAGGAGAGAGGGTCAGAGGAAGGGAAAAGGAGGAAGGAAGGGAAAAGGAGGAAGGAAGGGGAAAGGAAGAGGGGGGGAGAAAGAAAGAGATGGAAATATAGACAAAAAGATTATAGGGGAATGAGTAAGGATAGTGATGACGAGGATGATAGTAACGAGGATAATGATGACGAGGATGATAGTAACGAGGATAATGATGGCGAGGATGATAGTAACGACGAGGATAGTGGTGACGAGGTGATAGTAACGAGGATAGTGACGACGGAGATAGTGATGACGGAGATGGGACAGAAAAAGTATGATGTAAATGCCATGTCAAAAATCGTCTAATGGTCGAAGTACAGATACAGCCAGTATTTTTGTGCATCGCGAAGAGCCGAATTTTGACATTCTGTCGCTAATTCCTCCAAATGCTTATACTTCAATGCGTTGGCATACAATTGAGGCAAACTCAAGAGGGGGAAGGTGTACCCAATTACACGATAACTAACGAGAGCAATATCTAGTTGCTTATTGGTTTCTTTACGTGTTGGTAAAAATGGTTAGAATTACTCAATACGAAAAAAGCTCTCATGTAATCCACGAACACTTTTATTAAAGGCTTTGCCCAGTGATCATTCGTCCAATATTTTTAGGACTTCCTCAATTTTAGCTAATTGTTCTCGCGGTTTGCCCTTTTGTTGTCCAAGCTAGCTTCCAGTCCTTGTAGGAGACTGTCCCAATACAAGTGAGTCTCGATATAACGACATCTTGTTATAACGACAGAAATCGTAGAACAAAAAATCCATGTTGCTTAGTTGCTAATTCTTGATATAGTGATCATTTGGGTTGGAACCGAGCGTGTCGTTATATCGAGCGTCGTACATTGTTGCTGCTATTACGCCTGTAGCGCCGCGTTTCAGCCAGGTCGCGGCGTACATTCCCGGTAACTTATTGACAATGCATTGAAGACAGTAAGTAGGTTTCAGCGATTTTCCAGACCAATGAGCTTTCTAATTCAATCTCACCTCTTTCCCATCCGAGTCTGTGATTTCCCCTCTCGTTATTAACCAGGCCACAGCCCTTATCAAACGGAATACCTCAACTGGAAGACTTCTATAACAAACACTCTTAGTTACTAACCGGTTTCTATGGTCTCTATTTCAGGTATTGCAACGGACGAACGGACGTCTCCCTCGAGTTTATTCACGCTAAATTCCACTGCCTTCACATACAAATAGTGTGTGAAAATCATTGCCACCAACGAAGGCGGTTGGGCTTTGTAGAAATTTGAGAGTCCAAGACTTATCGCCCTCTACATTGTAGATACGAGAATCCGAGTCATGATTGGAGAAATCTTCTTTCAATAAGCCTATATCAGTATGAAATCGGGTATTCGGTAGCTAAAACATCTCTCGAAGCTCCTTTGCTGAAAGATATCTAGACAAATAAAACAGTTTGTAGATCGGTAAGGCCATAGAACTTAATATTTGATCTTGCAAACTATGTAAATCCTATGCTTACTTGTAAAGGACCACGCCGACCAACAAGTATAACGTTTTTTATCTTACTCCGCTTGAGCGTTTCCAGAGCATGGCTCTGCTAAATCCGTTGTGCTTAATGTAGAAACGTCCATCAACAATATTCGTGCCACATCCAAAGCGACGTTCCCATATCCAATTACAACAATCGCTGTATCCATTCAAGTTGCAGATTGTAGCCCTAAAACAAATAATTATACAGCCTACAAAGTCTCTAGCAGATAAATCATACTTCAGTAATCCGTCGCCGCCTTTGATTCCCAATTTCTTTCCGCACTTGCTCCATATGATAGGACGATTGCGTTCATAATGCGGCTTTGATTCAGCAACAGAGATGTCCATACATTACCAACAAATTGGAATACGAGGATCACTGGCAACTTTATCGAATTTATGCTGTAACGTTCTAATCAATTGTTACCGACTACTGTTACCGATTAGCCGTTGCAATAAAAATAGGCCAGAAAGCGCTATAAGATATCTTGACTTCTGGGTGATCAGGTGCTACGCCATATCTGACAAGACCAAATGGTATGGGAAGCGCCTCGTACATGTCTATCAAAGCGAACGGGTAGTCTTTCATGACGCGATGAGCCGTGTAGAATCCAGCTGGTCCACTTCCTATGATCGCGAGCTTAATGTGGCAACTGGAGCGATAACTACTGACCTCGAGTGTGTGTAAGCGCGCAACGAAGCATAGCTAGTAACTCTTAAGATTTCACGTTTCGGAATGCTAGATTCCGTGAGTAGGCGACGGATAACAGTGCAAACATTCCAATATGCTTTTCAGAAAAGGTTTGTCGTGCCAAGCTACGCAATGCCGGTTGTTGACTTGGGAGGTTATAAACTGGCCAAGACCAAATTGAGCTGGAATATCACCCAAAGTAACAATAGTTAATTGAACCATTCTTTTCTGTTTGGCTACCATAACACCTCCTTGAAATCAAAGTCTCACAAAGGCCATTAGCACTTCGATGTTTGAAGGTTTAGGGAGAAAGTCCCCCAATACTGTCTTGTTTAATCGTAGATTTCAAGAAACCAGCGAGACTTGTTTCCCTATTGACAGACGGATCGTCGTAAATGACACCATTCGCTATTAGGGCAAAGAGTTATACTATTGTAAATTAAAACTAATTACTAACCTTCCAAGAACTCGAGACCTGCTTTGGGGTTCTTTAAATTTCGCCGCTCCAACAATATTTGCTTCCATTTTCTCCTTTCTAATAAATAGCTCAACAGGCGAAGGGTACACCTGGTAGCAGTTGCAATTTCAAGAAAACAAACCTATTAGCACAAGAATGAGGCTCACACAAGTCCAATTAAAAAAAAAAAACCACAAGTACCGATGGCAGACAGTTCTTTCCGTGAGAATCCTGAGTTTGAGGATTTTTCTAATATAGATCACCAAATATTATCGCACAAACATTCTAAACATACCTCAATTTGGGTAGTCGATCAAAAAAAAAAAAAACGGTTTCCCACTTCCAATAATATTTTTCCTGTTTTTACCCACTAATACTAAATCAGTTATAGAATGTACTCTGCTTAAAAACGCGACGTCTTCGAATAGATTACTACAATCAACATTGAAGCTCGTAACAAAATTTGTATTGCCGATATACTTTGAGCAAATACTCCCCCATGTTCTTTAATATTCACTGGATAAACTAGATTCCGAAGTAGCAAAGAAGTTCAGGATGCACTCAATTCTCATTTTCGGACAGCAATAACGGACTTTTCCTTTGGCACTGTTGCTCCTCAGGTAGAAATCACAGATATAACAGATCCCTTCCCCGAGTTTTTTATCTTCCCGACGAGGAAGTATTCTTGGAAAATGGTAGCTCAGTAGCTGGGGATTTCTTGTATTATAGTGATGTATATGAAGAATGAAGTAAAGCAGGATACGGATGCGCAAATGCGTGTAGAGATGAAATATGAGGGAGGTATGAGAATGAACTACACGAGTTTAATGTTTATGAGTTTGCCCATGAGATTGGGCGTAACAGGATTCAGCTTTCATGGTAAGAACATGAGGATTACAAATTGATTAAAGCTAGTTTACGTGGTAAACGTATATCTCCTAATTGATGATCTTTTATAGCAACTGCAGTAATAACTTATCTTCAGCGATGAATAAACTTTTGTTTCCTTGAACCCAAGACTCCAAACGAAAGGTCACTACTATCTTAACAGCAGTTGCGCATTATCATTATTCGATTTGATCTGAATGTGGTTTTGTTGCTCAAAGACGTCCACATAGAATCAGAAGTCGGCCATAAAGAAAAGCAAGGTTACTATTATACGGGTAATGTGCATTCTTTCTCAAGAACTTAATGCACGAATATTAATACTTTTCTCTGCAAACAGTTCTCAAAAATGTTGGCAAAGAAAGATTTATCGTAGAATTTGATCGATGAGGAATTTAAGCAAGACAAAACGGTTACTATCAAAAATTTTTTATTTTGATTTTTTATATCAAAACCCATACAAGAGAAACGCAAGCGATATTGTTGCGTGTATATGTAACGTTCCGTGATAAAGCAAATGTTTATATTGTTCTATTTCGTAAAGAGATACTATTCCTAATATTTAATCATGTCGATGTATTCATAGTAGATCTAGCTATGTCACACAGATAGTCGTCAACTGTCCACGGGAAGGACATCATGTTCTCATTACGATAATCACCTCTCTCGTGATGATGGTAAGTAACATAATACCAAGCACAGGCCTTAGCTTCCAGTTTGCTCTTAATATCCACCTGGTTTTTAGCCTCGGCTGCTGATTTTATAGAATATTCGGCAAAGATGTCCTTCTCAAATTTTTGGCGATAATTACGTCGAATCCCTGCCATCACTTCACTGACCGCTCTCTGTATTTCACGCAGCTTCTTACGCTCCATCTTTACGACAGCGTTGAATATGAATCCACTGACAACCTCGTATTCTGTCATAACACCATATTGATTCATCAGACCGCGTACGTCTGCATCATATGCACGTTTCGTAACACGAGCGTCTTCCACATAGAGTTCATAGCCATCCACTAATAAACGTCGATCAAATTTAATGAATCTATCTGCTGCTGGATTAAAATGATCACTTGGAAGTTGTATAGATCGGTACAGTTTTCCAAGAATCTTTTGAGATGCATAAGATTGCTTATCCATTTTATCCATAAAATTCGGATATTCGCTTACACGCAGTTCCTTTGGAAAATCAACAGGGACACCAGTTTTAGGAAAGTCCACAGCTTCAGAATGTAACTGTGCCAGTCGTAAACAGCCCCCATGCATAGCACCTACTGATTCTTTATCCGCTTTTGCCATGTGAGCATTTGCTAATTGTGCGAGATTGTCATAGTGAATGTAGTTCACAAAGAACTTTTTGATATGATTAACTGTAACCGCCTCCACAGGATGTGGCTCTGGTGCTTGATATTCCATTGGTGGAAATTTCTTTATTGGTGGGATTAATCTTCTATCCCAAATCACCGTGAAGTCGTCTCCATCCATGTCACCCCCACTACACATGCTTGGTAAATCCCTAAAACCGTTTGCGGGAAATACCAACACATCAACTAAATGGTTGAGTTCCGGACATTTAACTGCCGTAACTACCCTTATACCTCCAGGGTGGAAACAAGGATTACGGAACACTATACAAGTGCCAGTTACCACATTGCTCACAGAAGGGTTATTTGGGTTTGAGAGACATAAATATATTTCATCTTCTTTCAGTGAATTGGTCTCATCCATCACCCCTAAAAGGAAGGCTCCGTTTTCGACAAATATTTTCGCTTTATTTTTGAGATCATGAAGACGTGATAAACGAAACAGCGATAATAATTTGGCTAACCAAGGGTCCTGTTGTCGCATAAAGCCCGCTTTGACCATATCAGCTAATCGACGTGAGAGACCCCATTCGTCAATATACCGTAACAATACTCGCATAGCACTATGTTCGTTTTGTAGCATTCGGTCGAGATCGTTTGCTTCTGAATTTCTCATATTCACGAACGTTGAATCAGGAACTTTAAGGGTGGATAAGAGCGTAATAGCCTGCCTGTTCAAATATGCAGGCAAAAATGTTGACGCCCTTATTACTTCCAGCTCCGTATGTGGCGAATCAAACTTGCGCTGACTCGGCCGCACCTGGATTTGCTTTCCCCGGACATTCGGCGACATGCATAAAACACCCTCGTATCCACCAAGACGGAATTGGACAGCAGAAGGAACGCTTTTTAAATCAAGAACTTCGGCAATTTGTTGGCATAGCGCTTGTGAGATCTTGCCACAACCATCGGAGAAATTGTATCCGTTTCGCGTAATGTCATTGATGAATTGAATATCGTTCACAGGTAAATGAGTCACGGCGCGAGTACTTGAAAAGCATTGTCCCATGCATGTAGCGTATTTTGCCACTGCTTTGATGTCACTTAAATTCCCCATCCAATTGCGTATGTCATCAGCCCTTAATTCCTCTGTAGGGGCAAAGAACAAGCAAGAATGATCCCGCAGCTGGCTTGAAGAGAAGGCCAAAAATTCGTATTTCCTATTTCCAATCTGAATCCCGTTCACGAGAGTACGGTGAATCCGATTGAGGGTCGATATATGGTTATCTCCATTTGACGATGTAAGCTTTCCATTTTCGTCATTGAATTGGACCCTTAGGAAACGTTCCTTGTGGTCTTCAAAATACCTTATGGTCCTATTGCTTGTCTCCATAGTTGGCGGTAATATATACATTTTAGAAGGGGTGATAACAACTTTTCGCATCTTGACACAGTACGAGGGTACCGTCTCTTGCCGACTGTCACCGCCTTGAAGCTTCGCAACTTCAAACATCAAGTGAGAAAGAGGATCATAAAGTCTCTGTTTACGTTGATGGAAGTTATCTAAAATGGTAAGAGCTGTCTCTTTCTTTTGTTGAGCAAGCAAGTCCATGAATTCGTCATTGAGATTGTAATCATGTAAGTAACCATGCGTAATATTACATTCCAACATATAAAGTACATCAAAGTCCAGCATTGACCTATCAACATATTTTTTCAGGTTGCTTCCATCAGCCGTCGTTATGTATCTGGAAAACATGGCTTTCCTTGATACAAGATTGTAATCAGCAGCTTTGAAAAACATTTCTTTAAGTTTGTTGAATCCTTTATTCTGGTCAAAAATGAACGTAATCCTGTACGCGAACCATCTTCCAAATTCTTCACCTGTAGCGTTTGGATATGAAGGCATCGTCGGCTGTTGCATCTCTTCGTCGCTAGGCTTCCCTACCCGGAGGGCCGTCATCCTCATCCAACAATCCATCAAATTCCATTCAAATTGATTTCTCATCCCAAGTTTCTCGTCCAGGAAGTATAGTTTTGGCGGAAATTTGGTTCGTATTGTAGTTACCGCACGCGTTTGATTCTTCTTTGTATCGAGTTCTGTATGGAACTCACCCTCGACGTCGTCGAAATAAGTTTCCAATCGGAATCTATACGTCTTACTTCTGTTCGCTTTAGTGAAACCAAATTCAGTTTCAAAGCTGCGCCTTGCGTAATTCAACTTGAACTTTATGTCGTTGTCTGTTTCCCACTCTCTAACAAAGGTGTTCACTTTAAAGAACACACCCATTTCCAAAGACTTGGCCGATAGGAAATCTTGACTTCCGCGTTCTCTTGAGAAGTCTTGCCGGTCGTTTTCAGGATTGAGAATCTCTATCCGCAATTGCTTGCCATGAAATCTTGGATTCTGTTTCCAAAACTTCGTTTCTGGCGGAGGTCTTTAGTAACGAGAAAACAGTATAAATTATATTATTATTCATATTGTTACTCAAGTCAGTCAAACATACGTATTTAATTAACACGAAACTTACCTGTAAACAAGGTATACTGTCCCAGTGAAGACAGTAGTATCTGATTCTCTCGTGTCCATGATGATTTTATGCAAATGGCCGTAACCGGAGAAGAACCCTCTTAATTCAGCCAAACTAGCATTAGGCTGGAGGTCACTTACTCGTAGGTCTAGACCATCATATCCACTATCATGTCCGCCGCGACCACTATCGTATCCACCGCGACCGTTGTCATATCCATCACCGCGGCAGGGAAAACTGCTGTAGTTGCTTGGCATCATCCTGGCTATATTATTCTAATTCAAGTGTTCGAACTGAAGTCTATGCCTTTAGCGTTATTGTTTCTGGTATTAAGTTAAGGTGCAAAGGCGACAGTCGCGTAGTTTAACTGTGCTGGTTGTGGCTAATGTGGTTGGGGAAGTCACAAGACGGTTTTGTTTGAAGCAAAACTTAGAATGTATTGACTTCTCTTGGTATATTTTTTGAATGTGTGATGTACAGCTTAAGAGTTTTTAGACCAAGTGTCCACCATAATTTGGTCTTCCTAGTCGCATCATCATAATAATAATAATCATTATTGGTGGAACCACGGATTCCAAATAAAGAACGCGCGTTGACGTTGACCAAGGTGACCTTTTTTTTCAATTCACGTGCTGTCTATTACCCAATGAGAATGGCATTAAAAACTTTTACCCCGGTAAATTCCAGTTATTCGCGTCATGCTAGTGTGTGGAGTTGGTCATTTTCACTAGTGACATCCTGACTATCTTCTGCTTCATAACAATAATATTTTGGTCCGCAGCGAAATACCGCCATTCAATCCATAATCGACATACACCTATACAAACGGAATAACCAGGTCATTAGCATCTTAATTAGATTATTTATGAAGCTGTGGACAGACTAACAATTCAGTGTACAAACACATAGACCTGCGTTGGCTTAGTTAGCTGCTACTCATTACTTGTTGCGTATTTGTTGCTTAATTGTTTAATTAACCCTTAACTCAAACACTAACCGATATATCTACTCTAATCACAGAGCTTAAGTGAAATTGTTGCTGTTACGACTATGCCGCTCAATTCGATGATCATCTCGCAAGGCGTTCACCAGTATGTGAGCTAATTACTATGTCTTATTATTACATCTGTAATTTGAACTTGACTAACTGGCTTCTACAAGATATCAGATGGCTAAGAGAGCAGGAGTACAATCCCGCTGACAAGTACTATTTCATTGTGTGTGCCACCATTCGTATGGCGATTATTACCATCTTACGAGTATTGGCAGAGGCTCTAGAAATTCCTCTCTGACTTCTTTAGATCTTAGTTTGAATCAGAATAGAGATACAGAAGCAAGCAAGCATTGACAAAGGCTTTAAGCCAAATTTCTCTGACTTCTAATAATCCAGGAGAATTATTATTCAGATTAACCGAGGGAAAAGCCGTAAGTTTGATTGAAGCCAACTGCAAATTAAAACGTAATTCAATAATTCAATGACTTATATTTGCTTCCCAGTTATCAAATTGCTTCCCATTTAATAAGCATATCAACATCTCAAGAGTGTGGCAGGACAAATAAGGATACTGGTGCAAGGCAATTTTGCAGGAAATGCTCACGGAGATGTAGAGATATTCACATATAAAACCTGGAGAGCAAATAGAATCTATTTTGTTTATTGCTACACCATCGACTGGAGGTACTTATTAATAGTTTACCAACAAATCGCGTCTTTTTTTGTGTGTTCAAATTGATGAATCCCATTAGTAACACTCGTGCTTACTTAATGTTATACATTTATTCGCTTTTTGAAACTAGCTCCAATAACCCACTTATGCTTACCGACAACGCATTTCTTCGGTACACTCACTGTCGGACACGGATCCAAGATTTCCATACCACATTATGCTGTCGTTAACCTGACGCCATAGACAACGCTATGGCTCCATACGCGGTGACGCATAAACGACAATGCAAAGAAGATATTGAACAAGTTGGTTCTGATTTAGATTATCAGGAATGATGTTGATAGCACGGAATATATTGCTGCTGCCACAATTACGACCGACTTTACAGCGGCCTCATCCCAGAGAAACGCATCTATGCCGGTATTACTGAGTTTGCTGTATTACTTAATTCTTGGATTACCTCTTGAACAACAATTTTTGGATGTTTCACCGCTCAAGGAGCACTATTAAGAAACCAGTCAGTCAACAGGCGCATAATTTACGGAACTATGAGAACAATACGATTGGAAGAGGAAGTAATACTCAAAAGTATTCCTTTTATCTCTATTATGTCTCTCGAGCTTTCTCTGCTCCTTTCTTCGCCATCATCCACCGAAGCAAATTATACTTATATTAGATTGACTAACATCTAATCAACACATGGGACGATGGCCCTTCCCTACCACAGCGTGCGTCAGCCGTAAGGCTGGGGTGTGAAGCCAATGGGACAAAGTAACTGCGATCTAGAAAGTCTGATTTATACATTTTCAATTGTTGAGTTGAGACGAACGGACGGATTGGAGAAGAAAATAATGCTATGAAGCGGCCGAGAAGGCTATGTAGGCTTTCGGTTATTTACTCTTTTAGCAACAAATATCGTTATAACACGACGAAAATCTTAATTAGAAAGTCAATTGAAGCATGGTTACAAAACCAACAATCAGCTTGTTATGGAAGCGCCTACTGTTAGACACAAACGGTTCATTTTCAGCAAGTTAAGTTTTCGTCAGCTGGGTAGACGCTAAGCGTAAAACACGTGAGAGGTTAAAAGAAATGAAAGTAAAAGAGTTGAAGTTCTTTCAAGAGTTATGGAAGGTAAGATGAGGGCAAATAAAGCACAAGAAAGTGAAGGGGTGACGGCAGAGATGAGAGAAATTACAATCGTTTCGTGGGGAGAATGGATCAGAGGATAGCGAGGAAGAATATGGGGAAGGTAGTGACAAAGAGCTCGATGAAATATCAATGGATGCTTCCATTCTTTTGCCTTACTTCTTTCCACTCACCCTCTTTCTCTGTGTGATCTTTATAGCAATATCAACACCAAATCCGGTCCGCACTCTACAGCCTCATCTTCTTCAATTTAGACAATATGGCATGCCACCGCTGGCAGATGGGCCAGGTCGGGATCGAGGGCAATGACAACGCTAATTATGACAACGTAAGCAACGAGACCAACAATGCAATCACACTTGGCTCTGCAAGTCAGAGTAAGCGCAGGATTGATGATGAAGTAAGTGGAAGTGATACCAATGTATGCGGGAAAAGTGAGTGCTAAAAAAAGTCGAACGTGTTAGACAAAAAATATGGAGATATGGGGAAGATATATAAATTGGGTTTTATATAAAAGGTTCATTGCTAGATTGCTTTTATAACATGGCATTCTTTTTATCTCTATTAAGATCTGATCAATTTTAAACTCTGCAAATATTTTCAATACCCTCCCCCGTTTAATCAAGTGGTTCTTACATAACAAAAAAAAAAACGTCTTCTCTCTCACATCGATACACACCTGCTTTACACGCTCCTTGTTAGCGGTGCGATAATTTTTGCATTATTATATCATTTGTGTAATAAATTTATTGGAAATGAAAAGAATTGTGAAATGCCGCGAAAATTCGATAATGAATAGATGAACGAAAAGGAATATATATAAACTCTTTGAACGAGCTAGTGTATAAAAGGAGGAATATTGACTCTTTATTACAATAAAAGTTGACCGCGCTTAATGCATGGCTACATTGTAAGAAAAACACGACAGAGAAAGGCAAAAAGCCATTTCTTAATTAGCAATCAAATTAAGTAAAGATAATGCAGAAGAAAAGCGAAAAGTATTAGAACAAGCAAATAAGGACTTTGTGGTATCGTTGTTCGATAATCGTCCGTAAACTCAAAAGCAGGTTGTGTGAATAACGACTGTGGTGGATTCTTGAATCGACTGTACAGAGCTAAGGAAGTTATAAGTAATGACTTGCTTGAAGCCAATACTTACGCTCAAAAATAACTAAAACAAGGCGAGTATTGAAGAGATAGAAAAAGTTCGATCAAACACGAACTTAAATTACTAGTAACGCTTTAACCAAAAGCGCGTTTTACGATTGTTCCTAATAACAACAAGATCTCGGAATGCTTTTACGCACATCTACAATTCTTAATACGATCGACTTAATCGATGTTCGCGTAGGGCGAATAATCCCGTTCCAGAAATGATTGGATTTTTTAGCAGGTTCTCGTCTGCAAATTTCCGTGCGATAGGATTGCAGTTGTCAGATACACTGCTCTTTCTTCACACCCTCATTTTATTTGCTCCTTAGAGACTGTTTAAGTTCTTGGGGATTAATATCGCGAGGAATTAATAATCTTTCCCGCAAAATTCTCCTGGATGAATTACGCTGCTATCAATTCATCTCGTAGTTCCTCGTGTTGCCGGCGGCATAAACCGCATGCCAGCGTTAGACGGTCCAGAGAATGGCCCCCTGTTAGGTGCTAAAAGACAACCATAAATTTAATCTCGTGCCAGTAGTATTATTATTATGTCGATAATTTTGGTTTGTTTGCTTACCCTTTGAAGTTTGACCGTTGTTTCGAACTAGGGAGAATACCCATGTATACGCTTAACAGTCTGGCCATTATTTTGGATTGCAAATGGCATATCTAAATATTTTGGAGCAAGGGTTTTGGTGATCAAGCAAACGATATTGCTGATATTGCTGCATGAGCGTGACGTAACTAGACCTGAATATGAATTCCAGCTATGTGGTTGGTTCACGGGAACGTGCGAATTCAGGACTTGTCTTTACTTTGTCTGCACGCGTTTCCGTTTCAGCCATATTTGTCTGCAAATTCTGTACGACTGTTTCACCGTGTGCGTTGTGGTTGCCGTTGTGCTAGTGGTTGCTGTGTAGTCATCGATAAAAATAATAAATAGATTGTCTTCATAATTAATTAATAGCAATTTGCTGGAAGATGTTTTTACGTCATTTATCGCTCCTGATCTTCCGTTCCCGGTTGATGTATTTCTGGACATCGTAGGCACCAACGTTCTACGTTTTAACTGGTCGTACATTGACTGCAATTATGGATAATAATAACACAATATCCGTTATAAGTACGACGGCATAATAAAAAATCTTTGCATTCGAACTTGCCTGTAATTTTGTAAACTGCCGACCCTTTTCTTGGAGCTGATCGGAGATTTCAATATTATTTCGCTTTTCCAACTTCAACTCCTTTTTTAAAGCTTGGTGCGTGATCGAGATGGCAATTATAACATCGATATACGGACTAGTATATACAAAACACCCGCCTATTTATTCTTACCTGACAGCTTTTCTCTTAATGCTGTCGGATTGATTATAAGAAACCCAAGGTTAAAATTAATCTTATATCTAGCATATTAATTAAACAAATAACGACTATGGATTACCGCAAAACTTGTTTTTTGCTTCTCTGTTAAATGCTTTTCAAGCCTTCTTGTAAATCTCTATACATCATCTCTTGGAAACATGCTTCTTGGGTAGTCTGATAAGTCCAAAAAGAGAGCGCCCGCGTGGTGATTTCCATTATCATATCTGGACGAAGACCTGATAAATGGAATAATTTGTGCGTTGAGATTATGCTGCAGTATATCACTAATACTTTTTGTGAACATTGCATTATACGTACTAATTTATAGTCTTCGCCAGGATTAAGTTCTATAAAGACTATATCGTCACTGTATTTGTTATATTAAATTAGTTACAGACAAATAATGCAATTTCAAGAATAATAGCTATTAACCTACTTTTCAGTCTCGCAAGCAGGGCATACTAACGCTGAAGTAAATGCGCTGTTTGCACAATTAACTAGAAATAACGCGTCAATATTTGAACAAAATATAGCCGTGTCTATTCGAGATATGTAAACAGTTGATACAGATACGTTTTAGTTTTATGCGTTCGCTACTTGTTATTCTGATTACTTATTCTATTTAACACGTACGTGAACATATAGTAACACAAGCCCTGCCTTCGGCATTGAGCAGCTTTCTACACTGCACGACATTGTAACCTAATTCAGTTTCCATAATAAAATAAGGTGAGATAAAACGAGAGGAGAGAGGAGAGGGTATATATATATTCCTCACCTCATAATATTCGCAAGGTCGGCTTTAACGTGTAGCCATGTTGATTATGAGCATATCGGCATGCTTTTTACCGACAGCGTAATCGAAGCGCAAGTTATTTGCAATAACCGAACAACCCCCATGGTGGTGAGGCTTATGTTATCGACTACTGCACGACAGAATGTCGACCGACTTGTTGGAGAGTATGGTATGTTACATATCGCAATTTGGGAGAGTTATTAAGCGTGTGAATTTTGACTTTCATTTTTATTGCAGATGATTTCCAAATTCGTGACATGTGGGAAAGTATTGATTAGATTACTATTACCTTTCTTATCTACCTTTCTATCTACCTTTCTATCTACCTTTCTATCTACCTTTCTATCGTGATTTTTCAAAGAGTCGACTTGAGGTCTTTGTGTCAAATGTGTCGGTCCACAGACGAGTCCATTGCAAGTGGAAAGATATCAGTTATTGCTGTTGGAATGGATACTTCGGAGGAGAGAGGTTGTCGGAATGCGTGGAACTGTAAGATTATATTGAATTTATATTTTTAATATTAAGAAACATATCCGCGTTTTTATGCATCTAATATAACTTATTTCCTTAATAGATTTACGTATATGTCCATTCATGTAACGACTGATTAGTTAATGTCAAATTTTTGACATTCAAATGCATGCAAGCATGTTAATGTGTTCTTCCATGTGCAATTTAAAGTAAGTAGGTTATTAACTCCGAGTGCTTGCACGTAATATTTTCGACAATTAGTTTACTCGATCAATTGGATATTTTAGGTAAAACGTGACTATCGGTACTGACGAAAACGTGTCAATATAAATGGAAAAGTGCGAGATCACAGAAATTCCACGTTTATCAATATCTCGGTATTCAATTGACTTTGGTGAAGAAGAGCAAGGCAGATGCTGTTTTAGCCGCGGGTAATATTCCATCGGAAAGAGTCCTGAACTATTGAGAGGAGAAAATCAATTGTCCGACGAACATCTTAAAAAGAATAGCTGACCCCCGCAGAATCGGCAGTGAGTTAGGGAACATTCTATTTGAAGTTTATCTGCGATATCGCCAATACAATCTCACTACTCGTGGTATCATATTATTCTCAATACAATCATTGGCTCAGCTTCTATGGCGATAATATATCAATGATTGAAATATTAATCATCACACACATATGACATCACACTTACGCATGCGACTCCTTCCTCGGATATTCGGAGTTGGCGAGACATCACAAGACTTTGTCACTGATACCCAAGGATGACAAGGAGATTCGTCACGTTTATTGACCCAAGATGAAAGAAACTAGACAGTAGGCACATAATATAAAGGTTCGCATAGACATTACTTGAGGAAGAGTGGAATAATTATGGCCTTTCTCTTCTTAATGCATGGCGAGGAAGGTTTGATAACGACGGCATGGACAGTAAAGTTAGAATGAGTATTTTGGACACTGTGTAATGCTCAATGTTTACTCTGCGTATTACCTCTTGTTCGCGTACCAACTACTGGTCAAAGATTGAAATGGTATGAATCTTCACAACCACGACTTAGATACTAATAAAGCGAAATTCGCAATTATCCACACAACTTCAGTCTTCCACCGCTGCTCTTATCCCAGTCTTTATATCCTGACGCGTAAATAATTTAGAATCCGAGTATGAACTGAGTCAATTTGATAGTTCGTCCAACGTCTCGTAAGCTTGTATACCGCGTGGTCCTTCAATCTTACGTATGTATTTTTGCGATTCAATAAGCAAATCACTGATAACACCATTTTAATATAGTAGAACGGACTATTAGTTAGTAGCTCTATTATGAGATTAAGATACTTTTACAATCACCTGTTCATCTTCGGCTTGCGTACGCCGAAATCTCAAGAATTTGATGATGTACTTGATAGACTACACGCAGTCAATAAGGGCAACAGATGAATGTTCAATGTATTGGTTTCCTAAAAACACTCAGTGAGCTACGAGATCCGATGCGATTGCAAGTGTGAATTTCATCCATGACCGCGCTTCTCCTTTTTATTTCCCTACGCAAAAGCAAGAGATCGGATCAGCATAGTTGCCAGAGATATAAGCATTGATCTCAAACTAGTAAAAAAATATTACCTTGCCACATCCAAACAACAACCAGGATGCTCGCACTAATTGTTATAAGATTGTCAGCCGATAAGTGAATTTTTATCTCCATGGATGTGCGGGGAATGCTCTTGCAGCATTTGAATGATAGTTCTCTGGCATAAATGTTTCTAGACATGCGCGATCTGATGCTTCTGGTTCCACAAAAGACCATAGCTCTATCACGCAAATAGAATCACCAAATGTTTGCGATAAGAAACGATTGACTATATATAGTAACATTATCAGCGTCTGTGGCGGTGATGCTAGCTGCTATCAACCGAGCCGAGCGTGTCGTAAAATCTTTTGACATACGTAATAGGATTGGAATTTCGCATCATGAGGTTTCAACCCGAAAGAGCTTGAGGATAAATCAGAAGCAATTGTCTTCAAAAAAGTACTGTATGACGTGCTGTGGTAACAGTTCCATCGAAAAGATATCGTCATCATCAGTTACTTTTTTTGTGTATACGTCCAAATAGCGACAAACAAATATGAGTTTGACTATGAACTTCGTTTGAGACAATAACTGTTAAAAATGCTTTCGTGGTAAACATTTAACAATTGGCATGACTCGAGCAGACATTGATCACGATTGATGCAATCTTGATCGGAGAAAGTAGCAATATGGTACTTTGTTCCATCCTAAAACTTGTTGACTTCTGCGGCGTTGTATTGTCGACAGACAACATTAAAGTGCAAACTCTCTAAACATTTGACGTTTTACATGATTCGTACACGTAAAGAATGTGAAGTATTTTCGCTTCCCAATCATCCATGTCAATATCCTTCCCGCACGATGGTATGAGTGGTAATTACGCCAAGTTCGTAGGTTCGATCCCTGCTGCCAGTATGGTATACTTTCTACGTATAATGTCAATGCTTCTAATGCGCTCTCTGTATATGATTGTGCTCAGGTTATGAACTTGATGAAGATCATCCGCTTATCTTGCCTGCATTTGGATTGACCGCATTCTAACGACCACACCTTTCACGTTATCCATATGTCAGGAAAGCATTTTTCTACCACATAACTTTACAGTCGCGACTGCCATTTTTATTTTATTTTTTTGACAAATATTCATATTATCGTTACAGTATAATAGTTGAGCGATTGATAAGAAGGTCCGTTAAAGGTTTATTTGATGGACACTCTTCTGATGTAGTGGTGATCGCGTCCAAGTGAAACCATCGTTAGAGTATTTTCTCACAAGTCATGGTTTCCGCTAAAAGTAAATTATTTAGTTCTTCTCGTGTAATGTAGTATAATTACATGCTGTCTATTAAGAATTCAATATTCAATCAACTGACGAATGAGAACTCTACTAAGTAAAATAGAAGTTAGAGGAAAAATTAATTCACGAATTAACAACTAGGAACCAATATTCAAATGCTAGACCTCTTTTCAATCGTACTTGTATTATTATTTGTGGCGAGTGATTGTATTCGACTGCAACCGTTGATACTTGATTTGTTGAGCAATATTGTAATAGTTTATGTCTGCGAGATATACGTGCGATAATGTCAAATGTTTGATAACAAAATTTATTGACCCTATGACAACTAGTTATTTACATTAACTTTCGTGAACATAATAATAGCATTATAATCTAAATATCTATTACGCGTTGACTTGTAAGGAATCCAGCCAAGTTTGGCATGTTGGCGGCTTACCATTTGTTAAAAGTGTAGTGACAGCAAACGCTCGTAGCACTGCATAATCTGCTTTTGGTAAATTTCACATTCTTTGCTTGTTAAGACGCAAGTGGAACGGCCCGTTCTGGGAATTGGCCCATTCTAAGAACAGGCTGGCCCGTTTCGGGATTGTCACTATTTGCTTCCATTTTATCACATAATTGATACACGAGATTATTGCAATGCAGAATGGGCGGCGCGTTAACTTGAATCTTGTTTCACAAATGGTGATCTAATACAGCTGCCTTTTCGTGGAGCATTTTCCTCAGCGGATACAGGTAAAGACTCCGAGGGGCATGGTTTAATGCGTGTATATGAGGGGGGAAATAAATCGAAAACGTGTGATTACGAACAGGAATTACCATTATTTCAAAGTGACGAAAGCCTTCTGCTATTTGTAGTCTTGCAGGCAATTAGATTGGGACTTGGCAAAAGGTAAAATGAGTATTAACAGTGTTTAGCCCTTTTGTCTTATGAAGCAACATATAATGTTCGCGTTGCATTAGCTGTTGGAGTTGGTTCTGCGACGATAACGGATCGACTTAATAACTCAAGCATTTATTCCAAACGTCACAAATTGACTCCTCCCATAACGCTATTACATGAGTAGGCAAAGGTCTGTTAATGTTTTGCGCCGAATGATGGTGACTTGGCAGCGCGTGCATTTAGTCCTCTCCGAATAACCTCTAAGACGATTCGAGGCACATACTAAAGTCGATCCTGGTAACGCGTCTGCACTGATTCTGCTTGCTACCATGGATTGTAATGGAGCAAATAATACGGAAATACGGCCCTGAAGACTGTTTGCACAAGATTAGTCCCAGACAATTTACGGCTTAAATCTTTTAGCCAATTATTCCTTTCTCAACGGATTTAGATTTGGCAAGACGAGCAAAGGTTTATCATGACTCGCATTATCGACAAGCGCGTGTGTTGAAGATTTGGACAAGATTTTCTACCACGATCAACGAGAAATTCGAACGAGTTCTGCAGAAAGAAAGAAATAATATAGACACTTGAACTGACTCTGCGCACTGAAAACTATAAACATATCGAATTACTCGATTATGGGAAGATTACACGTCCGCTGGTGCCGAGAATTTGTATAAAAAGCCGACGGTCTTTCATGAAAACGCGGTGAGCTGTGGTTCCACCTGCACTCTCAAACGAACTTCCTTTAAACATCAAACTCACGACACAGAAACCTTAATGATGCCTTGGACTGCTTTAATAAATTGTACAATCTCTTCTCGACTCAGCTGATGACTGGCGTAATGTACAAAATCGAATTAACTCAACCGAAATGACGAATCAAAGGAAATACGTACCGAATTGTTCGAACCTGCCTAGATAAAGGATATTCAGGGCCTCAAATCAGACAAGAGTACCCGCTCCGCTGAACTTATCAAGATCGCAACCATCGTAAATCTGCAAAGAGATTATTTCTGACCTCGAGGCACGAATACGTTTTTCCACACTCGCCATACCACAACATCACTATCGAACAGCCTGACATGGATTTAAGAAGTGATAACATAATATATACGCATTGACAGTTACATGAAGGACAAGAAAGGGGTGATGATTATGACGAAAGAGCGCGGGCATATCATAAAGCGACGCTTTAATTTTTATGGAGCTGTAGTGGCAATAACCGAAACTGGTAGAGTCCATGAGGCTAAGGACGTGTTTATTAAAGTAAGGAAAGAAAATTTACATGACCCCGCACTAGAGATCGTTGTATTTATCACTATTTTGTATTCCTGTTCAGTTGCGAGGAACGTGGTCCGGAGGTCAACATTAATCTGGCGCATGCCCGCGTGGAGACCGAAGGATATTGTAAGATTGTAATTAATATCGATTGCTATTACTATTAGTTATTAATTACTATTATTATATTTCCTATTCCGTCATACGCCCAAACACAGTATGCTTAACCCCACGATTTTCAAAAGCTCTACCATTTGCCGTCTCAAGCACTATCACGCATGCTATTCCAGTGAACCAATGGGCTCTCGGCATATTCTAAATACGGTTTCAATTGTAAGGTGAGTTTTACAGCTGTTTCTATACTTTTATATTGTACATTGTGTTGCTCATGTGTTATATTATCTTGTCTATGGTCGCCAGATAATTGAATATCTTCCAGATGCAAATAAAACAAACAATAAATGCTTCAGTCAACATCATTGCTTGCGTAAGTGCATGTACTTGACGATCTGAACGTATAAATGGCGTGTGTGTGTGCACGAAGAATGAAAACATGGAGAAAATATGTAGAATCCGAAGACTTTGTCGGTCCGTGAAGAAGAAGAAAAAAACGCTCCTGGGAGGATATACCGTATATTCTGGAACTGGTAGTTAAATCGGTTCATTGCTTTTTTTGGTGACTTTATCGACAATTATCGTTCAGATGCTAACTATACATCTCTCTGGCTTATAACAACTAGGAACTAGAGGATTTCTTTTGATCCGTGAACATTAATCGGGCCTGGGACAGATTACTGTAATTTAAGGATTGAGTAACACTCAATCGGTAGGCATCATTTGATAGGCTCTTGAGTCTATACCTTTCCCACCATACGCTCAAGCAATTAATACTCCTAAGTCCGACGTTGCAAATTCCGACATTCAAAAAGGCTAACAGGAATGCGCACTACTTCGACTAGATAACTGTCTCGAGACTTTGGCTTTGATAAACGCGCGCCAAAGTAACAATGAATTTTACGTAAGGACCGACATTGAAATTAATAATGCACATGTTGATGCCAGTGTTTGAGGGATTAGCTAGGTTTCATTAATCTAATGTTTACATAACATTCTCATTTCTTACAAGGTTGATAAACATCCTTTTTGTCTTTCCGCATATAAAGCCCTCTTGATAGGACACCAACTGGTTGACGAAATATCTGTTTTAATTTCTCGACAATTGCGTGTAAGTAATAGTCCATATAATTATTTTTCTTTCACAACTTACCCAAAACTGAGTCATATACAATGTTATGTTCTTGTAAAAAGAGTACAGAATCAATTTGCTCAGTCTTTGATAGCTCCAGGCTCCATGCACTAGTTTATGGTCAGAATTATAGAACAATATGTTTAACAAAAATACTAGAGGTCAATTTCTGAAACACTGTTCTTCTTTTTTACACTAGGGAGCCGAGAACACGGAATTAGCGTCGCTGTTGAATGTTGTTCGTCATCGGAACAAAATTATGCATAAAATTTGGTGCGAGTGATCTTCAGGGTAACCTGACAAATATGAATTGTGGCGTATTTAATGTGATTTTTACGACATAATCAGTATTGGCTTAATGGCGAACATAGACCAGCAATAAAGCAAATAGAGGATATGTTGGCAGTAGATATGCTGATGCATTTACCTTTCTAAAAATTGAACGTTATCTATGGCGATATCTGACGAAAATGGTGCGTATAAACGTCATAATTAACGTCATAGTGACATCATAATGACATCATAAATATCATAAAACGTCATGATAAACATTGGACGTAACTCCGGTTCTTATTTCTGAAACCTGTATAATGCCTTTGTAAATAACAAGAGACAAACATTACCAAGACTTTATAACAAAGCAAAAATGTATAATAACGAGCTTCCTGTCAACGCAATTAGCGACTAAAAATAAACGCAAGTCATCGCAGAATTATTTACTACAAGTTGGAACAAGACTATTTACTATTGAATTATCTCTTGTATTCTTTTAGAGTATGTTGAGACCCATGCCATAACATTTAGTGACTCAAGCTCTTAATATTAAATAAATTACAATCGTGGTTATTTACAGTTTGTACAAATACGGTATGCGAACGTTTTTTTTGTCCCACCACACTGTATTGGTCAACAAATGAGAAAATCGGAAGAGGTTTGTCTTTAATGAACATTTCTGTCTCAAGTTTGTTTGTTTTCCAATTAACGTCCTTATTATTTTGATCAAGGACTTTCGCATCTTGGTTCACGATATCACAAGCGACAAAGACGATTCACAAGTTTCACGTGCAGAGGAATTATGACTTTAAATAAAGTAATCGGGGCAGAGGGAGAAAGATCGCGTAGCACTTATATATCGTAAATCAAAAAGAATGGATTTTATCATAGCTCTTTATAGTTGTTTCATTGCTGGAAAGGTATCTGAGCCTATTAATGCAGCAGAACAATTTGAAGAGTTGACTTATATACTCGATAATACTCAGCATTAACAACTGACAACCTTGAAGTGTTTGTAAGAGATTTGGCCCTCAGAAAAAGGAATACCTAGTCGTGTCGAATGGTTAAAGACAAACGATATTGGAGGTTATTTATCCTAAGAAAAAGGAAGATCATAATGCAGAATTGGCATACTATTGAATTTACAAAAAGTCCAAACGGCGGGCTCAAAGGAGTCGTCATTAATCACAAGACAATAATGCAATAGTGTCTGGTAATGAGGAGTAGCGGTTGAAAAGGAATTTCAAGCAAACATGGAAAACGTTGCGGATTCCTTATATACGGTCAGATGTGCTACAACAACAAGTTGGTTTAATATTAGGCAGCATTATGGGGAGTTTATTATGGGAACATGACGGTTTTCCTTGGAAATCTTGCTCCAGATACGCCTGGATTATGGGTTAATTGTGTCTCTAGATATAAAGGTAATCGTTGACTTGCACCTACGAAGGAGTGTATTATAAGGGCACTCAATTCATACGTTAATCATTCTCTTCGAATGTTGTCCTATTCTAGTTACCATTGCTTTGGCCGATTATCCAGGTCTTCAACCCGTCGTTTCGTCTTTCAAGAATGATCCAGCAGATTCGTCGTCTTTAAGATTGCTTCTGACACTTTGACTATTGACGTTGATAAAAATGATGAGATTGTTGACCGTCTTCTTAACTGGTATCCAATATCCTTCGAGACGTGCTTGCCACTCTAAATAGCTTATCCCAATACGGGGGAATGATTTTGTGTTTCGGAGATCTAATTGGTGTGGAAGGCTTAGACGAGCGTTTGCGAGGCCAAAGACATACCCGAGAAATTTTGCTTGATCGCGAAGCATTAAGAAACAACAATGTTGTAGTGGTCGCTTCAGAAGATGCCGTTCTTGCGAAAAGGAATGAGCATTTGGTTTTGTCATGCAAGAAGGTAGTAAGAAATGTTGAGGTTAAAATGTAAATGTTCGGATTGGAGTTGACTGTATTTATTTCGTAGCAACTATTGCCACAGTTGATCCCGAGACATCAGCTTTTTGTCTCCTAAATACCGTAGGAGAAATTTGGGTTGATTCTCCTTGTCTGATTGGTGGTTTCTGGCAACTTCGGCAAGCCATTCGATCAACAATTTTTGAGATCTGGTCTTCTGGAGACACTCATTGAAAGGCTGCTGGTTGGATTTGGCCTTTACGAGGATCGTATTGGACAGCTTGCCAATGGATCTTGTCCGGCTACTGAAGTTTTTCACAAGGGACTTGCAAATTATTGTCATGACCTCTGTTAATGGGATATACGTGTATGGTAAGTCTATAATGGCAATGTGCTTGACACTTTTACAATCATTTGTTAAATGCTGCCTCATGACGATTTTAGTGTGGTTATGTGAACGATGAGCATCTTTCTGTACTGATTGCTGAATCATCACTGGAGAGAGGAGCACTACCCGCTCTTGCTGATCAAATAATAAACAATTTGTACGTGCATCAGGGGCTCGGTTATATTGTAGTATGATCTGTCCAGCAGCTTGTATAACGGTCGATAATCGCAGCCGTGAAGGGAAGGCAGTGTCTTAGAAAAAATTTAACGCCAAGATTGTTACTATTGCCTCTCATTTAGCAAAGAAAGGCTGTAATCAAGGCACACATGTACTGGTTCTCCTTCCACATGGACTCGAATTTGTAGCTACGGAGTGATTGTAATACCATTAGCACCCCCTGACAGCTGCAAGAAGACGTTCATGGCTTTATTAAGGACTTTAACATCAATTGGGTTTTGGTTAATAATGATAGCGAAAATTTACTGAAAAGTAAAAATATCCAAGCGTGTCTGAAGAATACAGCAAGAAATGGTGTAAAACTACCTCCGCCGGTCAAGGTTCCCAAATTGACAAAGACTTTGAGAGAGGTTAATCTAGCGATACGATCCGAATGGTGCATGTGTTATCTCTCAGATGATATGAGGATATCTCGAGTTGGTCTTGGCCATGATACGTTAATGTCGCTATGTCAAATCCAGAAACAGACATGACCAGTGCAAGGGCCGTCGTGCTTTAAAGATTCATCCAGTCCGTGCTGCAAAAATCGGTTAGTACATCGAACATACTAGTGGATAGAATAGTCAAGATTCTTACGCAATTATCTGTCGATTTTAGGGTCTCCAACCGGTTTAATATCGCCACAAGAAATGCTTTTCGAATCCAGCGATTTTGGCTTGAATGTCTGAGTCGATTCAAAGTAAGCTTTATAGGTTTATTAATCTCAACATATTACGGACCTCATTAGTAGGCATCATAAATCCGTACTCAGGGGTTGTCCCTGCACTTTACAATAGTTAGACTTGGATTGTAAAGCAAGTTTTGATAATAGCCTACGCGACCCTGGTTTGGTCGAATACCAATGCTATTTCGAGACAAGACACACTAAACCCTGTTCTTTTATCATTTAGTCAAAGACACTTATGCCACCATAACCATGTTGGAAAAGGTTTTATCATTCTCCGAGACGGCGGACCTCTGAAGAAATTTGGACGGCCCAAGTCATCCAGGTGTTCAACCTGTTAACCTATAATCGGCATATAAAGAAGTATCTGTGTATGCATTACATAACTTATACATACTAAGGCCATCTTTTTATAGATGAAAGGGTTGTGAAGGCCTTCATCGCTCAAAAATTTGAACGACGCGATCATATATGTGTGTAGAGCCAGTTGAGTCGTATTTAGACCTGAAAAGTCTCCGGCATTATCGCTATGGCCTTCGGCGCCCGCACCAGAATCATCGCTATGGCCCTTCGGCGCCCGCATCATGTAATGTCAATAGTGCCCTTGGCACCCACAGCATTGTCAAAATCAACAGTGCGGACTAGCAGTTCATGTAACATCAATCATAGCGACTCTATCATGAAGAAGTTTTCAGAATTCTGTTTTAGTAATTTTGTATTTTGGTCCGTTATCCCGGCAAGCTGTTCTTGATCCATCAATAGTAGCATTCTTAATGAGTTTGGCAAGACAGCACTGATGGGATAATAACAGTAAATAAGAAATATGACAATAATTACGGGCAGCCAAAACGCTCGTGTCATGTTAAGGACGTCGAATTCTAATTAATAAATTATAAATACGCGTCTATCTGAGAAAGAGTGTGTCGAAATAGTGATACTTCGATTTTATATGATCGATTCGTTCGCGACTACACTCAGAATCAAACTGTTGCCGTCTAACAAGTATTTCAAAAATTTTGATGCGTTCGCTGAATATTGAGAGAGTTTGATCTCTGCCACTCAGCATGCTGTAGTTCGGTTCCCAGTCGTAACTTCTCTGCCCGATCATTTCGTAAGCTGTTTGAGAAATTCTTTGACTGTCAGAAAGCCTACATAGTGGAAGCGTACAAGTATTAAGAACCTTGACACATAATGACCATGTGTACAACCAGTAAAGTCTTGACATTATGACATACCGCTTATCTTTCTCCATACAAGCACTTACGAGATGCGAAATCTCTTTGGCATTCTGGAGATCGGTCGACAGTTTCTTGACACTATAATATGAGCGAAACTGAGTACAAAAATTGACAACATAGCCTGAATCCCAAATTTCTTTAACACATACCGCTTCAAGCTCTTCTATGTGCTGGGCAGGGCGGGTTGTATATTCTTCCGCGAGCTCTCTGTATATTCTCAACCCTCTGATTTTCTTCCCTTCTTCGGGTTGCATGTGTCCTCCGCGCTCTTCCTGCAGTCTCTTCAACTGAGCGCGAGAAAACTCAAGCTCTGCCGCTTGATGAGAAAGTCGATATAACGGATTCCATAAAATCCGTCATCCGTTTTATCGAAAAAACCGATATATTAAGTTTGTCAATAATCAAAAACAGCACGTAAAGTCGTTAATGAAAACGCTTGCAAAAATGTTATTAATATACAAGGAAAAAATTGACAACTTTGATCTTCTATTAATATTCGGCCACTTTATCATTATTATTATATTTAGTATTAGTACAAATTATAACAGATTCGGCCGCTTAGTACGGATCTCCTTTGTATTTAGTATTAGTACGGATCTACAAATTATAACGGATTCGGCCACTTTAGATGGCCGAATCCATAGTAATATTAGTAGTAATAGCACAAATTATCTGTCCTTGATCAATGATTATTGACGAATATACTTAAATACCAAGTAACCGCTATATCGAACGGATTTTTATGCCTATCCCACGGAATCCATTATATCTCATCAAGCGACAGATCCTGATAAGCAGGGAAGAGCGCAAGGCTGATAAAATCAAGCACATAGAAGAGCTTGAAGCATGTGAAGAGCGGTATGTGTTAAAGAAATTTGGGATTCAGGCTATGTTGTCAACTTTGTACTCAGTTTCGCTCATATTATAGTGTCAAGAAACTGTCGTCCCAATATTCACAATGCTGAGCTTCCTCCGCGAAGAGATTTCGCGTCTTGTAAGTGCTTGCATGGAGAAAGATGAATGGTATGTCACAATGTCAAGACTTTACTGGTTGTACACATGGTCATTATGTCAAAGTTCTTAATACTTGTACGCTCTCCACTATGTAGGCTTTCTGAAGTCAAAAAACGCATGAAGAATTTCTCAAACAGTTGTTAAGACAGCAACTGGACGAAGTCGTACAAGAAAAAGAATTAGAAAAGCACAGGTTTGATATTTTCGTTTATGATGGATAACACAGCGGCTACCAACGTTTTTCACATGGACTAACGGTTAATGCAACATCAATCATAGCGACTCTCATTCGGCTGTTGTTGAGAAAGCATCAGGTACTTTTCCAACTCCTAATCACTGTATCGATAAATTCTTTCTTACTTATGGCCAACTGGCATGTAATATTATAGTGGCCATTGGAACCTCTGACTGTCCAGACATGGATCTAGCAAGACAGCATGCCATAATGTTACAGATCTTTGGGAAAAACTGCATGGATTATAATCTTCGTGAGCAAGACCTTCAAAGGAAATTAGACGAGAAAAAGGTTTGTACTCATGTTTTATGATTGACCGGACCGGAAACAACCGGTTATCTATATCACTCTAATTTTGACGCCCACAAAATAGGCTGACGCGAGCAAGCTTGAATCTCAATTTAACAACTTGCGGCTTGCACCGAGAGCATGATAAGCTTTTGGTAGAACGTACCAGTGTTGATAGTAAGGTACGGTACGAACAATATTACACAGTCAAAAGCTTTGGGAACCAAACAGTCAACTGAACTGACGATTTCGATTCTTCTCACAGCATAGGCAATTAATTGAGCAAACACTGAATAGAGCTGCTCAATATTATCAGGATTTGGCAAACCAAGCAGCTGTGAATAATAACACACGCTCAGTCTCGATAAGTCGGTTTTGGCATAAGTCGGCCAACCTATGTAATTCTCGATATGTCATTAAGTCGGCCAGCGGCTCCAGCTAAATCATACGATTAAGCAGTAAACACGTTAGAATCATACATTAGAATCATACGATTAAAGCATGGACATGTCATTAGATCATACGATTAAAGCAATAAACAAGCCGTTCTCTAAGACAATCGATGTAATTATTGTTATATTAATGTATTAATAATACAAGTGAGTCTCGATATAACGACACTGCTATATAACGACACTGCTATATAACGACATCTCGTTATAGCGACAAGAATCTTAGAACGAAAATTTTATACTGCTTAGCTGTCGTATGTAAGTTAATTCTCGATGTAAGGACATTCTCGATATAGTGACCATTAGATTGGAACCGAGCGTGTCGTTATATCGAGACCCACGTTTATATCTTCGATCACGTGATTTTTGAGAGGGCTGCTTTTGGTTTAAAAAGGTGTTACTATTACGTCAACGTGCACAGGTCATATCTGTATGGATTTCTTCTTTAAAATTGCCGAGGACTTTGCAAAATACGTTGGCTTCAATTACAAACAAAAAGGAAGGAACTAGGCAATAACTCTGTAAGTTTTGTATCCAACTGGTTTACTATTAGGCATTATTTAATAACTTGGCAATCGAATTTCATTCGCAGAATGATGTTCAGGAAACAGACTTTCCCGATCCCAATACTTGCGATCTTGCTCCGAGTCCTAACTCTTTTGCCGAAAAGGTACCAAATTAGAATTTTGACTTGCGTTTTCTTGCAGACACTGTGCCTTTTTTGATCCATTGTCATGTTCTCGTTCGCCACGTCAAATTACTAGAACAGAAGTTCTCTATAGTTCGAATGACGGTCAAGGCTTCCTAGTCGGCAATGAGATATCAGCCGGCGTTTTAACACAAGCTTTAGACAATCCCCAAATACCATTATCGTCTTCTTCGATCGGTATAGACGAACGCCGCTATCTGACGACAGTCAGCAACCGAGTTTACTCTCAAGGCTTCAACGTTGCAAGGTAAATCGCAAGACTGCTGGCATATTCACACTTTTGAATAATGATAATAATGACAATGTTCCGTTCGATTTGCAGGCGAACAATGATGACAACACCAATGATGACGATGATGATGTCTTTTCAGTAAAAAGCTCCAAGCAGACAATCGAAATTACGAGCCCAGTTCAAATTTCAAGTCACCCGCTCGCCAAACATACAAGAAAAAAGCGAATACGGGCTATAAGACGCGTACCCGAAGATGACAGAAGAACAGAAGTATACGAGATATCGTGCATTTCCCACAACAGTGACAAACTGTTGTATATTAACTTACATCCATAATGTATATTAAGAAGTAATAACTAATAGTTACTATATTAGTTGATGTTTGTGTATATTAATATTGGTGTTTTCATAATAGACTTGATCTCCCAATGACCAAATTAGATAATAGACATAAGCAGGTAACTGCAGACCACGTTTGAGATTAGAAAGATACAGTGTGTAACAAAAAAAATTGGAAAATCCTACATTCCAGAGATTTATAATGTTATTAAGTTCGCCACATTATTATTATAAATTATTTAGCAATTTTGCTGGTATTGTTAGTATTATTGCCTTTCTGGTAATTATAACCTTTTTAAATGTCTCAAAATTGTCATGCAAAATACAGTTACTGTATATTGTTAGCAGCATCTAGTTGCCAAAGTTTTCAATGACAAAGCGTTTCTTATAATATAAATTATTATCATACACTTCTACGCATTCCGACATCCTCTCCTCTGAAATGCTCTATCCCAACAGCATAACGCTTTCCTTCCACTTGCGGTTTACTTCGTCTGTAGACTGACACGTTTGATGCAAATACTTGTTTATCTTCAATGAAATCATATCTGTTATTGAGAAGCCGAGCAATATGAGGTAATCTTTGAGCAATACGTTTAAGTCTTTTATTATATACATAAGGGGATTGAATCAAGTCGTCAATTGCCTGATTATGAATGTCCACTGGAGCTAACGACATGGTTTGAATAAAAAAACTTTTCTAGCACCAGAGAGAGATCATCCTCAACATTTACTGTGTTACATAATAATAATAGTTTTGATATCAGATGCTAGTTCGTGTATTTTCATCGTACTGTAAGAAAAGCTAGCTGTGTCAACTAAATGTCAATTATTTGCAAGAAATGATAATTATTACGGGGAATAACGGAGACAATACTCGATTATTGCTCCCTAATAGTTTAGAAATAATTTATTATAACTTAATTTTTTCATTTATGATTTAAAAATATAATGTCAAATATTTAACACTATTCGATGACGAAACAGAAACTCACATATCCTGGTGACACCGATTGTGATCCATTAACAGACGCACATTTTTTCTACCCCCATAAGTGTCATGGGAATCCAGAGAAATATATCAAATTCCGGGGATATCCGGAGAAATATATCAAATTCTGGGGATTTTTTCCCAGTATCCCCCGCCAGGCTTCCTCTTTCACATCCTTTCCTCGGCGCCCGCTTGGCGGTGTCCAACTTTCTCTGCCCTCGTAAGCAACCGGTTGTGCCGCCGTATTAATTCGTCAGTTTGGCACGTGAAGCCGCAGTTTGTTGAGAGCACCCGCAGTTAAAATAGCGGGTCTTGTCACTCAGATACATGATGTCTGAGCCTTTCCGTGGACCCGAGTAGCCGTGGTCATGATAGGTCGCGTAGTCGAATTTTTTTATTTTCAATCGACTTTTCCAAAACCCCGTCAAAAGTAAGCCGTAGTTGGTCTCGTCCTCGGATGACGCTTTGCTCCTTCCGCCTCCGGGGAGAATATGATGGCGATCTGCGGAAATTACGACGTCTCCCACCGCCCCCGCCACCGCTTGACTTTAATCCATATTTTGTTATCGTAGCCCGGTCGGATGAGCTCAATCTGTAGAGAATCAACCTCCACGTTTTTTGAATAAAAATTTTATCGAGAGGGGTTTTTTCTTGATGTGTATGTGGAAGTTGGCACGAGAACTTTACAGTCTGCATAATAAAGTAGACACTATCCACAAAGATCTAGTAGTGATGTCTTGGTAGATATTACGGAGCTAAAGTGGTTGTGGTCAATCAGACTGATGAGTTTCGAACAAACGGCGCGGATGAAGGGCTATTTTATAATGACCCCCTCTATCAAAAGGCGCTGCCACATGATCACTGTGCAGACAATGTTGGCTACTTCCTTCTTTAGGTTTTAATGTACAATTGAGCTACATGGCAATTCTCATGGCCATAACACCAAACCCAGTGATGACTAAATTATCACGCCAACTATATTCGAACTTGCAAATATATAATTGAAAATGTTACTTTACAAGATGTAAGCGCAGATTATGATAATTGATAAGATCAAATTAAACCTTAATAAAACACATGTTACTCTCGGTTGTGAAAGAATAAACTTAATATACAAACTTTGGAATCTAAATATTCTTACCATAAAGAGCAAGCTTAAAGAAAATTATTTGTTCTAACCGACCTCGTCTTCTCCCTCACTTTGTTATCCCAAAGCACAATGTGTGGGAGCGACTATTACATATGTTTGATATTTGGGGTTTAGTGTCCTAAATAAGGAATACTATATAATCCGTGACTTTTCATCATGTGAGCGAGTGAGTAAACAATAGCTAGTTAGGCAAAAGGAGTGACTCTGGTTATAACGACACTCTCGGAACGAAAAAAATGTCGTTGTATCCAGATGTCACCGCAATATGTATACGAGTAATTCGTCAATTTATCACATATAAATATTTAAGAGTAATTTAAGCCAGCAACAACTTTATTCACGAACAAAAAGCGAACCCAGTTTTGTTGTTTATAATTCTTTGAGAACAAAAGTATAAGTATGGTATCTAAACTTCGAAGAATAGAATCAAATTAATAATTGGTAGATCTTATATTAACGAGTTGCTTATGAAGAAGGAAATACTATGAGGTGATCAAACCTAGAAAAGAAAATATTATGGGCTGTAGGTAAACTCAGATTTTCCTATGATTGTCGGTATATTAGTATATGCAGCAAACAGTATTTGGTTTTCAAAAAGTCGTTATTGAAGAATTGTCGTTTTATTCGGCTGCCGTTATAACCAGAGTCACTGATATATATTTTTTGCATACGTAATATAATGTAGAATGCGATAGTCGAGTAGACATCGCTACATATATATATATATATATACAGTTCCGCCAATTTATTTCTGGCCCTCCAAGTTGAATTCAACGAACAATAATAATTTTCTTACACCGTCAACTATAATAGTATATGCTTTGACATACGTTTCAGGGACGTAGTCGCTTTCAATAGTAATAGCATTAACTCTCTTGCCGTCACCTCTGTGATACCCTCTTCCCCCAACCATTAAGATCTATAATGGGCAAAAGTTCCATGACAACAAACGTGAGATGGGTCGATTGCGGATACGAAACCAAAAAGTCCCTGTATTTTTTATTGATGATCGTTGTGAAAACACGAACATTAAGAGTTTCTCCGTGAATAAGTGTAGGCTTGTAGCTTCGTAGTTCATCCACATTAGATGTCCGTGCATTGGTGACTACGTATAATTGTATGGTGATTTGCACACGAATGCTGGGAATAAATGAATGCAAGTTGGTGAAAGGATAATAATAAGTAAGACATAACCACTCTCATAAACATACACACAAATTTCGTAAAAAGGGCTGAAAGCTCCCGTCCTATCATCAGACTATGGGTGACTTTAAGAATTATGATGGAGGCTCAGGCTTCATCAAAAGACCTCTTCTTATTGTTCTTGTATGATTCTACCATAACATCATCAAACGCATACACTGCATCACTCAAGTTGTAAGTTTTTTTCCGCTCCAACCAGTATCTTCAACACCACTATTATTTTTACATTCCTTTTCTTCTTGCGCAGTTTCCCACCGGCCATAATTAACTGCTATAGTATGAAAATTCAAGCTTTGCTATGCTGTTGTTCCAACAGATCCTTTCGGAACTCACTATCTTGTACCAGTGTCTCATTATCAAAATGATTATAATTTTTTTTATTCTCTTTAGATATATTGGTTGTTTAGCCCCTACGTTGAAATATGGCCGAAGGTAACAATAAGACTCTTATTGTATAGATGCTGTCTTGTCGAACAAAAACCAACGTCAATACTAGATATTTCTCTAAATTTTAAGATTAGACTATTAACTTACATTATTGTATGAGCCTTTAAATTTCGCTGCTTTAAATCGGGATACTTGCGCGCGCGTATACACGCAAACCGCTATATAATATTATAATATAAATATGTTAGTAAATCTCATAATCTCACAAGTAACTTTATCGATACATTAAGTAAATACTGTACCTTCCATAGACAGCCCAACGTTTAAATTGAGTTGTCTGTGCACTCACATTTTCTATTAATCGATACGATGAGGATTATTTGATGTTTTTATGTAAACAAAAACTGAGTGGCTGTCGAGTGCTTACCTTGTGGAAATAGACATTATAGACATGGTGACGGCTTGACTCTTTGGCCATTGCAGAAAGAGAATCACTGACTGTGTGTGTCATATTCCGACAGACACGTGTTGCTACTGAATTTTTTATTGACCTTTCCTTAAATGTAACCATTCAGAATGGGATCGTATACAGCAGCCAATGATATTACTCATGCCGCGGGAGCATTACAAACCTTAAATGTTTGAATGGCATTACAAACCCCAAAGTCAAACACCAAAGATCAGGTCTCCCATTATTGTAATAAACATTATTATACCCTACTCGAAAGGACTCTATAATTGTATAACCAATATGTATTAGGAACGAAACGATTAAATCGAGTCTTGCATCAATATGTGTTAAATAGCTCGCTGCTGTTTGATGATATCGAACTGTCCATCATCGTCTATAATGCAGTAATGTCGTAACACAAGCCGAGTAGACTGCCCATGTGCATTTTCCCAATCCGACTGCTTTCTGGAGACCCTTGTTCGATATTTACGAGGCCGTATATCTCCACGACCGGCAAGTGTCGACATACTTCGATGCTCGAAAGCTTTCTGATCATTTTCTTTTCTAGATAATAGTAAGATCGTACTGTGCCATAAGATGGTCATTGGCAGCTGCCTTTTGATAATATTACGCAGTTTTTTTCCGAAAAACCCCATTGTAGTGTGTGTAGTACAATAGTATACGGTGTATATGTGTTGCAAATTTACGGGTGGGTGCTTTGTAGTAGGAAGCTGCGCACTTAATTGTAATTGCGTCATTATTATATATCAAACATAAATTTGATAATTAGCGTTATTAATATGAACCTTGGATCGAGAACTATGCGACGTTCAAGTGACCCAGGTACTTCCCTAAAGCGTTCGGTAGAAGCGCCCCGATGAAGGCAAGACCAATGAAATGATAATAATCTATCTTGTGTATACATTTATTTTAGATCAAAAAAGTCGTAATGCTCGAACTCACAATGACCTGTCATGTCACATATTGTTTGTTGTCGGTAAATATAGCAAATGCTTGTAGCACGATTATCCATATTTGATAAGATAAGTATGACGAAGCCTTTGCATCAAATCTGCTGACAAGGCCTTGCATCAATCTGCTTGCATAAAATCTGCTGACGTGGCGTTAAACGTAAGTCTTGTTTGTTGCGTAACCAATTTTAAGGAATGCGAGAAAAAGGTCAATCGTTTTGTTATTGCGCGAGAACAAAGAAAAATGTACATATCTGCTTTATTCCATTTATTGAGATTCAATAGTTATTATTTATATTACACGCCAGTATGAACTATAATATCTAATCGGAAAGTCTTAAATTACAATAACATAAAGTATATTACGTACGCCCTTAAAAATGGTGTTTACCATTTTATTGTGCATCAACTATTTTAAACAACTTAGGCTTTAGTACATATATTGTATATATGAACATATGGTGTATATATTATGGTATTTGACTGATTGATAAACCTGTTCGCTTAGCCAAGCCTCGTTCCATGTGATAGATTGATAAGCACATTGACTTGTAGTGAAGAAGACAAAGACATTCATACCATTTTAACGATGGCTGAGGCGGAAAATTGTTTGCCGGTATTGTATACTGTATAAAACGTAAATGGTTAAACTCTAGCAGATGACATAAGCGCTTGCTAAGCCCTCGGCATTGTCGATGGGTGATCGAATATTGTTTTGTTGGGGGGACCATGCTAAATTGTGTGATAAGCACTCGATCGTAACCAATAGACTTGAGAAGATTGGCTAATCATGTAGTGTATCCCTTTAAAATATACTTCTAATAGAAACAATGAAACATCCGCAGCGTGAATTATATTGCATTATACGTTGAACAAGTTAAGTTCTTTTTAAAAAAAAAGGGTACTGTATAACAACTTTGCTAATAGTCTCCAGGAACATTTAATGGAATCCCCATCTCCTTACACAAACAACTACGCTATTGAACCTACCTTTCTTGGAATTTAATTGACCTAAGCAAAAGGCCAACCCGCCCGTCTTTGTTCTATCTCTAAAAACACGGTGTTATGAACTGTAAATCACCAAAAAAGTTTTCCTCACATAAAGTTACAAGATGTTTTATTATCATGGTTGCTTTTCGTTATATGAATATCCTAATTTAGGCTGAATGCCATCTTTTGAATAAAAATTTTCTAAAATATGTAAATTAAGTACCACAAATATTGCGCCTGCGTCGTCTTAAACGGGAATGTCATAGAAAATGAACAGACAATGTTTATTATTATCAGCGTCTGTAATCATTAACTGGTCAATTAATCTGAAATGTTGAATACATGCTATTGCTAACTTACGTAAATAAAATAAATTTAATTACCAGACATTTTTTTAGAGTATACTCAGTAGAAAAAACTCATTGCACAAATTGGGCATCACGGGATCCAAAATTTATATTTAAGTTCGTATGTGCACACGACTTTTTTGCTCCAGTCTGACCGGCTAAAAAAATAACAACAACCAATATATCATACACATTACTCTCCCACATTACTCTCCCAAATTACTCTCCCACATTACCCCCACATTACTTCCACATTACTCCCACATTACTCCCACATTGCCACTCCCACTCTTCAAAAATGAGTTTCGAATCCGTTAACTCAACTGATAATGAGTAAGTTATTTCGATCCTAAGTGCAAGGGAATTCTACTGTTGATAAAGATAATTAATATAAAAACTGTTGACCATGAAAGAGGAGATCGTAGATTATATGCTTTACGGTGCTATCAATTGTTATTAGCAGTTACTAGAGTTCTTGCTAGTTAACCATAAAATCCATATATTGCGCCACTCATCTTTGTCCATAGATACGTCGAAGCCTCCATTGTCCGTGTAACCTTAACCAATTTTATGCGATTCGAATCCACTGAGTTCCGGCCAGAGCCCAGCCTATGTATGCTGATTGACCAGAGCCACGGAGAAAGAACCGCGTTGTATAGTGCGATAGTCCTTGGACTGGGTGGTGATAATTCGGTTAGTTTAGGCATTTCCTATGTAAGACGATACCAATACAAAATATTAAACTGTATTTACAGTTATATAGCACACAGGAGATCTCATATTACGTAAAATGTGGGTCGGCTCAAGCAGAAATCGAGATAGAAGTACAGGCGGCGGCGGAGAATTTGACAATCAGAAGAAGAATCGATAGAGCCGCCAATATCTCGTTGTGGGCTATTAATGGTATGAATTCCTGATAGTAATAGCTGTGTTTGTTTTTATGTTTCGACCAATCGATAAACCTCTGATGTTACATCTCTTAAATATAGGCGAGCCAGCAACCAGGGGGGAAATTATGTCTCGAGCAGGTGTACTCAACATTCAGGAGGGCAACCTATAGTAAGTGTTTATCGTTTATCATATTAAGTATACGTAAACCACGTGATGTCTAATCATAAATATTTGTTTTAGTCAATTCTTGTCGCAAGAGAGGGTTAGGGAGTTTATGGAGCGAGTATGTTAAGAAGCAATACACTTTTTGTGACTGCAATTATTCCCACAAACGTGCTCTCACCACCGAAATAATTAATTGATTTAGAGTGCGGAGGAGGATGACACAGAAGAAAGTGAAGAGGAGGAGGAGTTGCTGCTTCGGGGATGCCAATCTACTACGCCAGAAATTGGACTTGTTGCAAACGAAGAAGAAGAGCAGGCTGCATCATTAAACGATAATGGCATTGAAGAAGAACAAGGCCGTGCAACAACGACGTAAGTAAATTACATGCCAATACGCTGTGGTATTCTGTAGCAAACTAAACATAAGACAATATGTGCATCAATTAGCGCCGCCGCTATCGATGAAGCTGCTCAGACTAAAAGTAACAGTCACCGTGGAATACAGCAACCACCGCCGGGATATAATACGGGCATTCAAAATCAAATTGTATGTCTTTATTATTATTATTATTATTATTATCATCATTATTATTATCATTATTATTATCATTATTATTATCATTATTTATTTATTTCGCAAAGGGATATTAATATCGGTTTTGGAACTAATTAACATGAAATCTGTAGAATGTAATAAATGATGAGTTACGACAAATCAATAACGCTCTAAACAAAGAGTAAGCCGAACAAGAGGCGTGAGTAAGTTGAGTTCGGAGAGACGAGACGTACCTTCTGATTATAATTATAGAAGATGAGAAGTTAATCGTAATTCGATATGATTTTATTTATTCATATATATATCAAGGCTCCAGTCTCTCGCTGTTTAGTATTGATAGCAAATTCTGTAACAATGTCATCTTCAGACAGAATGTCGATATTGTTAGCCTAAACCTTCACTGCTGTAATAGCTTAAATAGAAATGTAATTTTTGTAATCGGAATTTCCAAGAACACTGTGGGATTCTGTAACAAACCAAACATAAGACAATATGTGCATCAATTAGCGCCGATATCTCTCAGTCCCAAAGTGATAGTCAAGATGCCTTGAAAGAGCTTGTTTTAGCATGTAGTCGGATATTGTATAAAGATAATGTAAATGACTATTACCAGCGCGTTCCATGACTACTGATTAACTACCACGGGAGAGCGAATCAACTACGAGATTTAGCTATCGGCCCAACGCTTTATCATTAACACTATATGCCTGACATGTTGGTGCTCTAGGATCAATATCTCCATTATGACAGCGCTACAGTTCGTCGTGTTTACAACGGTACAATAGTCGCAAGAAGTTCTAATCCCGTGACTGTAATATCCGTCTACAAAAAAAAATTCATTTATACACAGAACGCTCTATTTGTCGAAAGTATACCTGAGAATTAATAGCTCAAAACAGAAATATTCAAGAATCATAATGCCAGCGGAAAAGCCTTTGATGAGGGTAATGCCATCGTAGTAGAAGTCATCCCCAGTTGATGTTACACGCCTGTTTGATGAAATACTATATGCTGATCTGTATAACACGTGATAATTATTTATATTGGATCTTGCATCAACTGTAGGTCAGTACATGGTCGGTGCTCTATAAGCCGAAGGATATTCGTCCTAACGGGGTTTTCGGCTTAACGGTTAACGGGGTTGACCTTGTAATATTGAACGTATTCGACGCACTTGGCTGGACTGGAGTGGTTAGAAGTCTGAAAGAAAGTGGTGCTTCAATATCCAGTAAGAACTCATGAAAAAGTGAATTTGAAATGTTAACTTCTCAAGATTGTAATATTTGATTATCTGGGCGACTCAAAGGGTTCATCGAATAATTGCGGATACAGGCACAATAATGTCTATTAACCCCGCGCCCACCGAGTTGGCAATACAAGCGACGGAATTACAACGTATGCCCGTTGCGTTGCCAAGCCTACGTTTGCAATCAGGGTGCTTCGATATCCGGTGAGAAAATGAGTTTGAAAATGTTAACTGCTCAAGATTGTAATATTTGAGTGACTCAAAAAGTTCATCGAATAGTTGATACAGGTACAATAATGTCTATGTACCCCGCGCCCACGAGTTGGCAATACAAGGAACGGAATTACAATGTATGCCCGTTGCCACAATATAGGGTGCTTCAATATTCGGTAAGAACTCATTTTGAAATGTTAGCTGCTCAAGATTGTAATATTTGATTATCTGGGTGACTCAAAAGGTTCATCGAATAGTTAATACAGGTACAATAATGTCTATGTACCCCGCGCCCACGAGTTGGCAATACAAGGAACGCGAATTACAGTGTATGCCCGTTGCCACAATATACAGGGTGCTTCAATATCCGGTCATTTTTAATATGGGTTCTATTCTGCATGTGGAATACTCAGATGTATCCCTGTATCGGACATAAATTCTTCCGATGAACTATGGTTTGAACAACCACAATTCACCCACCATTCATTATGGAGTAGGGTTCAGTCAGAGAGAGGACAGCCAACCAAGCACAGAACTTTATACCCATATGGATTTCTTCAAAACGGCTTTGCAATCTCAAGAATTAATATGGAAGATGGACATTAACCTTAGACCCAGCGAACGGATGTTACGATATATCCAAACACGAATAGTGTCCAACAACCTTCCGTTCCATATCCTGATCCGAAGTATACGGATCTCCGCTAATACTAAGAGATATTAATGAAAACAGGAACAAAAAAAAGTAGTAAAAGTTCTCTTATTGGTGCGATTCCACCAACGACCTGTTATTTTATGGGATACCATCCTAACATAGGAATAACGTCTCTTGTTAGTAGCTAGATCTAGAAAGCGCATTATTTTTATTTGTTAAATTGCAGCCTACTAAGCAATGATTATATGAAATAAATAAAATATATCAATACCAATTATACGACAAGCAGTGAATATGCATTACTTTGATCTACCATGTGACTAGAAATTAGAAAAACGTGATTCTCACCGAAAGAAACGGATCTTTAAATAGACGAGACGCGGAGAAAAGTATCGCAAGATGCAGGTAGGGAAAGGGTGGATGGAACATAATGATAGTGAAGTTATGAAAGACAACAGTAATAGTGCCACATAGTGTTCGAATCGGTGGTGATGCATTGAGAGTGCTTATATGATCTATCAGATGTTCTCGGGACAATCAGCAATATTTGTGACATTTCCTCAGAGGAAAAAAGAAATCCTTACATTCAATACTGTATGTATTGTTATTCAATCAATCCATTCTGTCATTGCCGGCTGTAGCAATTCATAACGTTAGCTATGTTCATGGGCTTCTATATTCTGACGTAGAGGTACGGTTTAGCTTTATTATTATTTCGGTTGACTACGTAGAGATGACTATGATAATGTTCGCTCATGATTTTTGCTTTGTTAAGCAGCGATATATTTGTCGAATGACCATTCTTCCGTCAGATTCACGTACGATGTTGAAGGAGATGAATCTTAGCGGTCAACCCACGGGTATGGAATATCACTGGATATGAAAGTTTATGCGTTTCGATTCGATTTCATGACGATAACGCAGCCCCGACTGTTGGAGCAGTACGGTGTTACATATCGCGATCCTTAAGGTAATAATATCTTAAGACTATCTGATGACGGAGCTGGTGTGCTACATGTCGCGATCCTTGACAGAGTTGCTCAGCGTTGGAGGGGATAAGATCAATTATACATCTGAATTGACATTTCCTTCTGCATGCATTTTCACCGCAAGACACTCATATACACGACATACCAGCGTTTGGCATACCACAACCACATAGCATTGGCATGAGACATTGGTCATAAAAATGATAACTACGAGACAACGTATGCGGCTCCTCTTCCGTCGATCATATTCTTCATCTACTCGCGTAAGTATCACTGGGTTTGCCTAATAGGAATAAATTAAACAAGATGTTGTAATGAGACGAACAGACCAGATGATACATAATATGCACTTGACTAACTTGTATCCTTACATCCGTCATATACAGATCGGGAATAGACTATTTCAGAAACCAAACGCTTCACGTACATAACAAAGAGATACACGAACAGCAACGTTTGATTTATCGGTTTAGGCTTGACCTATCTACCTTTGCACCCTGAGGGACCATATTATCGATAACAGGGGGACTTGAAAGTCGAGGAAAGACAAGTATGTGTCTGTCTGGATGTAAACCGTAGAAATTGAATAGAGCATTTTGCTGATCCATAACATCTAATATCACAGGGCCACGTACAAAGCCAAATGAATGGGTATATTAAAATAGATACAACAATGAAAAATACTTGAGTAGACAAAACAAGGTATGGATTACAACGTACTTATTCGTTCATCCATTCATATACCATAGCTAGATCGGCGGTTAACACCAAGCGTCTTCTAGCCAGTTATCGTCTCCTTTATTCTTCGATTATCCACTACCATGTGCTGTAAAGATCCAAACGGTCCATACTGCCAAGATCCAACGGTCCGTGCTGTAAAGATCCAAACGGTCCATGTTGTAAAGACCCAAACGGTCCATCCGATCCATGCTATTGGTAACATGTCATCGGTAAAGCGCCGCGTATTGGAAACCGATGTAGTTGTTATGGTTGCTCGTCGTCTGATATAACGAGAGAAGCGAACAGTTGATCATGTACGTCCTCATCCTGTTGACAAGACACGTATCCAATTGTCATACTAACAGTGATCTTTACTTTATTCCGACTAGAAGGCTCGATTCCCAGACATAAGTTTGTATCGGCAAAAATTCAGATAGTTATGGTCCGGTAGTAAGCATATTGAAATTAAGTTTAAGAGTAGCAAATCAAGCAAGGAAATGGCGCTTTGATAAAGGGATTGATTCATTTCTCGACGAAACGATCACTTTCTTGCGGAATCATGCTACGGTTATTGTTATACAAAAAGAGTCCAATTCAAGTCTGGATAAGATCTTCGCTATTAATTAAATAGGTAATCCGAATAGCCCTCTTTCTACGGTCAACTGGATCGGTACAAACAAGTTGATGAAATTAGAGTGTTTGTGGTATTGCGGGTTATCTGATACTATCCATCACGTGAGATTAGTGCATCGTGATCTTCTACTTCATGACGGAATGAATCATTCGTATTCTGTCTCGATCAGCGAATTCACGTACCCTTTGTTGCACCGGAAGTTGACTGCGCCTGTCGGGCGGGCTTGGCATTACAAACCACAGTATTATTATTATTTATCGTATGTTTATTATCATGTTTATTATGATAAAAATTTACCGAAAGGTAATGTAATCGTATTAAAATAGGGCAGTGTATATTGTATGATTTATTATTTATTATATTATTTTATCGATTAACATCCGCCTTAAAATTGACTAATACGCGAGTGGATTGAAAACTGACAAATCTTTAGCTATTTGTTGTAAGTGTTAATATTCTTTAGTTACTTCAGGATCAGCTCTGTGTAAGCTCATAATTTGGGCATGCTCCCATTTAGGACATTTACTTAAGGCTTGTATTTGTCCTGCTGAGAATAAATTTTGGTCAAGTGCTAAGGAGACGCAAGGTCGCGTGTCTTGTGAACTGTTAAAGTAAGTAAATGAAAATTACGTTCTTGGAGGCCATTGTAGAAGTACGCCGTTTGTCTAGATAGCGCGTAGCTGATAATATATGCTGTGCTGTATATGTAAAAATAAAATATTTGGTATAGTAACCGCGTACAGACAACAATTTAGCAATAATATGCTTGCTTCGTACAAATGTAGACGAGGTTGCTAAAATAAGTTAAGGAATTTTTGTGCCGAAAATATTAACAATTGTTTGCAGAACAAATCAATAGATTTTTCTATTCAATAACATATAAAATATTCGACTTACGTAATTTTTATGATAATATAATAGGGCAACTACAGGTAAAGTGGATGAACTTTTGGCATCTTATCTCACCCTAGTGACATAAGTTTGTTGCTAGAAAAGGAATAACCAAACTTAATTGATAATAATATTATTATAACAACTTCGAGTTAATGTAAGTGTCTATTTCGGTAATATTTTACTTTCTGAAAATTAATTGGTGAGAAATGTTTTTGCAAATGTCACTAATTTTGCTTCTTTGTTTCAAGTGTGCGCAAGAAGATGGTGCTTGCACGAATGATAGTACGGGAAAAGGGTATTCCGAAATTATAAGACTCATTCCGAACCAATAGATAAACAAAAATTCTTGGCAGCAAACAGGTTTATTATATTCTTGTATAAATTAAGTTATGTTGGGGTTACTTGGCCAAATTGGAAACAAACGTATGCCAGATAACGCGTATGTATGTCTAATCCATTATCCCTGTTCAGAGGCAATACACATGGTCTGCTGACTTTATGAATGATAAACACATGTTTGTAACTAATACCGCACCTTTGTTATTGCACAATACAAAGAAGAATAGTTTAACAGTTATATTTAATGTGAGCTTCACTTGATAATGATAAATTAGTTTACCAAATCTCAAAAGAACATTTTTATTTATGTTGAGTTGATTACATAATCCATGCATAACAATTCGTACGTTTTTGGGGGGTTTTTTTTTGCTGTAAAAAAAAAAGGAAAACAAAAAGTCAAAGCCGAAAATCTAAAAATAGTACTTACAATAAGTCATCCAATTGCGTATTAGAACTTTACTGATTTATGGATAGTGAAATACATTTTTGTGCATATTGAACCATCAGAAAACGGAGTAAGTATGAGAATGTGAAAATTTGACCGAGCAATGATAACAACAAGCTGACAATAACGTAATCAATGGCTTACGCAAGTTTACCTAATAATTGACAAATAAACGGTGTCTATTTGATAATATGAACTATATCTACATTTCATACATTTTCATGAGTATCTATGTAATTGAATGTATTATCTATTGCATCTTGGCAATTGTTATCTGTACCCCAACATGTCAACAATGCTCGAGAAGTCTTAAAATTTCTATATGTATATGTGAATGACGTATATATTCCCACAATCATCTCATCGTACGTCCATAGAACGAGAATAAATACTCGATTCCGAAATTAAATAATAACGTAAAGTTAATCGATCACTTCTTAGAATTTGACCCATCGCGGACAAACGGTCGATGAACATTATAATTCTAGTGTCTAACGATTAAACCCATGTTGCCTTGGCATTAGTTGGGACGCCTTCACTATAAAAAAGCAATGTCCTTCTGAATCATACAGGTTTATACCACAGTACAAGTATGCATGTTGTGCTGAGTTTGGGACCTGAACTCAGTTGTCTCGGTCCAGAACTGAAACAAGTCCCCAACTGAGGTACAACATGCACAATTCTTTTGATCACATGTATTATATCCTGCATAACAATAAAATAAATATATGATCGGTACATAACAAGCTTTTCATGTAACCTGCTACAATTGTTGAAAGTTGATGATGTTCAATTACTTGCACAATTTCTCAAATGGGTTAAATGGCCGTCTGGGTATATACGTTGAATGTTATTTTTGATATATGTGAGTTATAACTATATAACGTTTGTGAGATATACGCCCGCCGAACTGTATTAATATACTATTACTTATATCCGTTATCGCTTAATGAAAAAGTCATTAATTCAATGATATGTACAAACAATTGCTACGTACTGATTATATTAAATATCCTGATTAGTATAGATGTGATTATGCCAAAAAAAGAGTTGATCAAGACTTGTCTATCCAATTTAAGCGTTTGATTATTTAGTATAACTGCGATATAAACATACAGTACATTACAATCGAGTCAACGAACAATAGCTACAATATCTTTATAGTTTGCTCAGCCACCCTGCAAGGTGGTGTGTATGGGAGGCAATATGACGCAATCAAAGCAAACCATAACGTGACTTTACAACTAGTCATTGGTAACACCAAAGTATCTGCAATATAAATCTGACTATCAGACCAACAATCTGCTTTACAAAACCCTTCACAAAAGCTATATAGCAACAAGATTTTATGATCATAGATAACAACCAAGACATTTATTCTCTCTTAAAATGAATATTTACACAATCGCTCGTCCCGCCTACACTGATTTTGGCCATTCTTTTAATATGCCATTACATCGGTTACCTTTATTTTTTGGTTAGTATCCACAGGGTATTTGATACGATAGATAAGGTTGATGGGTGTTAGCGTGTGAAAATCTTCAAGCATGATTAACATTGATGGGAGTGCCAAACAGAATTCTCAAACCAGTTTATTAATCCCTTTTATTTACCCGCCTCGATTTAGATAAAAAGGAATCCCGTTGGATCGGGAAACGGGCGATTTATCAATGACAGAAGCCAGACGGAACACCAAATAAGTCAGGTGAAAAAATTAGCAGAAGTCAGGTAGAAAACCAAATAATACGTGCTTTCATCTGCCCAGTCATTTAATACGTCTGTCATATTTCTTATTCATTGTTATTATCCCGCATTCAGAATGCTACTATCGATCACATAAAATCAAAATATTCCCTACTTCGACACACTCTTTCTCAGACAGACACTTTATTAATTAGAATTCGACGTTCTTAAAACATGACACGCGAACTACTAATAGAAGATCACAAAAACGTTTGGCTGCCCGGTAATTATTGTCATATTTCTTATTATCCCATCAGTGATGTCTTGCCAAACTCATTAAGAATGCTACTATCGATAGATCAAGAACAGCTTATCGGGATAACAGACCAAAATAAGAAATCACTAGAAGAAATTAGATCACCTGAAACAAAATCTTCAAATCATCACCGAACAGGTAAATATAACCTCATATATTTTTCTTTTCAGAAACACGAAAATTTTTTTTAACAAGCTAACTGTTGCAGGGTTGTGAAAGGGAACAATACGTCACGCTGTGGAGGGAGGAATATTATTCTAGCATCATCTATGAATTAGTAAATTTATTGCACATTTTCTTTCTTAACCGACGAGTGGAGCAAACTCCCTCAAAACAATGTAAGCATGATATTGTAAAACGAATATTGGAATTGCAAATATGGATTAAAGATAAAGTTAAGACATAATAATATTTCACATGACTTTATATTCCACCTCCGATTGACTTTAATTATTGTCGCCACAAATAATTTAGTGTAGTCCCTCAGTCGTTCTGTAGTCCATGAAAATTTATATTTGTATTAAATTACTGTCCTAATAAAGTGAAATTCGTTGTTATAAATCTTACTATAACTGCAAACTCTTGTTTATTATGAACAATGGCAGCCTTGTCTTTTGGTTGACCCCAGAATGGGTCCTAACATTAATATCATCCGGCATCATGTTACACACAATAAGCAAACCATAACGTGACTTTACAGGGATTTATAAAACTAGTTCAACCCCCAGCCAACAACTGTTTGCACTATCCTCCCCGACGATCGATGTTTTTTTTTTTAATTTGCAAACCACTACAGTTTACAACGGAACAAGGAAATTATAGTGTCTATTGTTATTAAGTAACATTATATGATGTTATTACAGGACACAGAACACAGCTCTGTTAGGCTATTCTCACAACAGAGACTATTTATGTGTATTTAAAACTTTTTGTAAGTCAAAAATAGGTTCATTGATATATTCTCTTGTGGAGTATTATCTAAATCTTTAATCTATTGTTCACCGTTAGGTAAATTAACGTGTTAAACAAATGTAAGTCAAAAATAAGTTTCATTCTCTTGTAGATAATTATCGAAACCTTTAATCTATTGTTCATCATCAGATACTAGCGCACGTTGGGCAGAAGGAAGTAAGATTGGTAAATATATTTCACACACTCTCGTATCATTTCTTTCAGAAATCTGGAATCGTGAAATTCTTTTGATTACAGGCAGGCATGGCACACTAGCCTCGAAACGAGCCTCACAACAAGAAATTACGCCTCTTTTGCTCCGTTCAGAAGAGGCCTCACGAGCTGCTTTTGATCACGTTGATCACGCGTAGGAAATATAGCGCCCCTTTACTACTGCCTCATGGGGCCGTGTTACCGCTTATACGCACGAAACTCCACCTAACCCCTCTCAAAATAAATCGGAGAAGTTAAAGTATCTTGTCGCGCTATCCGAAGCTAGCGAAAGGTGGAATAACGGGCTCTCTATCTCAAAAGTTTACCGATGGCCGTTTTACCAAAATAATGCTGTTTAATGTCAACTTGTTGTTTGTACTGAAACATACAAATAAAAGATCCAATGTAATTATGGTGTGGTGACGCTAGAGATTGATGTCGCACATTACGTAAAAAATTGCCTTACTTATAGTATCAACGCCCATCCAATAAGCTATTCCATCGTGGGACTCAGTGTTCAAGCCTCGTTCTTCTAATCGTTCAGTAAACAGCATATCCAATTGCATTATCGTTTTTTCCGTCGGCGACTGCAACGACTACGACTACAAATATACGTACGAGACATATAAATGTACTAACCAACCGATGGGCCTCGATACGAATCGAATAAAAGCATTGTTTAGTGCATTATAGCCCCTCAAGGCACCGATCTCTTAATGATAGTGATAAGTGTCTAATAGGACTGAGGAAGAAGATAACAGGGTATCGGGATATAATGCTAGTAATTTTGTGGAAGACGAGACTAAATACGACCTTTTGGGCTGTGGGAGTGCTGCAGATTGACGGAATATTGGAGGTAGGAATGGTGTTCGAACTGGGGGTATTATGATGCATATGAGGAAATCAACTCGCTGGTGAATGCGATACTTTGCGTATATTCGGCGTTCTATGGTCTTAAATATATCACCACTGACAGTGTCAATCGTTATTGAAAAACTTTAGATCGGGAATTTTAGGAAGAGCAAACGGTATTCAAAACATAATATTGATTGAACGATATATTATGCCTTCAGCTGTGCCTTGTCGTCTGATTTGTATTTCAATGATCGCCCCAGCCGATGCTTTGATATTCTGACGTGAGATAAAACGTCTGATGATGCTTATGAGATTCCTCGGCGAGAAGAGAAAATCTCCATATTTAATAGTATGTATTTCCTGCGTTGTTATTCAATCAATACATTCCCATTATTATAATTCAAGGTCTAGCCGACATTCTAATCGCCTCAGCCTCTCGTTTCTGATCTCTTCTGACACGCTTCTGTCAACTGCCTTCTTTCCACAACCCCGCAATCCAACCACGCCAAGTCAACCCGACTGGCTTTCAAACACATAGCACGAAACTCCACGCCGACATTGTTGAATATAAACACATGTATAATAGTACTTCCTTATAATCTGGTCCACGACTTCAAATTCTTCATCCTCTTACAATCAATACTGAAGACGATGGGAGGGAGGTTGATTCGTAAAGGGCTGCGGGGGGTTAGTACTGGTACCAGGCCAATATGGCGACTTGCGTTATGTCATGATCTGCCGAGGGGTAGTGAGGATGGATTAAAGCTCTAATGTTAACTATGTTCACGAGCTTCTATTGAGGTACGAATTAATTGAATTGGCGGAGATCTTTTCGGTGGGCTATGATTGGGGATGTTTGTGGATTGTGATTAGAGTCTTATGAGCGCAAACCAAATTTACATAATTAAGTTCACTCACGATTTTTGCCTTTGCAGGATACACGTGGAATGGTCACTCTTCCATCAGAACTAATGTACGATCTTGAGTGGCCAGTGAACGAATGATAAATCTTGGGAGATTAGTTCAGGGTATAGAATATCATCCGAATATGCAAGTTTAATTCATTGTTAAGTACACCACCCGAAGTTACATTATTTTTCTGTAGATGATTTCACCCAAGACCGAAGTTGTCTCATTTCGCTCGTTACTTGGAGACAGTCAACAGGTTAGTCGAACAACTTACGGTCTTAAAATACAACATTTGATAAACGTATGGCTCAAAGATTACCTCATATTGCTCGGTTTCTCAATAACAGATATGAATTCATTGAAGATAAACAAGTATTTGCATCAAACGTGTCAGTCTACAGACGAAGTAAACCGCAAGTGGAAGGAAAGCATTATGCTGTTGGGATAGAGAATTTCAGAGGAGAGGATGTCGGAATGCGTAGAAGTGTATGATAATAATTTATATTATAAGAAACGCCCATGTTTGTCACGTTTCTAATTACATATCCCATTTTCTTATTAGATTTAAATAATTGAGGTAGTCCCTGAACCCGACAATCGACAAACAAATCATAATTTCAATTGTTGTGTCGTAAAGATGCCAAAGTATCTGTCTCTGCTTCAGCAATGTAAATGGATCTTGTCGACTTGCGTTGGACCAAAGGTACACCATACAAATTATTTGAAACACATATTCTTAAGCCATTTGTCTAAATTGCCGTTGTGTTTTGTAGATTGTTTGTTCGGCGTTTGAGGACGACGATTAATTAATGTCGTATTCAAACACTCAACAGTGTTTCTCCCGTAAAAGACTTTGTTTGTTACGAGCTATATACAATAGCGTGTCGTTCTTAGAATTTCAAGTAAGTAGATTGCTAACCCCGAGTGCTGAACATAATATTTTTGACTAAATAATCTGATATTTTAGGAAGAACCAGCAAGACTACCACAAACTCTCAGAAATTCGTATTAGATGATGACATTTACTTTGTCGTTGCGGACAATGACAAAAACATCCATTTATTCCAATACGCATCATTTGCAAAGCTTTCAACTGATTGTTGCTCCAAATAACCAAGGGATGGTCGAAATCCCATCATAACAGCTGTTGGGTACAGGGGACGGCTAATGAGACGTTGATATCATTAAAATGGTAATTGGTATTTGTTAATAAGTTTGTTAAACATCGCATATTATTATTATGCGATGTCACACATACAGGATGCATACGTGATATTTTTTACCTCTCTGGCTTATAACAACTAGGACCTGGAGGATTTCTTTGGTCCGTGAGCACTTAATCGGGTCTGGGGCCAATTTACGCATAGAATAATTATATAAGAATATTCAACAGCAGATTCTTGGTAAACATCACTTCTATACTTTTATTTTCTACCTTTGGGTCTTTACCATATCATTCTTTGCAAGTGTAATTCGATGAATCAGACATATTACATACTTCTTATGACATTACGCATAATGCTTTATTTATTAGCGTATGAAATATAGTCGCAAGCATGGACCATCCAGGCAAGTGACTGAACGCCGATGATTATGTTTTGTAAAACATATTTCTGTTTCATTGTTGACAGTGCACCTATTTTATTATTATACGTGCATATTGATGACGCCAACGTTCTATAGATTGTCGGAATTAGCTAGATTCTAGTAGATCAATATTTTACATAGCCTTTTTGTCCTCTTGCACGTTCTTCCTAGTTGTACATGACATGCAGTTGCGGACTACAGGCTATAATACTGGTTGTCAGTTTTTTAATTAATACTGTAGCGGATGGATTACGCATCAGCAAATTATGCATAAATTTAGCGCACTCAAAGTTGAGTGATCGTCAGGGTAATCAGCACTAACTCGCAATGATGATGTTATTATGCATCGTATGTTGTCGTATGTTGTCAAGTGTCATGAAAAATAACGCGGGTTGCTTCATCATTATATGCATTGTGTATTGAATATCCAACAGATTCTGATACAAAAGGCCAGTAAGAGGAAAATAAGAGGCAACAATATACCCCATTCTGAATATATAAAGAGCGAAGGTGGAAACTTTTGGCTAAATATTTAGCGAGATAATTAGAAATGGGTTTATAACCAGGCATGTGTTCAACTGGAAATGTATAGATTACGTGTACGTCAACGGAAACCTCATGGAATAAGACTACTTACATGACACTCTTCTGAAACATACTTTGTAATCCAAAATTTATGTCATGTCCGTTAATTGTCGCTATTACAGAAAAGCCCTGCCATGACCAGGAGTAACACTAAAAATTACTATCGTTATAATTTTTTAACTTACTCTTCAGAATTTGCAGACTGTTTACATCCAAAACTTAACCAGAGGATAGCCTTGACTTTGGCTAAACGTGATTTTGCTCACAAGTCCGCATCAATTAAGGCGTATCCAATTCTTGAACGCGACTTTTTCATACCAAGATATAAACCCACACTTGTCTTCTGTGTGCTAAACTATTAATTAAATAAATAATTGCGTTTCACAGCCTTAGGAAATACTACTTTAATAGATAGTCTTTATAACCCTTCAAGGTAAGGTAATCTTTGGCTAGTAACAAGTCAATATTCTTTCCTCCCCAGTCCGGTCTGATACTCCAACGTCCGCTTAATCATAGCTGGATGTTACTTTAACTTCCGTAAGCTGGCTTATCCAGCTTATTTCAGCCTCCTAAGCAATAGACACTTTCGTGCAAGAATAGAATTATTGGAAGAAGATAATTCCTCCAAGTCAAAGATATATTAATTATAAAAGAGCGATTAATTTCGACGCGTCTTTCTTATATCGTGATCGAATAATTGTAGACAATATACACAGAAAACCTCGATATAGCGGAGGCTACGGTTCCGACCCTTTTCTCCGTTAAATTGAGATATCTGCTAAATCGAGTTTTCACGATATAGTGATAGTACTCCATTATAGTCGATCTTCAATTAATATTTAACTAAATTATGAAGGCCTTATTATTATGTCTGATACAGATTGCTAATTATACACCTGTTAAGCTTGGGTTATCATGTTTCATTTGCATAATTTTTTTTTGTATGCCGGATAAAGCAATTCACTTTGGAAAGCTAGATTTATGTTCTTTCGATCTCTCATCGTTCATGTGAGACAACTGACCAAAAAAATTATGTGTGGCGCAGCGCAAGCAATTACACGTCTTTGTCATTGAAAATTTTGGCGACTAGATGCTGCTAACGATATAACTGTATTTTGCATGACAATTTTGAGACATTTAAAAAGGTTATAATTACCAGAAAGGGCAATAATACTAACAATACCAGCAAAATTGCCAAATAATTTATAATAATAATGTGGGGAACTTAATAACATTATAAATCTCTGGATATAGTCAAGATAAATGTAAACAATTTATGGAGGAAAAATGGCAGACAAATTCCTGATACGGTTATAATTAATTTAGCTAACTCTATAAAAACGCTTTTTATTGAAAAAAATCACTATATTACCTTATTGTTAAATAAATCTAGAGGACTCGACGTTTCAAATGAGCCGTTTCACATTTATTTTCATCCACTGATCGTTTACCTGCTTCAGTTTTTATTTTTATTTTTTGTTACACACTGTATCTTTACTGTTTATGTCTATTATCTAATTTGGTCATTGGAAGATACTCGAATTTGAGGAGGATCTGGAGATCAAGTCTATTATGAAAACACCAATATGCACAAACATCAACTAATATAGTAACTATTAGTTATTACTTCTCAATATACATTATGAATGTAAGTTGTCACTGTTGTAGGAAATGCACGATATCTCGTATACTTCTGTTCTTCTGTCATCTTTGGGCACGCGTCCTATAGCCCGTATTCGCTTTTTTTTTGTATGTTTGGCGAGCGAGTGACTTGACATTATTTAAAATTTGAACTGGGCTCGTAATTTCAATTGTCTGCTTGGAGCTTTTTACTGAAAAGACATCATCATCGTCATCATTGGTGTTGCCATCACTGTTCGCCTGCAAACCGAACGGAACATTGTCATTATTATCATTATTTAAAAGTAATGAATATGCCAGCAGTCTTGCGATTTACCTTGCAACGTTTCAGCCTTGAGAGTAAACTCGGTTGCTGACTGTCGTTAGATAGGCGGGGTTCGTCTATACCGGTCGAAGAAGACGATAATGGTATTTGGGGATTGTCTAAAGCTTGTGTTAAACGCCGGCTGATATCTCATTGCCGACTAGGAAGCCTTTGTCCGTCATTCGAACTATTGAGAACTTCTGTTCTAGTAATTTGACTTGTCTGCGAGTGGCGAACGAGAACATGACAATGGATCAAAAAAGGCACAGTGTCTGCAAGAAAACGCGAGTCAAAATTCTAATTTGGTACCTTTTCGGCAAAAGAGTTAGGGAAAGTCTGTTTCCTGAGCATCATTTCCAAGAGAATTCTGTGAATGAAATTCGAAGTAAGTTTTCACAAAATTAATAGTATGACTAGTTTTTCATTGCTACTCTTTGATTGCCAAGTTATTAATAATGCCTAATAGTGAACCTGTTGGATACAAAACTTACAGAGTTATTGCCTAGTTCCTTTTGTCTGTAATTGAAGTTGATGCAACACCTTTTTTAAAAGCCAATTGGCCAACCTCAAAAATCACATGATCGAAGATATTGTATTACAATATTATGATATTCTGAACAGTTGTTTTTCCTACACGATATTATTTGGGCTAATTCCGAGTTAGATAATTGAGGGTTTTTAGCTTTTCGCTGACATATCTCTTGCTTCTGTTTGGCACTCAACGTAACATAAGGTTTTTTTTTCGATCGAGGCATTTTGAGGAAAAAAATAATGTATGATGGGAAAGTTTTAATCGAAATTTTTTATCACAAAAACAATGCAATCGGTCGAATAATCGGCAGAATTCAATCAGTTAATATTAACCCTTGAATGGAAATGATTTGACAGTCGGACAATTATAGTATTATTTATATGCACTAGCTTACACTTAATAGTAATAGAGCGAGTTCGATCGAATAAAAGGAAGAAAAATCATATTAATATGTTCGGGTCTTACTCAAGACGATCGAATTACCGGAAAGTCGAATTATCGTGGGGTCGAATTATCGGTTACATTTAATTAAACCGTTTATTATTAATACTAATACATTAATATAATTACATCACAAAATAATCGCTTGTCTTAGAGAATCGGCTTGTTTACTGCTTTAATCGTATGGAGCCGCTGGCCGACTTAACGACTTAACATAGGTTGGCCGACTTAAGCCAAAGCCGACTTATCGAGACTGTGTGTTATGATTCACAGCTGCTTGGTTTGCCAAATCCTGATAATATTGAGCAGCTCTATTCAGTGTTTGCTCAATTAATTGCCTATGCTGTGAGAAGAATCGAAATCGTTAGTTCAGTTGACTGTTTGGTTCCCAAAGCTTTTGACTGTGTAATATTGTTCGTACCGTACCTTACTATAACACTGGCAAGTTCTACCAAAAGCTTATCATGCTCTCGGTGCAAAATCTCACACTCAAGCTGCAAGTCGTTAAATCGTCAGCCTATTGCGGGTGTCAAAAATTAGAATGATATAGATAACCGGTTGTTTCGGTCAATCATAAAACATGAGCACAAACCTTTTTCTCGTCTAATTTCCTTTGAAGGTCTTGCTCACGAAGATTGTAATTCATACAGTTTCTCTCAAAGATTTGCAACATTAAAGCATGCTGTCTTGCTAGATCCATGTCTGGACAGTCAGAGGTTCCGATAGCCACTATAATATTACGTGCCAGTTGGCTCATAAGTAAGAAAGAATTTATCGATACAGTAATTAGGAGTTGGAAATGTACCTGTCCATCTGTTAATATAAATCCGCCCAGGCAACAGTTCATAACATCTGGGCAGACAACAACAGCTGCCATCCCAGAGTTTTCTCTTTCTTTTATACTCACTCTTTTGCATTCATAGAATAAGGCAGGAGGGGAGGCACAACGGAGGATGTCAGAGAATGTATCTCCCGAAACTGAGAGTCACTGTGATTGATGTTGCATTAACTGTTAGTCCGTTGGTAGCCGCCGTGTTATCCATCATAAACGAAAATATCAAACCTGTGCTTTTCCAAATCCTTTTCTTGTATGACTTCATCCAGTTGCTGTCTTAACAACTGTATTTCGGTTTGCTGTTTGAGAAATTTTTTGACTTTAGAAAGCCTATATAGTGGAAGCGTACGAGTATTAGGAACCTTGACATAATGACCATGCGTACAACCAGTAAAGCCTTGACATTATGACGTACCGTTCATCTTTCTTCATATAAGCATTTACAAGACGCGAAATCTCTTCGCGTGAGGCTTCTGAAGTAAGCTCGGCGTTGTGAAGATCGGGACGACAACTTCTTGACACTATAATATGAGCGAAACTGAGTACAAAAATTGACAACATAGCCTGAATCCCAAATTTCTTTAACACATACCACTTTTAAGCTCTTCTATGTGTTTGATTTTATCGGCCTCGCGCATTCTCTTCAACTGAGCGCAAGAAGACTCGAGCTCTGCCGCTTTGATGGATTCCGTGGGAATAAAATCAACGACAGATAAATATTATACTATGGATTATATATAGTATGGATCTACTACAAATTAACGTTAAAACTGATCTACAAATATTGGCGCGCGGGAAGTTATAATAATAAAGTGCCGAATATTAATAGCACAAATTTATCCGAAGATCAAGTTGTCAACGACTTTACAAAAGAAAGAGATTTGCAAACGTCTAATGCAAACGTGCTGTTTTTGATTATTGACAAATTTAATAAATACACTGAGTTTCTAGTTTATATCGGTTTTTTCGATAAAACGGTTTGTCGGCTGTCGCATGGAATCAGTTATATCAACTTTATTGTCATCAAGCGGCAGAGCTTGAGTTTTCTCGCGCTCAGTTGAAGAGACTGCAGGAAGAGCGCGAAGGAGGACGACATGCAACACGAAGAAGGGTAGAAAATCAGAGGGTTGAAAATATACAGAGAGCTCGCGGAAGAATATACAACCCACCCTGCCCAGTCCTGGCGGGATCGAGCACTTAGAACAGTCGTCCAGTCAGTAGAGGAGGAGTCCGCCATCGAGTATAATAATCCCGGCGTCGACGAGTATAATCCCAGTCGTAATCCCAGTCGTAATCCCAGTCGTAATCCCAGTCGTAATCCCAGCATCGAGCATTGTAGTAAGCAGCAGCGGAAAGAAGGCACTAGAGTGAAGTGGCCATCGACTGGAATATTAATATAGACAACGAGGCCGACAAAATCAAGCACATAGAGAGCTTGAAGTGAAGAGCGGTATGTGTTAAAGAAATTTGGGATTCAGGCTATGTTGTCAATTTTTGTACTCAGTTTCGCTCATATTATAGTGTCAAGAAACTGTCGACCGATCTCCAGAATGCCATACTTACTTAGAAGCCTCACGCGAAGAGATTTCGCATCTCATAAGTGCTTGTATGGAGAAGGATAAGCGGTATGTCATAATATCAAGACTTTACTGGTTGTACACATGGTCATTATGTCAAGGTTCTTAATACTTGTATGCTTCAACTATGTAGGCTTTCTGCAGTCAAAACAGCGTTCCCAACTTACGAAATGATCGGGCAGAGAAATTACGACTGGAAACCGAATTACAGTTGTTAAGACAGCAACTGGACAAGGCATACAAGAAAAAGAATTAGAAAAGCACAATTTTTCAGCCGCTCCGGCATTATCGCTATGGCCTTCGGCACCCGCACTAGAATCATCGCTATGGCCCTCAGCGCCCGCATTATCAGTAAATGTCAATAGTGTCCTTGGCACCCACAGCATCGTCAAAATAGTGCGGACTAACAGTTCATGAGAAGTTCTCAGAATTCTGTTTTTCTCTAATAATTTTGTATTTTGGTCCGTTATCCCGATAAGCTGTTCTTGATCCATCAATAGTAGCATTCTTAATGACAGTATACTGATGGGGATAATAACAGTAAATAAGAAATATGACAATAATTACGGACGCTCTTGTGCTATTCTATCAGTTCATGTTAAGGACGTCGAATTCTAATTAATAAATTATAAATACGCGTCTATCTGAGAAAGAGTGTGTCGAAATATCGAATACTTTGATTTTATGTGATCGATTCGTTCTTAGAATCGAACCGTTGCCATCTAACAAGTGTTTCAAAAATTTTAACGCGTTCGCTGAATATTGAGAGTTTGATTTCTGCCACTCAGTATGCTGGTAAGTTGGTTGAGCGTTGATTGCTAGAATTGTATGGGATCCCAAATCATGTCAACCGAAAAGAACAAATATTCCACAACCTTTCTCAAGTGACAATGTAAGTAGTCTTACCAGATTCTCGATTTTACAGTAATCTCGTCTTGCCATTTATTCACGGCACTCACAATTATGTCAAATTCATTAATTTTATCACCGGTTCGAATGTTGTCGCCTGTTTGTTCAAGCGTGGCGTTTCGACGTCAACTTTATTTGTGAGTTTCATTTGTAATTGCGTTGGTGAATTGAGGGGAGTTGATGTATTCGACGACGAGTTTCCGGATGTACGATCACTCATCTTCATAATCCGTCGATGCTTTCCGCACCCCGCCATAAGCCTATTATCGCTCTGGACGAAAAACGCGATCTGTGGCCGCTTCATTTCGAAAAAAAAAGACGTAATAATATCCCCCGACCGCTGATGGACACTAAGGGCCCCTCTGTACCTGCGGGACGCGACCTTACGGATGACAACTTGTGTAGCAGTAGGAACCTTTTCACAAGATACAAACATTAGCCTGTTATCTTCAAATACCAGACATATAAACTTGATCACATACCATCCCCGAATCATGAAGAAGTACACCGTTCGGTTCATCAGCAGGGCTTTTACGATACCACGCCGGAGACTTTTCAGGTTTAAATTTTGGTTCTACACATATATATGGTCGCGTCGTTCACAATTGTAGTTGACAGTCACATAATCCAATTTTTGAGCGATGAAGGCCTTCATAACCCTTTCGTCTATAAAAAGATGGCCTTAGTATGTATAAGTTATGTAATGCATACACAGAACTTCTTTACATACAGATTGTTGTCGACTGAACACCCGGGTGACTTGGGCCGTCCAAATTGCTTCACAGGTCCGCCGTCTCGGAGAATGATAAAACTTGTTCCAACATGGTTATGGTGGCATAAGTGTCTTTGACTAAATGATAAAAGAACAGGGTTTAGTGTGTCTTGTCTCGAGGTATCCGACCAAACCAGAGTCGCGCAGGCTATTATCAAAAACTTGCTTTACAATCCGAGTCTAACTATTGTAAAGTGCGGGAACAACCCCTGAGCACGGATTTATGATGCCTACTAATGAGGTCCGCAATTAACAAACCTATAAAGCTTACTTTTGAATCGACTCAGACATTCAAGCCAAAATCGCTGGATTCGAAAAGCATTTCTTGTGGCTATATTAAACCGGTTGGAGACCCTAAAATCGACAGATAATTGCGTAAGAATCTTGACTATTCTATCCACCAGTATGTTCGATGTACTAACCGGTTTTTGCAGCACGGACCGGGTGGATCTTTAAAGCGCGACGGCCTTTGCACTGGTCATATTACATGTCTGTTTCTGGATTTGACATAGCGACATTAACGTATCATGACCATATCATCTGAGAGATAACACATGCACCATTCGGATCGTATCGCTAGATTAGCCTCTCTCAAAGTCTTTGTCAATTTGGAAGCCTTGATATATTGACCGGCGGAGGTAGTTTTACACCATTTCTTGCTGCATTCTTCAGATACGCTTGGATATTTTTACTTTTCAGTAAATTTTCGCTATCATTATTAACCAAAACCCAATTGATGTTAAAGTCCTTAATAGAGTCATGAACGTCTTCTGCAGCGCGATTGATGTCAGGAAGTGCTAATGGTATTACAATCACTCCGTAGCTACAAGTCCATGTGGAAGGAGAACCAGTACATGTGTGTCTTGATTACAGCCTTTCTTTGCTAAATGAGAGGCAATAGTAACAATCTTGGCGTTAAATTTTTTCCAAGACACTGCCTTCCCTTCACGGCTGCGATTATCGACCGTTATACAAGCTGCTGGACAGATCATACTACAATATAACCGAGCCCCTGATGCACGTACAAATTGTTTATTATTTGATCAGCAAGAGCGGGTAGTGCTCCTCTCTCCAGTGATGATTCAGCAATCAGTACAGAAAGATGCTCATCGTTCACATAACCACACTAAAATCGTCATGAGGCAGCATTTAACAAATGATTGTAAAAGTGTCAAGCACATTGCCATTATAGACTTACCATACACGTATATCCCATTAACAGAGGTCATGACAATAATTTGCAAGTCCCTTGTGAAAAACTTCAGTAGCCGGACAAGATCCATTGGCAAGCTGTCCAATACGATCCTCGTAAAGGCCAAATCCAACCAACTGTCTTTCAATGAGTGTCTCCAGAAAACCAGATCTCAAAAGTTGTTATCGAATGGCTTTCCGAAGTTGCCAGAAACCACCAATCAGACAAGGAGAGTCAACCCAAATTTCTCCTACGGTATTTGGGAGACAAAAAGCTGATGTCTCGGGATCAACAGTGGCAATAGTTGCTACGAAATAAATACAGTTAACTCCAATCCGAACATTTACATTTTAACCTCAACATTTCTTACTACCTTCTTGCATGACAAAACCAAATGCTCATTCCTTTTCGCAAGAACGGCATCTTCTGAAGCGACCACTACAACATTGTTGTTTCTTAATGCTTCGCGATCAAGCAAAATTTCTCGGGTATGTCTTTGGCCTCGCAAACGTTCGTCTAAGCCTTCCACACCAATTAGATCTCCGAAACACAAGATCATTCCCCCGTATTGAGATAAGCTATTTGGAGTGGCAAGCACGTCTCGAGGATATTGGATACCAGTTTAAGAAGACGGTCAACAATCTCATCATTCTTATCAACGTCAATAGTCAAAGTGTCAGAAGCAGTCTTAAAGACGACGAATCTGCTGGATCATTCTTGAAAGACGAAACGACGGGTTGAAGACCTGGATAATCGGCCAAAGCAATGGTAACTAGAATAGGACAACATTCGAAGAGAATGATTAACGTATGAATTGAGTGCCCTTATAATACACTCCTTCGTAGGTGCAAGTCAACGATTACCTTTATATCTAGAGACACAATTAACCCATAATCCAGGCGTATCTGGAGCAAGATTTCCAAGGAAAACCGTCATGTTCCCATAATAAACTCCCCATAATGCTGCCTAATATTAAACCAACTTGTTGTTGTAGCACATCTGACCGTATATAAGGAATCCGCAACGTTTTCCATGTTTGCTTGAAATTTCTTTTCAACTGCTACTCCTCATTACCAGACACTATTGCATTATTGTCTTGTGATTAATGACGACTCCTTTGAGCTCGCCGTTTGGACTTTTTGTAAATTCAATAGTATGCCAATTCTGCATTATGATCTTCCTTTTTTCTTAGGATAAATAACCTCCAATATCGTTTGTCTTTAACCATTCGACACGACTAGGTATTCCTTTTTCTGAGCGGCCAAATCTCTTACAAACACTTTAAGGTTATTATCGAGTATATCAGTCAACTCTTCAAACTGTTCTGCTGCATTAATAGGTACAGCTACCTTTCCAGCAATGAAACAACTATAAAGAGCTATGATAAAATCCATTCTTTTTGATTTACGATGAATAAGTGCTACGCGATCTTTCCCGATTACTTTATTTAAAGTCATTGATAATTCCTCTGCACGTGACGAATATTTTCTCCCATGACCACGCAGCAATCTCTTTCCCCAGGTGATGGTTGATGGAAGCACTGAATCGTCTTTGTCGCTTGTGATATCGTGAACCAAGATGCGAAATTTATTTAAGAGCTAGCATTCAACTTATTGAATAACCTTCTATCTAAGATTAATATAGGTATAGGGCTATCTCTATATAATAATATAATATAAAACTCATTTACATTAAATCCACCATGGAACCAAAGAATTACAGCACTATTAGAAGTATTTTAAAGAAAGAACAAGGAGAAAAATTGCTCCATACGTTTTTAAAATCAATGATACCAAAATTCGCAAGGGAATTTGAATATCCGGAGTTTTGGCTGCATGGATCCGATACAATAAATTTCAACCCCCCTCAAAAAGACGCGGCAGTCTTGTAAATAATCTGATAATTGGGATTTTATACTGCATGAGGCTTTCCCAAGAATTATTAGCTTGCATGGAGGAAATACTCGGACCCGAAGCCATTGATGAGTATCCCTATACTTTGGTCATTCTAGTGAATCTATGCTATATATTATTGGTAATATTATTAAAAAATTCAGCCTCCCTTCGATAGTTTTTCTCGAGAATTGGCCTTTTAGAACCAAAGCGATATAATGCTTTTTCTTCCGCGTACTTTATAGTATTTTATAACCATTTTGTTGAATCCAGCTCAGACGTTTTATCAAGTAAATTGCTAAGACCTTCCCACAAACATGTTATACTTGATAAGTATTTTCGCTCAACGAGCAGCTGATAATTTGATTCAATTGTCCTTGGTTTTATCGCTTGAAAAAGCGTTTGAGTTATGATGCGTACTACTTGATTGTGAGTTTATAGCAGAACGAAGTACCAGCGATAAACGTGGTCAGCAGCAGTAACTCGATAGCGAAAGTCAACATTTTGAGTGAGATTGTTATTTGATTTTTGCAATGATAAAATTATGCTTTCGATAATGCAGTTGCAATTCGATCGATTTTTTTAAGCGAAAACGTGTGCTGGCTTTATACCAATTTCAAAATTATAAACGTTCATTACTATTACATTAAATATACATTGTAATAGTAACAGTTGATTTGCCGTGCTCTCCTAATGATTTATTCTGGTGCTTTACCCATTGTTTCTAATACAATACAGGTTTTGCTGGTCATGAATTTGTAGTAATTGGGGCACAGCGAACCAAAATCATCGAACAGTATATAAAGAATCTGTCCCGATTATCGATAATTATTAACAATAATAAAGAAACGGACATTTGCTTTATGTTTCTAGTTTTCGTTTTTTTCTTAGTTCATTATGAGTTGCTGCTAATGTTCGTTTATTGCTTCGTATTTTTGGTTCTTCTTAATAAATTTCATAAGTGATTTTTTTTATCCAGATACTCCTATTGAGCACATATCATCTGACTTGCAATATTGACGTTACCAGGTTATTTTCCCTTCATTACAGGATGAATTTGAACAGCTCATGAGTAATTACGTCCGCAAGTGCAGAGTGGTACTACCTTCAACATCTCAAAACTCGTAGAAAAGACTTTATCCATAAATATGCTGGTTTGTGTCAGATGGCTTTGTCAGATTTGCACCAGAAATTTCCAAATGAAGGCTCAAACATCTTGCTTCAGTCATGATAAAGGATGATTTTTTCGTGATTGATCACATTAATCGATCAGACTATTTTTTAATGCCCTGAAAAAAGGTTTGCATCATCAATACAGAACGATCAGGGACTAATCAAGTTTGTGCAACTGAATCTCTTGTTACGGTCGGGAATTAGGTGTGTTCACCGACCGGGGGATGTTAACAGGCTTAGCTCGTACCATCGCCCTTACTACAATGGTTGTACAATTAAGACTGAATTAAGCATACAAGCGACTTTAATTATTCATGCGCGCTTTTCACTCCCTATCCGAGTTTCAAACACTCGTGAATACAAATAAGGGTACCTCTGATAGAACAATTATTCTATCAAATAATTGAAGGGGAATAATACCATTTAAAAATAAACATGGCCATCTTCGATTTGTTTGTGACTAGTCGGTGTTCGTCACTTGTCTCGCTAAACTAATTTAACAATATTCGTCTTGATAATTAATTATGAACTCTCGTTCTGTAATTGATCGGTGGACAGCTTACTAGCTTGATAAAAATCAATGATATTCCGTTACAGCTTAAGTGAGCCGTTTATTGGAGTGTCCGGCCTAATAATTAATTATTTCGACGATGAAAGAATAAATTATGTATATTAATATTGGTAATTAAGGATTTCAGAAGTATACTACTAAGATCAGTAGTATTATTGATTTATTTTAACAATTCAAACAACACATCGGATTGACGATGGAAAGTAAGCTACTTATATATCTTCGAGCGTCGCAGAAAAAACGCAACGCTCTTTTGACTATTTCTAGAAGAACCAATCAAATATGGACTAATTATAGCGTTTGTGCTGTCACTAAATTAATTTTTTTTGTGAAACTGAACTAAAGTTAGTGTCGCATGGTGTCTGCGGAGGAAGATTTTACCATGTGACCTACTTATCTGATTCATCAGCTCGCCGTAACACTCTCCATAGTTCTTGCTTCACCACACCATACTGCAGTTGTACCTCCTCTGATGGAATGTCTGCTTCTCTTAAAAACCATCCCTCTGGACAATTTTCAAGCCTTTTACAAGAGTTTCACACTGCCAGCCATTATATATGGTGACAATACAATATCAGCACTCCTTTGATCTAATGGATCTTACAAAGGCACTTCCCAATTATTATAGATGGTGACAATACAATATCTATATCAGCACTCCTTTGATCTATCAGATCTTATGAAGGCACTTCCCAATTATTATATGTGTTTGCAGATGGTGACAATATCTATATCAGCACTCCTTTGATCTATCTGATCTTATGAAGGCACTTCCCAATGATTATCTGCCAGTGCCCTATGTTTTGGACATTTAATGACTTCACACACTCTTTACTGGGCACATGAATGGCATCCAACAGAGCCAGAAGTGACTTTCTGCATAGCTTATTACATGAGTGTGACCCTGACTCAACATCATTTCATTTTCACAACTTGAAAGGTACCTCAAGATTGGCATTATCATTGAAGACTATGCCATCAGAAGGATTATTTTGCTGCCCCCCATTATAATTATGCAAATTGTCATGAGCAACTGACTGTTTACTGCACCTGTCAACATACCAAATTCACCTATAAAGATATTTGATGAATTCTTGTTGCAGACCATCAAGCAAATGCAACCCATCTGTCCTGAGAGACTCCTTTGGACAAGGGTTACTTGCTTAATATTAAGAGAACTTAAACTTGGCAGATACCATACTGCAAGGACCACAGCACCAAAAAAATCGACAGTTGGACATATCTTTGGTTTAGATGGATTATGTTGATGGTGATTTTGGCTGGGGTTGAACTTATGGATGAGGGCAAAAGATTGATTATGAGCAAATCATGACTGGGGATAAGTTGGACATTCCTTCAAGTAATTCGCCTAAATATAATATTTCAAAAGACTTCTTAATAAATCCTATTCAAAATCTGGCATTGGCTTATTGTATATCTCATAAAGTTGTTTTTTTTTAAAAAAATTCTAAACTGTTTATGTTTCGCATAGTTAATATATGACATAGTTTACAGTCTAAATAATAATAGTGCTTTATTTTTTATTCATCAGATCACTAAGCTTAGAAAGAAGAATATAGTGTTAATCTTGGAGTTTTGCGTTCTTTATTTGTTTACACCTATGATTAGTGTTAATCTTGGGCTATGTTAGCTTTGCTAAGACACTCCCCCAAAAAAGTAACATTCAATCTGTGGACTCTGTGCATTAAAATTGAATACCATATTTATATGTGCATAATTGGTATGTCTGAAACCCATTTTTTTGTCTTCATAAGCACTACCAAAATATCCTTGCTTGCAAATAGCATAATATGTTACAGTCACATCTCCATACAGTCAATACTTTTGGGGGAATGAAATAGGTGACTGTAGGGGGGTCTGACTGTACATAGATAAAGTTTTTGACTGCTGCAACACCTAGGGTTAAGGACATGGTTTGAATAAAAAACTTTTTCAAGTGACACTTTATTGTGTTACACCGCACAGTTACTCCAAATGTTGGATAATAATAACAAGATGTCAACATGCTGAGTTTTCGTGTTCTTTTTGTAAGACCGACGTGTTGGAACATTAATGTCAACATTTGCTTATTTGATACAAAAAATTTTATCAACGCAACATCTTTAACTGTTGTTAACACCCCGATAAATCGATATTTTGCGTATCACTCATATTATCGATAAAAAAGAAAAAACTCGATCTACCGATACCCCGCTTCACTGATAACTATAAGGAGATTTATTAGAGATTGTGGCTATAGGCAAGGTATTTTTTATATAAAATGATTTTGGCACAAACTATTGGTGACTATAGGCAGATAGTGACTATAAATGGAGAGACTATAGACGTAGTTTACTGTACAATACAAGGTGAATCTTAAATAAATATATCATGCCCAATTTTGCAATAGAACATAGTCTTTCTTAAATTGCGTATTTTAACATATAGTCGACGCCACCAAATTTGCAACATCACGTCTCATTTATAATTCGTGTGTGAAACAGAAGCACAATCTCTGGGGGGCGAAGGCTGATTATTGAAACAACTGCTGAATTAATTGCCTGAGGGTTGGCTTGATTGTTGCATCTTAATACCAGGGTCTAGAATCTAGTATAGTTTCAATCAGCTAACCTTAACATTGGAGAGTTTTGCAACAAGTTTGCTACTTTGCTTATGTTCTGTCTACTTTATAATTGGCATTGTGGGTTGAGTTTTTCTCACTAGACCGGCATATTTAGTACGTGTATTGCTCTTGTAAAAATTACTGGCTACTTTAACGTTTATGGGGTGTGATACGTGTAACAAATAGAATGATCGACAGAACTTCAGGGGAGGGGAAAGTAAACAATTTATTCCGATAGCGGTACAATGGACAATTATCCCATTGGAAAGTTTATTTATAGTTATTTCGATTAATTGTTAGCATTATTATTATAGAATAAAATTAAAGTATCAAACAGACTTGTTCCGCGTTCCGACATCCCACGTTCCACATACAACCGACGAAGCTAGCTTATGCCCCTCATCTATGAGATCAAGTTATGGTTTACTTTCATTATTCAACTATTGATCGTAACTTGCGCATAGTAAAATACAACCTTACTCCAACGTCAATTGCAGTATTCGTTTGCAATAGATAGTTACTTTACCTCTTGTTTAGATCTGAATTATGTCGACAGCGAATTGTAAGCTGGTCCGTCAACAACTCTGTATAAAAGTACAGACGGCCGGTTACATATGGTCTATGGACGGTATTTTAACATGCATGTTGAATAATAACATGTTCTCATTGACCTTGTGTGAATTAATTACTGCACTTGTATTAATATCGTACAATACTTGTGGAATTTTTTAAGTTTACGTTTAATATCGTGTGCACGCTGTAACAATAGTATGCAGGATATGCGGTTATTACTAATCAATTATTTAAACTCAATCGATACAATCAATTAATTATAAAATTAATTAATATAGACCTTTATAGTGCCATTTTCGATTTCTTTGGAGTGTGCGAGTCAAATCTTATCCGTGCAGATTACTTTGTGTAATTACAATTTTCCTAATTAGTATCAACGATAAAATAAGATTTGTTAGCGGTGAACCAAAAATAGTGTTACATGATTGTTTAATTACGCAACAAAGAACATGCGTAACTTAGACGGGGATTTTACAAAACAATTATTGCAAGTCGAATGACGTAACATTTCACTAACGAAATGCGTCAAATCAAATACCAGATTGAATGGTTCAATTACTCTTTGTAATTAGGTTTATTGCGTTTTGCCCCAAAATAAAATCGTTATTTGGTTGGTTAACCAAACAAAAGGAACGCATATTAATATTATCTGCTTTACTATCTAGATTGGAATTGTCCGAGCTTATAGATCATGTGCGGGATAACTAATTGTGTCATTCAAGCAATTGTCTTGAAACCTCCAACTGCAAAATGGTAATAATCGATAATTCATTTATTAATTTATTAAGTTAGATCCGCTCTAATTTGTATGTGATACTAATAGTGCGCTATATCCATAACCATGATTTGTATAGAGTATAAAGTATTAAACAAGTTCTTGATCTGTTTTGCATGTCCAAATAATCTGCATGTCATAGATCTGTTAATGCCGAGTCATTAAACAACGCTTATTTACGTACATCCACTTAAGATTTATCATACGTTTGTGCGCATCAATTGACAACATAGATGGTTTTATACTATATGGGGTGGTCATTTTATTGATCAACTGGACAACTTAATACAGGTGAATTGAATGAATGAAATGAAATAAAATAGAACTACTATTACTACTACTGATGAGCTGATAATAAAAAAATAATAATGATGATGATAATAAAGATAAAAAATAAAAAATAAAAAATTCTCTCAGAGAAAATAAGCGGCTTAACCCGTTCGGAAGATTTCATGGTGGCGTTGTATGATATCACCGATGGGAGCCTGCGAGAAAGCTATATATGCGTAGAAAGACAAGTGGTAAGTATACAGAACAGATAACATAGCATACATAATTTATTTACACTGGTTTATAACATACCGATTATATAGTATTGGTAGTACTGTGAAGAGTTTATTTACGAATTTACGTGGAGACGAAGAGACGAAGAGGGGTCGAACGAGGATCCTCGGACGTAGAAAGCGGAAGGTGACAGATAGGTCGTTAAAAGCGAGGCATGAGATTCGGTTGGTATTTAGCAGCAATGGTGAGTGTGAGATTGGAGCTATTACAAATTGTTGCTGCTTTTTTTTGCTCTTTTCAAAGTGGCTCTTGTTAAGTTAATTTCATAATAAAAAGGTTGAGACTTTTGTTGCCCCTACCGAAGTAGGACAATTGATTTCCACGATGCAAACGGAACGCTGCTTTTTATAAGAAATTTTATGCGTACAAGATTCTATGTATGTTGGGACTGTTAGATTTAATAGCGCCACAACATCAACATACAGTATATAATTTATATTTATGCTTGCGTAAATTTACGTGACACTTGTAACAATAGCGATACAGTTTTTGGGCAAGGATACAGACAAAGCGTCTGTTGTCTGCGTCTAAAAGGAATCCATTATCGATTCGAATATATTCTTCATTATTCGACGCTTTCTTCAAACGTCATCACTCATAAACAAAGTTTTTGAAAACTGTTTAACAGGTGCCCTTATTCATCAAGAACAAATGCTTATTAATACAATTAATAAATACCGTATTTGAATGTCAATCTTTAAGCTATATAGAACAGACTTTTGTTCAATGGCATCACTTTTTCCGGAGTAATGTGTGTTATTAGTCATCTTAAAATAGGTTAATAAAGCCTTTTTTGTAACAAGAACCTATATGGCGTTTGTCATTCCATTCATTTGTCAGTTTTTTTCACAACCATGTTATCAATTACCCAAACCTAAGCCTAATTAATCTGCTGCTCGTAGAACAGGGTTTTTTCTTGTTTTTTTTTTTTTTTAACAATCCCTCTGAAATTGAGTTGGACAAGAATTTAAGTTTTAGGATGAAAATATTTCATTTGTCAACTTGGTCAACGAATCTTATCCTTTGTTACTCACCGATCGATGGGAGTGAAAGTAACAATTTTGTGTACCACATCTTCACGGAACGGAAAAAAATTCGCAATGACGAGCCTCCGGAAATATACGTAATATGCGGTCTGCACCTCGGACTTTGTCACTGCCCGTAACGATGGCGCACGTTTTTTGTGCAGTGTTGTCCATAGGACCAGTAATATTTTGTAGAACGTATATAAAACCTGAAGAGCCGAATATAATGCTCTTGATTAGAGTTGAACATGTGCTTAATAAGAAGTTGTGATTATATAGAGGTTTTTTCTATAAGTTCAAATAATAATTGGTTCTCAAATATGGTGTGCTTATAAAGAGGATTTTATACGACGTGCTTATAGAGGGAGTGACTATAATGAGGGGTTGACTGTATACGTGTTTTGATTAGACATGAGTGTTTATCTTCAGCGTCGACGTGGATGGGATCTCGTGCTTGTATTCGCGGTGGGATACGCGGGCCAGCCGAGTTGGAAGAAAAGAGATTATAGACGTGGTTGGCGTGTGATTGGATTGGGTGTTGTAGAGAGAAAGCAATTGACGAGAAGCGTGTCAGTAGAGATCCAGGAACGAAAGAAAGCTGAGCAGATTAGAAGGCCATACGAACCTTGGACTATAATAAATGGATTGATCGAATAACAATACAAACATTGAGTGTGGGGATGTTGTTGTTGTTTCGACTATTTCCCCAATGTTTTGACATTCTGGCATGGACATGGCATCTTGTAGCAAACTATCAAAGTTTGGGAGGCAGAAGGCTTCCTGAAATTCCGGTCGTTTGGTCCATTAATGAAATGCTGGAATTGTTGAAATTTGGAAGCAAGTTTCGGATCGAGTGGCAAAGCTGTGAACGATGTGCGTAAAAGACTTCCTGAAATTCTGGTAGTTGGTCCATTAATGGTTAAACAGTCTGCTAATGAGATTACAATTTAGATCATAGAATATTCGTACGAATGGATGCCGAAGTAAACCGTTTTACAAGCACATCACTATATTCAAACATCCAATTCGAACTAACCTCAATTCTCGTCAATTTTCATACCACAGCCAAGAGTCGTCTTTTGTAATCCCCCCTCCTGCACGGCTTCATTTTCTCTGCTTCGCTCATATTATATCTTTTGCATGCCATCATCACGCGACTTTTGTGACGTTATTTGATGAACAAGAGGATTTTCCTGCGTGGCTTCATTTTCTCTGCTTCGCTCATATGATATTGCACGCGCAAACTCCATGTGCGTGAACGCCTCACATCCCGGATGCAGAAGTAAAACGTTTTACAGCACAAGTTGCTTAAGCCGTGGGCACCACTATATTCAGATATCCAATTCGAACTAACCTCAATTCTCGCCAATTTTCATACCACAGCCAAGGGTCGTCTTTTATAATCCCACTAACATTATGTTCCGTCATTTCTTTTCTTCCTCCGATACTCGTCTCCTTCATAATTTCATTTCTTCATCCTTCCCCCCTCCCCCTCCTGCACGGTTTTATTTTCTCTGCTTCACTTATATTGTATTTTTTGCATGCCATCATCACGCGACTTTTGTGACGTTATTTGATGAAACAAGAGAATTTTCCTGCGTGGCTTCATTTTCTCTGCTTCGCTCATATTATATTGCGCGCGCAAACTCCATGTGCAAGGGTGGACGCTCACATTCTCGGCGTTGAAGTTGTTTCAGCGAATTAAATCTTTGTGCCCCGACTCGTTAACTATGAGAATCAATCAAGCAGTATGGAAACATAGTAAACAAAAAGAAGATGTTTGGCAGTGTTAAATAGTACAAATTAAAAAGTCGCTCTTTACTCACATTGGTATTTACTTGTCAATTTGCAGAAGTAACCTCCTTTGAAGACTTACATTTAATATTTAATCGACAGACACAATATTATATGGATCAACAATATGTGCGCTGACCATGACTGCATTCTCAGCATCATTGATTGAGTGTGATACCATCTATAGAAAACAAAGGTAATTAACATTAAGATAATATGCAAGCTTTTTGGAGCGTATTCCTGAATAATCACCGGCATTAAGAGGCTGATCCCTATCGGCACAAATGCGAATTTCATTAATATCAATATCGTTGAACCTTCGGTATGAAAGCCTTGCATTATCGAGTTTCTGTATACTGTATCTTCCTTTATCATAATTACCTACATACCTACATATAATGATAACTAATGAATGTAAAATTTTAAAAATCGTTCTTTCCTCGTTTCTGCAACTCATACCATCGTCTTGCATTTTCGACACACTGTTTATCGGTTGACTGGCTTCCATACTATTACTCCGGGGCTTTGCCAAAATCAAGGTTCCCTCTTTCGTCATGAATTCCTGTCATTGCATTCGCCAAGGTCAAATAAAAAAAGAATTCGACTAATGATTGCACTCATCGCAGATTGATGAGAGTGCAATGCTCAGTTTGAAGCATCATTCGAGGAAAGAATCCAATCTGGAATGTAGAAGACATTATGCGAGAGTTGGGTGAGGTGGATCATTTGAGCCTACTAACCAAATCGGTTTAATCCGCCTGTTTTACCCCGACTTGCGGATGTCTCTTGCAAACAACGACAGGTTTGTTCTTCCTTCCCATATGGTGTTGGGCTCATTTATCATCTGTCATGCCCGACGTTGATCAGAGTAGAGTTTCTTTTTGAGGGGTCTGTGCAACACGTGTGAATGACTCCTACGATCTTGACATTAACGACAAACACGTGTTTTTAGACTAAAATGCTGTATGAATTGCTTATTTCACATTCTGATTATCGATGATATATTATTATTATGATAGCATCCGAGATTATAAGGATGACCGCACTTGCTATTTATTGTAGATGTTGTAGAACAGAGAGGTATAGTCAGCATCTGACATGAATGAGTGTCATAATTACCGCAATGATTTCTATTTCGACCTTTGTATCTGGATAGCTCACGGTTTTAAGTAATGTCTGTTGTTCCTCAAGCAAGACTGCCACTAGTGAAATTTAGGATCAAAGCGTTACTTGTTATCAATAAGCTTTGTTACGTGATCTGCACATTCGCGGCAGAATCGTCTGCTCACAATATTAGCCTTCAAATACAATTTACGGACTGATATTATATAGCCATTTTACTAGACATTCTACATCTGCTTTTTGGAATGTTCGATCGCTTTCTAGTAGCACCAGAGAACAAATTGTACAACCGTCGCGTCATAATCTCCCACATTATAAATTTGCGAGAAAAGTTCGTACAAGCTGCGGTTCAGTCGACGCGTAAATTTGAGTGGTGGTGATAATCGTTGATGTCATTTACTGACAATCGCCACTTTGTCTTTTTGACAGGGTTAATCAAAAAAGAGAAGAAACCCGTTATGAAAGTACCCAATGGTCCATTTATATAATGAGTGATTTGATTTTATGCTTAGATTATATGTGTAAAGACAAGCACCTGGATCGAGTATAATGATCAAATTTTGGTCACCGATAGTATGACCGCTCCTCTACTTCCCGAGTAATATCGGCAAAAAACAACAAACGTCGTCGTCTTTTCCGGGCGAGTCTTTCGGAGGTGCCGTATTTCAGCCGAACAATCATACCGCATTCAGAATACGCAAAACCTATTCACGGCGACAAATTTTTTGAATTGGGTGACAAATTGGTGAAACTCATGTATTTTCCCAACCCACCAAGAGAGAAACTGCTCTAAGAATAAGAGGGAACAGTTTTCTTTTATTTTGAACAATACGCTAGTCATGATTGTAGACGAAAGCTTTGAAAATACTGCCCAGGACATTATATTTTGCTTATATAAAATACCCGCATAAAATTTGAAAAATAAAATTTTGGATAGTAATAGAGAAATAAAAATTTTTTCTGTAAATTTTTGTATTTTCATTGTCTATGTGCCAAACGATCTCAATAAAGCATTAAGTATTAGCCATCAAGTCTAACGATGCTGAAAAGTCTTTCTCTATCTCGAATAATATGGCAATGCCCTAAAAACTGGCCATCACCACAACAAGATAAAGCCTTTGTTTTTAAAATCAATATGGGGACGAAAACTTAAAGTGTCAAGAATGGCTTTCAATAATGATTAAAGTCAACGATCATAGATCGATAAACTTTATCTGCTTTTTCAGTCATTCCGCAGTCTCAATTTCTCGTAACATTTCTTTCCCTGAGAAATCTTAATGATTAACGTCAACGATCATAGATCGATAAACTTCATCTGCTTTTTCGGTCATTCCGCAGTCATATTTTTTCTCAATTTCTCGTAACATTTCTTTCCCTTAATGATTAATGTCAACGATCATAGATCGATAAACTTCATCTGCTTTTTCGGTCATTCCGCAGTCATAACATTTCTTTCCCTGAGAAAATCTCGTGTCTTCTGCATATTCAGATTTGCTCGTTCCCAAATTATGAACGACTTGGGCACGTCCAATCGGTATTCGATTAACAGCTGGCACAGTACGTGGAATCCGTAATATAAATAGCGTCTCGAACCAAATATAGCCCAGGGCATAAGCGGCAGATTACTACGCAAGCTACCATTCCTAGCTCACGCGAGGTATCCCCAATCGTATCAAATATGTTCCATTAGATCCGATTGTTGATGAAGAGATTAAGCCAGAGAAGAAATTACAAGCACCTTTGTATAACAGGTACGGTGGGACCCAGTAATAATCTCTTGAATAGCGTCCACGAACTGTGCTCTCTGATTGCTTCTTGGATGGTCAAAAATGGTTCAAGTTCTGTAATGAAATAATAGATAATCGGGGCTGTTCATCTCTCCGCCCCTTGTCGACGACTGTCCATTGCAGAAGCATCCATGACGGCATCATATGTGCGGATAAATCATCCAACAATAAAGCCATATATACACTGTTATTCGCTTCTTTGTCTAACATTAAGTCGTCACTGTATTTGTTATATTAAATTAGTTACAGACAAATAATGCAATTTCAAAAATGATAGCTAATAACCTACTTTTCTGTTAGCGTAGTCTCGCAAGCAGGCGTCAGAAGCATTACTGCAGGTTGCGTTGTTGTCGACGTTGTTCGCGCTCATACCAGATGAGTGGTCAGGTGCTTCGAAACTGTCAAACAGATGTATGATTCGCAAGATATCACAACCTCAATCTTATCCTTGTTTCTGATAATAGTATATCGAAAGTAGCAAATAAGCCACAATATTAATACGATCGATCCTCTGGTTGCTAACATGTTACAAAACAGAAAAGACTGTTAGGGTTAGCCATCTGCGTGAGAATCTCAACAAGGATATAGTCACGTGGATGACACTTTTGGAAAACAGTATTATGATTGCCATACTGGGGGTAGGCTAAAGCGGAGTAGTTTTTTTACAATTTCATTGGTTGATATACAAATTTGACCAGTGTAATTGCAATAATCAGATCACGTTCTATTCCGCTTTAGCCATCCTCCATACTCGGATCAAACAATAATACAAACATTTCTGTATTAATAATTCAAAATTTAAGAACGCCATTTTATTCTTGATAAATGTTAACAAATAATACTGACAAATGCTACATGTGGTTTGAAATATAACTGTTCAAATTTTGTTATTTATATTATGAACAGAAATTTGAAACAGCCTTTTCTGGTAAAATTAATCCTAAATCAGGCCTATTTATTAAGGCTTTAACAAAAATGAAAATCTTTTATTACACGAGTAAAGGTGATCTCTAAAATAAAAAAATTCTCATAATTTTAGGGACCTCTCCGAGTGCTAAAATATCTCTCCCTTACCAATTTTAGTAACTGAAAACGTTACCAGATAGGTACCGATGAGAATGAAACTGGACAGTAACTCTCAGACTACCAAGCATTATTTGATATGAACAGAGCCATCTTGGCATATATGGTTGGCACACTTGTGTATGGCAATTTTATTTCCGTTGTTGGATGTTAAACTTGCATCTCCGTTTCATAGACAAAATAATATTTTGTACTATTTCTTGGGGGATTTTTTCCCACTCTTCACTCATAAATCGCTTCAATTTATCTACATCTTTGGGCATTCATTATTCTTCATAATAAACCACATATTTTCTATCGGATTAAGTCTGTGCTGTTGGACGTCCACTACTACTACCCTTCTTTGCGTTCAATAGATTTGCATTCTTTGAGCTTGTGAAGATTATTCTCAACTGTACATAGAGAAATGCCAGTTTTTTGTGTATTTTTTTTGCTAAACAAATGCCATTTTGCCAATAGTGCAAAATAGTTTGTCGCTGAGTTTCAAATTTAGACTTAACCATGTTATAAAGCTCTACAAAGACAAACTTTTAAATTATTTCCTTATAGAAACGGGCAATAATCAAAAAAATTCTTGGAAAAAATTAGTAAACGAAGTAGTGGTATAATTATAGTCTGTATAGACTATAATTATACCACTTAGTTCGGACTATAACCATCCCAGGTATGTGTCGTGACGACAGAAACACGACACCGTCGTCAGTGTCGTGATATATATTTTATGACACATTTTTGACGATAGAAATGCGACACCGTCGTCAGTGTCGTGATATATATTTTATGACACATTTTTGACGATAGAAATGCGACACCATCGTCAGTGTCGTGATATATATTTTATGACACATGGATAAAAAAATATATCTGATGATGCATCCAATTATATATCGTCATTTATGGGCCCGACGTGAGGGCTATGCCCGAAATTGGCACGTAGTGCCTTAGCTTTCTGATTAATTCCTCGATGAGGGCCAGGTTTGAGGCACGTAGTGCCGAAATAGTATTCGTATTCTGGCTTTGTATGATGCATTCGAATATCGATCGAGGATGAGGCACATAGTGCCGAATTGTTAACATATCTGGTATTACATCAAAGCATCCAATAATGAGGCACGTAGTGCCGAATTGCTAACTATTATAATGCATTCGAATATCGATCGAGGATGAGGCACGTAGTGCCGAATTGCTAACTATTATAATGCACTCGAGTATCAATCAAGGATGAGGCACGTAGTGCCGAATTGTTAGCATATCTGGTAATAACACCAAAGCATCCGATGATGAGGTACGTAGTGCCGAATTGTTAACATATCTGTTGATACCCCAAAGCATAATTATATATATTATATATCTTTCTGTAATAATTATACCTTGGGGTATCACTTTTTTTCGATACCTATTTATATGTAATCCCAAAGCATAATTTTATATATTATATATCTTTTTATAATAATTATACCTTGGGATATCATCTTTTTTCAGATTTAGCTAGCTTATATTGATACCTAAATCGTACTTTTTATATATTTCAAAATATCATTATATCGAAAACTTTGGGATATTCCTATATCGAAATTTTGGAATAACACTATATCGAAAACTTTGGGATATCATTATTATTATATCGAAAACTTTGGGATATCATTATATCGAAAACTTTGGGATATTATCATCAAAAAACGTGAACACTATTTATAACCAGAAAATGAAACCTGGGGTATCGCTAATTCGAAAACTTTGGAGTATCATTTTTTTCGATACCTTGAAGTATCATTTTTATTGATACCTAAAATAGACAATACAAAAATGGTTATCGACTCCTGATACGTATATTATATGCGCATTTTTTTTCGGAATGCGACCACTTTTATTTCGGAACTTTATAATCTAGATATCAAAGTATTAATTTTTGATTTGAATTTTTTCTCATACTTATTGTAAGAGGTGACAAAAACCCCCTACCTGAGATGAATAACTAGTTAAATGTAGCAATCTCTCTGCTTCAGAAATTACTACTAAAACTAGATGATATTGTCTTAGTACCTTATGCTTGCTTTATTAAAAGATTTATAACGATTATGCATATTCAATGATTGCTAGAGATTTATTTTTCAATTCTTTTTTGTGCGGAGTAGTAGGAACTTTCATTTTAGCCTCAAAATTTCGCTTATATTCCAGGAAAGCGACCTCGTCCATACTCTCGCGCTTTTTTTTCTTTTTTTCTCTCGAGTTCGAAAAAAAAGTGATACCCCAAGGTATATTTAACTAAAATATCTAAAATTGAGTGATGAAGGTGAGATTATATCAGCTTATCCAATCTACATATATCACTAATTTTCATTAATAACTTTTTATATGCTTTAGTAGAACCTTCTTTGAAGATAAATCAGAGAATATCAAATATAAATCAAACTTAATGTATCATACCTATAACCCGTTTGACCAGCCAGAGTTAATAGCGCATATTATCAAAAATCTAGCACCAAAAGATCTCGCAAAATGCCTTCATATCAATCAAATATGGAATAAGGAAGCAAAACGTGAGTTCTTTATAAGGCAAGAAAAACTTGAAGATATATTTTGGGAATTAGATTCAGAATTAGAAGAAGCTAGAGAAGAATATGCTTGGTGGATTGGTGGGGCTAATCCGAAAATCGAAAACCCTTATGTAAGAATAAATTTTTTGAATAGTAAGTTGTTTGGAATTATTAAAAGACTGCAAGAATTAGAACATTACATGTTGAGTAATAATATCATTGATAGAATAGAGGGGGCACATTATATGTATGGTAAGGTTATTTCAATATAAGCCAGTATATAAATATTGAAATATTCAGTTAAATTCTAATACTTGGTTATCTGACCACATATCCCGCAAAATCGATCACTTTTTTTATGACCCTTTATTTCAAAGAAATGGCTCTTTGAGCCTAGAGTCGCTCCTTCGGGCCTGTGAAGCAATGGCACTTCGAGTCTACCTATATTCCTGCATCTTACAAACCACACAACTGCAATAATTAACAGAGCAAGAAAAATATATGCCGATAGCGGTGACATTAAAGTGCTTGCCACAGCAGGAAGAGGTAAAGCCTCGAGACTAGGTCTCATCTGGGCATTCGATTTAATCAAAGAGGACATATGCGGTTTAGCACTAATTTCGCTAATGCTAGTTTCATCGCTTACCTTGGGGTTGATCTCGGTATCATTTTTTGGTAGTTCGGTAATCTCACCATCGATTTTTTCAGCTTGATCCATACTTTTTCCGCGTACAAAATACTTACTTAGATTTTTGCTAGATGAGGCATAGCCTCGAATCACTGATTCCTCATTAATTGCAGATATATCGTCAGGCTTAGTTATGGAACTTTGTTCCTCGCACAGCGTATTTTTTATTTTGGAAACAGGCCCATAGGGGCGACTCGAAGAGTCATGGGAAAAGCTTTGCCCCTCGTCATTCCCGCCAACTATGGGTTTTGATATAGCCTCCGATTTCAGACACTCAAGTTCATCGACCTTCGATTCCAATTCACTCTTTATATTTTCTAATTCAGCTATTTTGTATTTGAGAGATGCAATCTCAGTTTCTTTTTTCGATGAGTCGTTTTGAATTGAAATCACATCTTTCTGGGTTGAAGACAACTTACCTTCCAATATCTTAATCATAGACTCAAGCGATCTAATTTTCTTGGATTTTATATCATTCTCAGCTTTGGACTTCGCAAGAGAAATGTCTATATTAGCGTTTTCAATCCGTAAACGCCTAGCTTTATCATTGAGATCGAGATCATGAGTACGTAATTTCTGAATCTCAGTATTAGCATCTCCTAGTTTCTGACCCCACTTATTTCTCTCCCGGTCCCATCCCTTTCTTTCTTGATTAAAATTTTCCTCTTGCTTTATGAATTTATTCCGTAGCTCACTGCTATAGTTACGCAATTTAGAAGAGGATTGGAGGATACGATGTATTTCTTCCTCAAGATCTTTCACATATGTCATATCAAATAAAAGATAATATAATAAAAAAATATGGATGAATCTCGATACTAAATATTCATATTATATATGTTGTATATAATTTGTGTCGCTATATAAATCCCGGATTTATATATATAATTTGTGGTACGCAATTTATATATATAATTTGTGGCAGATCCCCCAGAACGCAATTTATATGTATAATTTGTGGCAGATCCCCCAGAATGCATATAATTCGTGGCCGACAAATTTACCACCCCCTGATATGATGATAATAATCACATCGATTATCTGATAAACAGGGCTCTTTTAAGTTCAATTTTCAAAAATTTAATTATGCTGAACTACACTTTCGGTATTCT